GCTGCACGGTAATCTGGCAAATACTTTTCAGAGAGCTCTTTCATTGCTGGATCAGGACTACATTATCGAAACGCATGATCAATAGTAGGACTGAATGTAAATCAACTCAACAACCACATTTTTACATATTACGTACATGAATTGGATCCATGGTTTGGCACCCAGATCCACGTCACACGTTGGACAAGTACACGATGGTGTGTGCAAATAGAACCCTCGAATACAGCCATGACAGACTATACCAATGCAAAACCGCATCTTAATCTGCTATTTTTCTAACTAACTTGAGTTTTCAGTAATTCTCATAACATACAGGTGTGCAGACACTCTTTTGCAGTATACGGGTCTCGATAATAGCCTTTGCATAGTTTGCAGATGAAGAATTCGTTGATATCAGTCATATACAAGGTTTCCTACCCATTAAAAAGAGCCACAAATAAGACGCTACACCTCAGCAAATAGATTATATCGTATATAAAGACGTTTGCAGAACACTATGAAGATATTACGACATACCGTGCGTGCCTCTACAAACAAATGATTGCAGGAAGCATTAGACAGCGATGGAGTGAGCGCCGTACTCGACGAGGGACTTGTAGCAGCCATGAGATAATGCGATCGTAGCGACTAGAAATACCACCAATAGCGTGTATTGAAACTATATTAGTGCATTCAAAGCCTACGAAACAGCATGAGCTTTGACAGTGGATTTTAGGCGTGAGTGTGTTGCGGCCGTCGTCGTCGCTTACAAAAAAGCACGAAACCAATCACACATGCAACCGGAATTGCCATAAAGAACACGACAAGCACGAAAAAAGTGCTGGAGAGAAACGATGTGTGATGATGAATCGACGCTTCCTTGTCACCTCTTACTTTGGTCTCTGAACCCTTTGATTCCGTCGGTTTCAGCTGCCACGACGCGTTTCGAAGAAATTGACTCTCAGCTTTTGGCTCCGCTGTTGGTTGCGTTGGAGGCAGCAAAATTTCTTCACGCTCACAATTGCATCTACTTTGATTCGACAGTCCTTCAAGCTGCTCAAGGGCGTAATGTCGTCTAGCTTGTAACTCCTGCACCTCAATATTCAGTTGAGTAGTAAGAGTTTCGAGATATCTGCGCATCATAGCCAAATGCCGGATATGGCAGTGGTGTACTGTAGTCATTTCTTGACTCAAAAAATATGTAATGGGGTTGGTTTGGCCATTTTGTCGTACATGCCTCGACTGGTATCCATGATAGATGGTAAAGTGTCCTTGGGCCTGACCTCTACTGAAGGTTAAAGCAATCCAAAGGAAGTTAATGCACCGCATGAAGGACTGCTGCTTTCGTGACGCAATGATGAATGAGATTGGTGTTCTCTGGTATTGTGAGATTGAAGTTCTCTGGCGTTATGAGATTGAAGTTCTCTGGCGTCATGAGATTGAAGTTCTCTGGCGTCATGAGATTGAAGTTCCCTAGTGTTGTGAGATTGACTACCCATCCAAGTGATCATTCTCAACCAAGGCAGCTTCAATCTATCGCAAAAAATTGATGCAAGCTTTAAACCTTTTTGTACCGAGCGGGTACCTAAGTTAGCGTTATATAGATGCACCGCGAGTTACGAGGCTTATTCATCAATGCCCTTGTATTACGTTCTAATGGGGCTTCTATGTCATAACGTATTAGCTCTTTATCTGATTACATTAGCTTTTCTATCAGCGGCAATTACTGACTTTTGTCGTTATTTACCAAACGCGCCACCATCATTACTTCGTTAACGTCAAAATGTTTTTTGACTAAACTTCTGAGGAGCGCGAGATGGCGTTCTAACAGGAGTAAGAAATTAGGTCAGAAAACATAGTGAAGCCAAACCGTTAAGGCAGTAACGCGTTTGTGACAACGAAATGGGTGCAATGTATCAAGTAAATGGCAGCCACGAAGTGCTGCAGTTAAAATATTTGTTTATTAGGAAGGGGTAAAGCTGCTAGTCATAGTCAACATAATGACCAATGCGTTAATGCGAGGTGCTCTCATTTACTTGCATGCAACAATCGAGATCCGCACTGTGTATATGTACTAATAACCTCACCTTCGTATTTTATTCGCATCTTCGTTTCGTACAAATAGATGCCCCTGGACATGCATTTTGTTGCGCAAAATATCTCAAAGGGACAGCAGCATGTGACCAATCAGTCCTTATTGTACAAGAATTCTTTTTTGACTGATATGCGCGCTCCACACATTCTATATGACTGTCCGCATAACGCGACCAATAGCATCATGGCGATACTTGTATCCTTGGCACAACTTCTGCGGGATCCTTCCTATAACAGTTGCAGCATCTCGCTAGCAAAAGTTCGCGTGTCACTTCCAATACAGTCGATCCATGGCGTAGTTTTCGAAGGCATACCGTCAGCTTTAATAGAGGTACGACGCACAACTCATGTCTGTATGATGGGGTTACAGGAAGGTATGTATTATATATACACAACTGCTACACCATTTTGGTGTTTCTGTACTTTGGGTAAATTGACCTTTACCGTGTAACGGGATTACACAAGTTGTATATGTGCCACACTAAAATGATGTGGCTGTATTTTGGGTACAATATGCTCACAACCCCTTCGGTGTGAGCTGTAGCTAAGGTACAACGGGTTCATATCTCGGCAGGGAGCCACGTGGCCGTAGTAATGGGCTAAGTACATTGGATATATACGTATGTATAGAAGGATGGCTCCAGAGTCAGCTAAAAATAGTGACTAGCTCAGTATAGAATAGTTTTTTTTTCGTTTTCTGTACTAGTGCTAGAAGATAAAAATTTGATCATCAGCGTGGAACCTGCTCTGTTAAGCAATTGTTGCTAGGTGATCATATTCCTTGGGAAGGAATAAGTATCTGTGATACTGATCTCGTAGAGACGTTGGTTTTGTACAGCCAAGAATGCATAAGCTTGTAAAACTAGCCTTGAAAACGGTTAAGAACCCCAAGGCGTAGAGATCGTAAAGCTTGTATTTCTCTGCACTTCGTGCATGTAGTATCTGGTAGCTCGGCTACATCTTTTCGAGGCTCCGAAAGAGATGAAGATGCGCGTCGGAGCCTCCAAAGAGATGCGCGTCGACAAATTTACAAGGTGAAGACAAAGCAGGAATGAACAAAGCATATTGCTGATAGATATAAGCTCATTGAGATTCCATCAATAATGAGGTGAAAAAAGCGGTTTAAGATGAGAAGTTGCGACTGACAAAGCAAGCTGGTATTTTACCAATGCGCTTGCCCCACGCTTAGGAAAGCTGAAAAAGCTTTTTTATGGTTTACAGATACCTCATGAGGGGTTCTAATAGGCGCTAAACTTGCTGAAAGGTCGAGACCTGCAAAGCAAAATAGTGACTCTTTGGAGACCTCAAGGTGCAGTAGGCAGCAGATAAGCAATATGATAGGCGATACATTATTGATTCCACTCAGTTCTAAATTTATCAGATACTATCTAGCTAAGAACTACACACTAATTGTTGCCGTTCAGTTCTCAGCTTGGGACCTGATCATTCATCACCGAATGCTTTACACACATCTGACAAAGACCTATGCTATAGTTGCATAGAAGTCCACTCAGCCGTCGCTGCTAGCGATACGAATAACCGGCTGAGATAACAAAAACGCACGACAGTATATGACAATGACTAAGACTTTTTCTAGCAGCTAAATATCATATGGGTATTACATTACTGGAGTGGTGCTAGCTGACGGTGATTACCGACAATACATCTGGTCACGAGACGGTGACCCCGGTCTTTTCGAGGTTGGCCCTGATCCCTCGTTGTAGACCCTGGTCTTTCGTTGGTAGACCCTGGTCCCTCGGTCAGTGGACCCTCGACCCCTCGGCCCCTCGGTCACTCGGCCCCTCGGCAAGCAGAATCAAGAATCAGGCCTCGGGGGTAACGATAGCGTAAAGAAGTTAAAAGATAGGACCATCTTAAATACTAGTCAATTTGCGATCTACATAGCACGTACCTTGAAAGCACGATGGACGCGTGCTTTCAAGGTCATTACTAATTCTACCCACCTGTTTCGGGAAGGGATACATTTTGGTCCCCCGTCGAAGACAGTGTGTGGTAAGAACCAAGTGCGAATAGAGACCCAGGATATATTTGGCCTGTGGGTTCGTCTGAGTAGCACCCCCAACTCAACCCGCTATCGGAAGCGGTATCCCTACCCTAGTGGATTGGGAGCAAGTAAAGGCCAGGCGGTTAACACCCCTGAGATATCAAGGAAGGAAAAGGCCAGGGTTGAGAATATCCCCTGAAAAATTTGGTTATAAGTCCACCCTAGACCTAGTCGACCGAGTGGCTACCTACCCGCCTGCCGAGTGAAGTATACCCACTCGAGGCACCCCAAGGTCGACCTCTCTCAAGACCGACATCACATCTCAACCAAGTCCTCCGAAGAGTGCAACCCTCCAGCCGACGGGTACACAAAGTGAGAGAAGGTCTATCAAAACGCAGCATCGGGGTACCCCTTCCGACAGTCGGCAGTCCGGTACAGTGAGTGGCTTAGGGTCTCACTACGCAGTTTTGAGAACCCACTCCACCACACTTGCATCCCTGCTTATAAAGCAGTTGCGCTACTTCATCATGGATGAAGCGATGTATCGTGACATCTTTGGAAATGATGACATTGACATTGACTCTAGGGCCAGCGGCGCCAAGTCTCCGTCAAGACATATTACCCACAACCACCATGCTCACCGAAAGAGGGACGGTAATCGCATTCTGTCTCCTCTTCCTCGAGGTTAATACTTCTTTGCGCCAAGCACCACCGCTTCTCTCTCGTAAGGGCGCGAGGAGCGATGATTTAGATGGTACTGGCATCTTGAGACGTCGATACTCAGGATTATTCGTCAACGGTGGGATGTATCACCCCGTTAGCCTCCCTGTGTTCCTCCTAGACGGACGGTGATGCACATACGCAGTATCTTCGACACTTGGCCATAATCCATGTGCCCAAATTTATTGAGTAGGTCTGGCCCATGCCGAAATTGTTTTCGCCAAATAAGTGCACTGGTGCATTGACCATCGCGAGCACAACAAAATGCCCAGAAGCTTCAAGCAAACCTGGTAAAGCGGTGCACCTCGTGCAATATAATAAAACTTTGGCCACGATTTGGACGTCTAGAGATGTACCACATCTACATCTATCAATTAGGCACGGTGCCGCTGCATCTCCACCTTCTACGCAGGCAAAGATCAGTATGAGATCGACTCGTACTTCCGAGTTTGCAAGCTGTCAGGGCGGATTATGCCGTCTTTATCAGAAGTTTGTGAAGATGCTGGACGCTAAGGTGATCCAGACAGGAGATGTTCGTCCTCAAAACGCCAAAGCGGTGAGCCTGCTGACTACTGGTACGCTGAAATGCTGGTACGCAACGTTCCCTTGGCAACAGCTCTCCACAGATTCGGTGGAAAGCTTATGCATACTGGACTTGCATCGTGCGCGTTTCGACAGCATTATGACCGACTTACTGGATTGAGACAGACTTGTTGGAATGAAGCGAGAAAAAGCCGGAAACAAAGTAATCAGGTTGTTTTTATGATTGTAAATGACTGTTGGATACTATAATTATAATGGGATAATCGTATGAATGAAGGTGCATTTATTACCTCTGTAGTCTCAAGCATGAGTATGTAGATGGTTTTGGCCACCGTGCGCAGCTCCCCCCTCGAGGAACCGCGGTCCATCGGACTAACCGCGGCTAACTCCTCTGAATGCAGTACGCCGAATCGTACAATCTCCTCATCCAACGGTCGTCCCCCGTCCCTTTTTGGCGCTCCGTCTTGCTGTCCCTTACCTAACGGTCGCTCCTCCTTGGCGGGCCCCCTTCTCTTTGACCCGTCGATCCTCGGACCTACCAATTCTTGAAACGCTTCACCACACAAGCGCATAACGCTTTGTCAATTAAAGCGCAAAGACCATAGGTGCTCAACGAGAAAGTATTCAGAGCACTGAGATGATTTTTAAGCAAGTGCTAGGGACCTAACGCTTAATCAGCAAGTGTCGTAAGACTAAGATGTAGCGCAAGTGCAATGCACTGCATGCTCAAGGAGTAATTTCGTAACACTAGGGTGCTTGAATAGCGTGAGTGAAATACACTAGATGCTTAATGAGCAAGTTCGTAACACAGAAGGAGATATGGACGCAAGCGGAGCACTTAATACCGAGAAATCAAAGTGGAAAAGAAAGGAAATCGACAGAACTCCACATTAAGTCCGAAAATCGTGGCTACGCCGGGTCCTACGGATTGGTGGGGAGGGTGTAATGGGGTTACACAAAGGTGTGTAATCTACATACACAATTGTGGTGTGGCTGTACTTTGGGTACACTGGTGGCCTATCGCAGAAACAACGAGGAGGGTTGCAAAGCTGCTTCCTATTCTTGGCTCGAAGGGCACGGAATATCTCACCGATCAAAGAGAAGAAGAGGTCAAAAAACGTATTCATATGCGTGACGAGTGCAATAATGCTTTTATAAAGTATGTAAAGGCACAAATGCCATCATCTGCGTTGTCGCATAGAGGCTATGGCGCAGGAAGTGGTAAGTTCGACGGCAAAAATGGCAATAACCTTATGCTGTGGTTTCGACAGCTTGAGTCGGCTAATGGTATATCTGAGAGCAACAACGAACCATACCACGTTTGGCTTTGCCAAACAATGGGCATTCACATGCGGTGCACCACTGCAAGATGCTTTTCCAACATATTCCGATCTGACATTTCAGATGACACGGCAGTATGCGCCGCCCAATCAAGCGCACCAAGATCGGTCGCGATTTTGGGACCTGTTCATTCATCATCGAATGCTTCGCACACGTCTGACAAAGACCCATGGTATAGTTGCATAGAAGTCCTCACAGCCGTCTCTGTTAGCGATAGGAATGACCGGCTGGGATAAGAACAACGCACGGCAGAGCTGCCTAGACAGTGCGCAGTATTGCTTGGTCATGTACTGATACTGCACTGCGGTTTGCAAGGTAACGTTTTTAATGCGCGGTGTATTCAAGATGAAACGGTAAAAGCACCCTACCAGTCGATACAAACATAACATGCCTTGGGCCCGGAAGTACCCTATGCTGCTGACAACGGTACCGAGACAAAGAGGTGAACCAATATTTCGCGACTTTTATTCACTTGTGGAAAGCTTGATCTGTATTGAAAGATGTTCACGTCCAGATATCAGCTTTGCAGTGCTCATGGCAACGCGGTGCACTCAATTACCTACTATGAGTGACTGGAAGCTGACAAAAAGAGTCGCCAGATCCCACGAAGCTTAAGCTCAAGACAATTGTTTCAAGAAATGAAGGAAACAAGGTCAATTTGGCGAGCTGGAGCGACTCGGACTATGCCGGACAGTATGTCTTTTTTACAGGCAGGGTTTTAACCATAAACGGTGTTATTGTGCAGTCAGTGGGTGTGCAAAAAGGAAACAGGGGTGCCGCTTTTGACAATGGAGGCTAAGTTTGCATCGGCCTTGCACGTTGGGCGAGACTTGCTAGTACTGAGAGAGTTGATGCGTAAGATTGGGTTTCAAGTGGAGGCCCCAATGTCAATGCTCATGGACAACCAGGCTACTATTAGACAGCTGGAAACTTGATGTGCGCCTAAAGTTTATGCGCGATTATGCAAGAAAGGACATCGTGAAACCGAAGTCTATGGAATCGCGCCTTATGAAGGTGACTTACTGACAAAAGTGTTGCCGGCGCAAAGGGTTGCAGAACTATGAAAGCTATTCAATCTGCTGTAGCCATGGAGTGTTGGCGAGCGTGCAACGAGTATTGGAAGAAGTGCAAGATGTTGAGAGTGTGTTGAAGTTCGGCCGACCACTCTCGGCAAATGGGTGCAGCCACGATCAGTTAATAAACTGGTTGGATGATGAGAAGCGTTAGAAACATTCTTTGTAGGACGTTAAAACGATATCACTTCTTCTTTTCACAATATCCTCTCGACGTATTATCGTGAATTGTACTTCTTTAATGGTAGCATCGCAATTTGTAGGAAGGAACAGACGACCCATGTCTACCGATATAATAATTACTTTTAAATGTGTAGCACAGTCTGAAAAGTTAAAAGTAATGATGTGGCTTAATCTAAACAGTTTTATGATTTAGAACCATTGTCAAACTCGTAAAAATAATTCAAATTAATAGGTGTAGAATAATCTATTAAATGATTATTAATAACAGCAAATAATGATTTTGTATTCCATCTCATAATATGAAATAAAAAAAATTAACCAAAAAACAAAAATAATTAGAAATATTATACTATACATTTATTTTTTATCCCAAGGATTATTAAATCTAAATAATTGATATTGTTGGAGTAAATTAATAGGTTCATAAACTACTCTCACAAAACGTCCACACGATTTCAGGATGTTGAAGTGACCCTGTTCTCGATTGTTATTGGTGCATTCATGGCCTTACTGTCGGCCAATTAGAGTGCGTCTGGTTTTGTGTATACACCCCACCCCTGTCACAGACAGTTTAGAAACTCATGGAATTTCGACTGGGAATTTACTATTGGTCGTTCAAGCGATCTGGAAAGATCGAGATTACGTCGGAGCAAATGAGGAGAATGACGCCCATTTCGTCACGCCCAGGAGTGTCACAGCTGACAAACATTTCGAGTCTGTTGTCTTTGCCAACTCGACTCATTTTGGAATTTCCATTGTAAAGATCAAGCAACTTGAACAACATTCTTCATAGAACCAACACAAGCTTAAAATATGACGCAAGCTACGACTTCTGGTTACTCAGTGGGTATTGATCTCGGTACGACCTACTCCTGTGTCGGTGTGTGGCAAAACGACCGCGTCGAGATCATTGCTAATGATCAGGGCAATCGCACAACACCGTCGTACGTGGCATTCACGGATTCCGAGCGGCTCATTGGTGACGCTGCCAAGAACCAGGTCGCCATGAACGCTCATAATACGGTATTTGATGCCAAACGCCTTATTGGCCGCAAGTTCTCGGATCCCGTTGTTCAAGCGGACATTAAGCACTGGCCATTCAAGGTGAAGTCGGGTCCTGGTGATAAACCACAGATTATGGTGCAATTTAAGGGCGAGACCAAGACGTTTCAGCCTGAAGAGATCTCGTCCATGGTGTTGATCAAGATGCGTGAGGTGGCTGAGGCTTTTATCGGTAAGGAGGTAAAGAATGCTGTAATTACAGTGCCAGCCTATTTCAACGACTCGCAACGCCAAGCTACTAAAGATGCAGGTGCGATTGCTGGACTCAATGTGCTCCGTATCATTAACGAGCCAACAGCTGCCGCTATTGCATACGGTCTGGACAAAAAGGGCGGTGAGCGTAACGTGTTGATCTTTGATCTTGGTGGTGGTACCTTTGATGTGTCGCTACTGAGCATTGAGGAGGGTATTTTCGAGGTGAAAGCCACTGCTGGTGACACGCACTTGGGCGGTGAGGATTTCGACAACCGCCTCGTGGACCACTTTACGCAGGAGTTTAAGCGTAAGTACCGCAAAGACATGACGCAGAACCAGCGTGCGCTCCGTCGACTGCGCACAGCGTGCGAGCGCGCTAAGCGGACGCTGTCGTCGTCGGCGCAGGCGTACATTGAGATCGACTCACTATTTGATGGTATCGACTTCAACTCTACCATTACGCGCGCGCGTTTCGAGGATTTGTGCAGTGACTACTTCCGCAAGACGATGGAGCCCGTGGAAAAAGTGTTGCGCGATGCCAAGCTGTCTAAGGGTCAGGTGCATGAAGTGGTGCTTGTTGGTGGCTCCACGCGTATTCCCAAGGTTCAGCAGCTGCTGTCAGACTTTTTCAACGGCAAAGAGCCCAACAAGTCGATTAACCCTGATGAGGCTGTTGCGTACGGTGCTACCGTCCAGGCAGCCATTCTGAGCGGTAATGACTCGTCGGAGAAGCTGCAGGATTTGCTGCTGCTAGACGTGACACCGTTGTCGCTGGGTCTGGAGACGGCCGGTGGTGTTATGACGACGCTGATCGCACGTAATACGACGGTACCGACCAAGAAGTCGCAGACGTTTTCAACGTATGCGGACAACCAGCCGGGTGTGCTCATCCAGGTGTTCGAGGGCGAGCGCTCCATGACGCGTGACAACAACCTGCTGGGTAAGTTCAATCTAGACGGCATTCCGCCCATGCCTCGCGGTGTTCCGCAGGTCGACGTGACGTTCGACATTGATGCGAACGGCATTTTGAACGTGTCAGCAGTGGAGAAGTCGACGGGCAAGGAGAACAAGATCACGATTACGAATGATAAGGGCCGTCTGTCGCAGGCTGAGATTGACCGTATGGTGGCGGAGGCTGATAAATACAAGTCACAGGACGAAGCTAACAGAGTGCGCGTCGAGGCCAAGAACGCGCTGGAGAATTATGCGTACAGCTTGCGCAACAGCCTGAACGACGAGAAGATGAAGGAGAAGATTTCAGAGGCTGACAAGAAGGTGGTAGACGATAAGGTGACGGAGGTGATTCAGTGGCTGGACGCACACCAGTCGTCGGAGAAGGAGGAGTACGAGTCGAAGCAGAAGGAGCTCGAGGGTGTGGCGAACCCGGTGCTTCAAAAGATGTATGCGTCTGCAGGCAACGTTGGCGGTGGTATGCCCGGTGGCATGGCGGGCGGTATGCCTGGTTCTGGTGGAGTTCCTTCGTCGGGCAGCGCAGAGCAAGGTCCAAAGATTGAAGAGGTGGATTAAGTTTGTGAAATTGTGAAATTTGCTTGGCAAGTGATCGGTCGGTTATGTGCGTTGATCACGTGGTGCTGCGGGATATATGATTGACACAAGTGCGTAAAAATGTATGTAGTAGGTTGAATGTGACGATTGTGGATCTGCAGGCAGTATGTAGGTTTCATATTGTAAGAAGCTTGAAATCCTGGTCACAGCCTGTCATTAACACTAATATGATTATTTGGTTGGTTTTCACCTAAAGTACGAAAACACAATTTCACAATATAAGCAAAAAATCTCATTAAAAGTCAAAAAGAGACACAATCAATTGCAATGGAAAAGAAAGTGGCCATGGCAGTAGCTAGTGGTGATCCATTCTATGTATTTAAAGAGGTGTGTGTGTGTCTGTATCTATATCTCTATATCAATTTCACTTGATTCTGAGAGAAATGGAATGATTGTGTAATCATGTGACCTCTTTCTTCTTCTTGTGATCTAGTGAACTCGTCGCTCAAGTATCAGATGTAAACCAAAAACTCGCGAAATGGCGCACCTTGCTGGACATTAACGACTCAAAAGAGATTGTAGCTCTTACATATGGTTAGTAGTATACTTGTTGATTGTATACGATCAATAGTATTGTTGTTGTTATGTGGGTTTTTACATTTGTGTTCGTGTGTGATACATGTAGAGATCGAGGAAGCTGTAGCAATAGCAGTAAAGTCTGTCAGGTTCTTGGACGAAACGATCGTTATGGTAAAAGCTAATCGGGCTAGATTTGAACATATTGATACGGTATGAAAGAGATTGAAAGAGAGATGTAGACATATATCGGATCATGCAATTGATATTGACGTGTTTTTGTGTGTGTATGTGTCATAGACGGAAATTACAAGTCGAAAAGCTTTTGTTGCAAGTATTCGAAAGGTGAGAGCACGAGTTGTAAGTGACTGAGTAGAGAGGTTAATGAAAGGTGACGAGTGAATATTTACAGGAACTGCAAGATATTTCTATCGAGATTTCCAGTAATATTGTTAAAGCCCACATATTGCAACAAGAAGACAAAGTATGACACTGTTTTGAGCATTTTTCAATGCACGAGATGGCACTGAAATATATTTGTGATGATTTCTGGTTGTTCTGTAGTCGATATTGCCAACGGAGTCGGCTGATTCTCATAGACCACATGTGACTGAACGGGAAAGAAATGATCGATTTTTGAAGGAGGAAACGCAGCGACAACATGTAAGCATAGTGGTCAAGAGCTATGATATGCTGATTACTAATCCGTGGCGGGTGATTGCTTGGACGAATGATGATGTATTGGTACAGCAAACTATCCAGGAGCAAGACACGAGTTTAGCAGAGCTCCAGACTAATATCACAAACTTACACAAAGTCACAGTAGAGATTTCCGATGAGGTCAAACAGCAGAACAAGTATGTGTCCCTTGCATCTCTTGCTGTCCGTCAATGTGAACAACTGTCTAACCGTGGCGACGCTCTACTTTTGTTTACAGGATGTTGGATGGTTTGACTGATGATGTGGAAGAAGCACAAGAGCGAATGAACTTTGTAATGAAGCGTTTGAGTAAACTTCTAAAGACAAAAGGTACGTGCGGCGTCGACAGTTATTCAATCAAGTTCTGACCCATGTTTCATGCTTTTGTTCTGCATTAGACAAGTGTCAACTGGGGCTTATTCTTATGCTTGTGGCGGTGCTTGTTGTCATGATCTTTCTCGTCGTATACACGTAAACACAATATTTTTGCGCATATTCGCCGGACTTCGACACCATTTATAGCGTGTTTCATGCGTAGATAAGATACGCAGTTTGTGCCGTCGCCCCAATCACAATGTACTGTAGCCTGCAAAATGTTTCGAGGTTGCTTGCAAGCTAAAACGGCGATCGCGGTGTGGTATTGCTCTAGTTATCTGTTTGTAGGTGTCTATGGAGGCAGGGAATGTTCAGCGCAGTCAGTAAGTAAAAAAAGCTAATAACTGCAGGCATCTTCCTGCTTCGGGCTCACACAGTTTGTGGCACCATTACTTCTATTCCTATTGCTCGTTCCCGCCTCGTGTACGGTGGCGCCCGAAGCAAGAAGCAGTCTCTGCTGCTGAAGCACGTCAAAATGATGTTGAGGCTGCGCAGCGACAAGGGATGCAAGCGCCGCCGCGGCAGCATGTGCGGCAAGGAATGAATGCTGCTTCACAGAGCGCGGTGAGGACGCGCCGATCAATGCATTTGCCGTGAGTTGCTGTTGCAGACGCTGCTCTTTCTTCTTGCGGTCCAATTTGCGCTGGTTAGCGTTGGCTCGGAGTCGATGGTAATTGCACAAGTTGTGGTAGTCGCCGCACGACTTGAGCGCGCGCACGTTGTAGCATTTGCCCGTACGGTATTTGCACTTGAGTTCAGGAGCTACCAACTCGGTGGACATGTCGTCAGCAGCCTTCGGCTGTGGCTGGAAGACGGTCCGAAAACTCGGGAGCATGGCATTGTCCACGTCATCAGTTGATCCATTATCTGATCCAGCAACTTCCTCCTCCATAACTTGATACTGCAGCTTGCGCTTCTTTAGCGTCACGAGCAGTGAATTCATCGAGATATTGCCGTCCAGTAGCTCCACAGACGCGTCGTCGACTTCTGTCGTAATAGTGTCGTCTACTTTGATCGCTGTATTGTCTGCATCTCCCTCGACTACTTTCAATGCTATTTTTTTCTCTTGTTGGTTGGACGCATATTTCTTGCTCAAATTAACAAGAGCAATTGCCTCTTGCTCTAGTGATCGCGTCACCTTTTTATCCATGATACTAAACTGCTTTTATATTATTACGATGGTGATGATATGAGACTTGTTTAACTAAACTGACCGGGAGGTATTGTCTGATCGCTATTGTCGTTGGTTGTGATCTGAGTCTATAACCAGGTTTTTAGTGGTTGTCATTGTCGAGGGCAAAACGACCCGGTTTTGCATACATGACGGATCACGCATGCAAACTTCCAAAGATTCCTCTAGTTGATTAATGCTCTTGTCTTTTAGTATTGAAAGAAGATGACAAGACGCAAAGTGAGTACGATTCAACAATTGCTCTCTTACTAGAAAACCAACCCAATCGACTCGCAATTGCAGTGAAATGTTCATTCATTTTCGGGTCCTGTCGACCTCTTTTCAATCAAAACCAAAAAGCCCTCTCCATTAGTCCACTTCTTCAATTTTTGGCCCTTCACTCTTCACTCCATCACCTGAAACACTAGCACCAGCACCACTCGGAGCACCGGTCGCAGCAGCTGATTCCGCTGCATACATCTTTTGCAGGATGGGGTTCGCTACTCCCTCCAACTCCTTCTGCTTTGCGTCAAACTCTTCCTTTTCAGCAGACTGATTTGCATCCAACCACTGTAACGTCTCAGCTATCTTGTCCTCAATGGCTTTCTTGTCTTCCGCACCAATTTTGGACGCCAACTTCTCCTCTCCCATCGAACTACGTAGAGAAAACGCATAATTCTCCAGCGCATTCTTTGACTCGATGCGCAGCTTGTTTCGTTCATCTTGATCCTTGTACTTCTCCGCGTCAGCGACCATACGGTCGATGTCGGCTTGCGACAGACGACCCTTGTCATTAGTAATCGTAATCTTGTTTTCCTTTCCCGTTGACTTCTCCAATGCGGACACATTCAGAATGCCATTAACGTCAATGTCGAACGTTACGTCAATCTGAGGTACACCGCGAGGCATAGGCGGAATGCCGTCCAGATTGAATTTGCCCAGAAGATGATTATCGCGCGTCATCGTGCGCTCGCCTTCAAATACTTGAATCAACACACCTGCCTGGTTATCGGCGTAAGTCGAGAATGACTGCGTCTTCTTCGCAGGAACCGTGGTGTTGCGCGGGATGAGCTTAGTCATGACTCCACCTGCCGTCTCTAATCCAAGCGATAAGGGAGCTACATCCAACAGCAGCAAATCCTGCAGTTTTGAAGATAATCCACCGCCACCTAAGATTGCGGCTTGAACGGTAGCACCATACGCCACAGCCTCGTCCGGATTAATGGACTTGAACAACTCCTTCCCGTTGAAGAAGTCCATTAACAACTGCTGTACTTTTGGAATACGAGTCGAACCACCAACTAGGACAATTTCATTCACCTGGTTCTTTGACAGTTTGGAGTCCCGTAGAACTTGGGCAACGGGTTCCATCGTTTTCTGAAAGAAGCTGCCACACAAATCCTCAAAACGCGCACGGGTGATTGTCGAGTTGAAATCGATACCTTCAAAAAGAGTATCAATCTCAATGTACGCCTGGGCAGAGGTGGACAAAGTTCGCTTTGCTCTCTCACAAGCCGTACGAAGACGTCGTAGAGCACGCTGGTTTGACGACATATCTTTGCGGTGTTTGCGCTTGAACTCGTCCACGAAATATTCCACCAGACGGTTATCGAAATCTTCACCGCCCAAGTGCGTGTCACCGGCCGTTGCTTTAACCTCAAAGATGCCTTCTTCAATACTCAGCAGCGAAACATCGAATGTGCCGCCACCCAGATCAAAAATCAGCACATTGTGCTCGCCACCCTTTTTGTCCAAGCCGTAGGCGATAGCAGCAGCAGTAGGCTCGTTGATAATACGCAATACGTTCAATCCAGCAATAACCCCGGCATCTTTGGTAGCCTGGCGCTGCGAGTCGTTAAAGTAAGCAGGAACTGTCACTACTGCGTTCTTAACTTGCTTACCAATATAAGCCTCGGCGATCTCACGCATTTTAATAAGCACCATAGACGAGATCTCTTCTGGTTGGAACGTCTTGGTCTCACCTTTAAATTGCACAACCACTTGAGGTTTGTTCTCAGGACCACAAGCGACCTGAAATGGCCAGTGTCTAATGTCCGATTGCACCTCTGGGTCAGTGAACTTTCGTCCGATCAAGCGTTTGACGTCAAACACTGTATTGCGGGCGTTCATGGCCACTTGGTTCTTAGCAGCATCACCGATCAGACGTTCGGTGTCCGTAAATGCTACGTACGATGGCGTTGTGCGGTTTCCCTGGTCATTGGCAATTATCTCCACACGGTCGTTCTGCCAGACACCAACGCATGAGTACGTTGTACCCAAGTCAATGCCGACGCTCTGCCCCTTTACTGCCTCAGTCATCGTTCTCAAAACGGGAATTTTTTTCTTGTTGTCAAATTCGGAAATGCCGTTTACCGTCACACCACTCAAAGAAACAAGAACGCGTCCCAGTTTGAAATCATCTTGAGCTTGAGGAATTTGCAGCTAAAAGAGGACGATCAAGTCTCGTCTCGCACGAAAGTTTACAATCTCAACTGCCACATTGCAACCAAACTGGAGCCTAAGATCACTAACGGTTAGAAGTCGCGTCCCAGTCTGTTCCGCCTGATCAAAAGCACTGTGGGAGTTCGAGATAATCTTTCGCAAGTCTCCGCTTGTCGCCATAGTAAACTTGCTTCAGAACGGCACCAAATCCTACTGGGCTCAAGAGGCTTGGAAATGGAGCGAAGACGTTGGAATTTGCACCGCACAATTCATCTTTACAAAAATGCGACCACCTATACTTTGTAGCATTTCACATCGGGTTCATCATGCTAAACGCATTCTCTTCGAGGTTATTGTGCAGGCGCACTATGTTGTTCGATATATTAGCTTATTCACGACCACTTTGACACCAAAGGGCTCGTAGGTCTGACGGCCATCGAACTCTCGAATCCGATACCCCTCTCTTCGACAAACACTTCCTGATAAGTCTTCTTCGAAATTATCGAAAGCAATTCTAGATTCTGTGCGCTTTTTTTGAAATAAGAATGTGGTAAGACATAGCGATTACTGCTTGTTCAGCTCATTGTCAGTTCGCTCGGTCGCTTCCAATCGCAATGTTCCCTGCAACAACATTTTGTCAAAAAGCGGCTACGAGTAAACTATTTCTTGTTATCTATTTATTACCAAGTGAACGTACGCACACCGTCCCAAATAAACGGTTTCTCTCAACTTTCTTGCAGTATCATGTTTGGTTTGCAATCTTACAAAGCTCATAGCTTCAACGCCTATCGAAATGCATTGCAATTCAGAAAGTACGTCAATACTGCATCCTGCGTAGTAATAAGAACTCCATTCGCTTCAGCAGTACTTTTAATGTCGTAAAGACCTCTACAGTGCGTGTTTCAAGCACGATTCCATATATACAATTCCATTCCGAACCAGTCGCAAGGAAATGCTAGTATCAGGTGATATGGACTACGCTTCATTAGTCATATAACGCCGGTTTTCGAATTTCAGATCGGAATCAAGTGTCAGCAATTCTGCGGATGTTTTGACACAATGGACTGTATCATCAGAGAGAAGATGCAAGTTGCAAAAGAAGCGACCAGCGTGACCGTATTCAAAATGCAAAACTACAAGTTGCAGTAATAATCAAGCACAGCAAAAGACCTTAGCCTCTTTCTGGACTTTAGCTTGCTTGTCTTGTTATCTTCGCAAGCATTGTGACGACTCTTCGTTCGGATGGTTTGCTGAAAACCGCTAACAGCCTGTGTGGTCCGAGTAATCATACTGACAGGTGCATTAACCAAAACATTATAATTATAGGGAAGGTAAAGATTTTCAGCCTAAAAGATACACAGGACAAAGACAAAGCGGTTGACATGTAGGCTAATCGAATTGTGACGTTGGCAATCAACAGTATATTCTTGTCTGCGAGATACACGATTGAAGAAAACTTCAGATCTCATACCTTCCCCACATAACACGCTCAACTTATTATTCAAGAATGCCTAAAGCTGAAATCGTTTAGCTATTTCTTTAACACTTCCTTCAATATGTAAGTACAAAGTGATAGCGCAACTTTCCAATCAGTAATGGGCATCACATAACAATGAATAGCGATATTCGATTTGGTAAGCTACAGACTCATCATATCTTCATGTTGACCTGCCTATAAGTATCAAATCATTACGAATCAGTTAATGAAAACCTTTACAACATCCTTGCTCAAGCAAAGAACAAACGAATTGTTTGTAATGGTAGAAACTGTTTTTGACTCCCATTTCAAGCTGTGCTCGTCGTTTTGAAGTAGCAACAAGTGCCTTAACCTAGCACATTTTCTTCCGTCGCCTACCTCGAGTGAGCCGGGCTTGAACCAACGCTTTTCGTTCAATCGTGGTAAAAATACCGACCATGCGTTATAACCAAATGATAACTGATAAATTTCCAAAACCATACAACAGAAAACATTTGTATCATTTGATCATACGAAAGGTTCGTTTGCTTTTTGTTGCTGCGACAGAGCGAAATTTACTTGCTCAAAAAGTGTCTGCAGAAGTCCATGTGTGCACTTAGGACATACTTTTTGGCACTCGCTCTATTTCAAAGAGCCAGAGCTGCAGTATGATGGTGATGACAAGGCTGTGCGGGTGCGCGCGCACCACAGGGGCATCGCATATGGGGCCCGTCCTCTGGCACTATGCGGAAAAGACAAGAGCACACTGCCCGTCAATATCACGGTTACAGTGCAAGGCGGAAAGGGGTGTTCATCGACAAACGGTGTCAAGTTTGTCACTTGTCAACTTTCCAGCTTATATAACTTCTAGTCTCAGTCAGTCGAGCACAAGTCACACCCGCTGCAACCAAGTCAACACTTCAAGAACTTATTCATCATGTCTGCTTCTACTATGATGCCGCACCTGCAACCTCTCTTACCTGTAACCATGACGCCAACTCGGAAGTTTAAAGCCTTGGAGCCACTAGCGCTTTTGGAAAAGATTGACCGTATTGAAATTAACGGCACGATAGTGCGAGGCGGCGTCGTGTTTTACATACTTGACGTATATTTGAAGCACTGCTCGTCGCGAATTCCAACCAACAAGACTGCCAAAGCTACTTGCAGTGACCGACCTGACTATCAATTGGAGCGACGGTTTAACGACTTTGCCAACCTGCGTTATCAAGTTTGGGCATACGCGCAGCGCAGAGTGCCAAGATGGATTTTCTTGCAGATACTGCGAAGATTTCATGAACTACATTGTGCACTCGATGTCACAGCCAAGGTTGTTTGTCAAGCTGACCACTGGCGTGGAAACGCGAAAGAAGCTGATGGCAACGTTTTGCAACGAGTTCATCGGCATGACCATTGGTGAAAAAACAGAGACGCGGACGCGGAACTTTGCCTGTGATGGGTTCGAAGCAATACCATACGTGATTGAGCGTTTTTTTAGAAAATGACGGGCGCGTATTCTGATTGGGACTGCGACCGATTGAAGATTGCATTGTTGCTACGTCGTCGTATCTATCCATATTTATTTTTTTCAAACAGCTTAGCGTTGTTGTATAATGCTCAGGAGTTCATCGGCAAACTTTTGTGTATGAAACAAACGATTGTAAAACGACGTAATTTTTGCAGATAGCAGAGAGATTCCAACCTTTGCTTGTCGATACTTTACATCGGTTACACGTACGTGCGGAGACATTTTATAGTCGGTTGCCACAAGGCGGGTAAGATTGATAGAATTTGAATACAGCTTATGAAGCTTTTCCAAAAGAGTCCGCTCCATTTTTTTACATTGTTTCCCCTTCAGACGGACGATAATGAATCCAATTACCTTGGAAAAAATCTTCTAGCAACTAATATTATGATGACACTATGTCGTAACTACATTAGCCGTCCGCAGCATACATTAATTCGACTTCTTTTCGTATGCACGTGAAAATCGTACCGAAGGTCTCAACGTGTAGTGGCGAGGTCAAGACGGAGATGTGCGTTTTTTGCTGCATTTCATCGAGCGTATCTGAGCACAAAGCTGAGACGCTTCTTGTTACCTTTGTTTCGCAATATCTACAATGGCAATAACAAGACCGATTGTCCTTGTACATACCGCGATGGAGAAAACAACGCCTATCCTCCATCCTACAGCCCTGCCTCTTCTTGTGAATGCGGCATAGATATCGTCGACAAAAGTGTACAGATCGAGTTCTAGATGCTGTGCGGAGGAAAGAATCACCAGCCGTTTTTGATCACCAACGAGCGCACGAAGTCAGAAGGTAAACAACATGTGCGATTGGCTGGCACTGATGGGTAAACGAGACGACGTGACATGGTCCTGGAGCACATCGCTTCACAACCGAAGCTTTGTCCATCGGCCACCAGTTGAACCAAGGACTTTGCAGACCTGTGCTACCAGGTATGAGCGTACCTGACGCAATCGTGGAAACGCTGCACGCTTAAGTATGTGACGCGTTCACGAGCTATCTCATTTCACTCAATGTCGCAGGCGCAGATACTGCTAGTGTGGATATGCGTGAGAAGCTGATGGCTACGTGCTGTAACAAGTATATCTCCATGGCAAGACGGAGCTGTGGCTGTGCGTAGCGGTGCCCAACGTCGTTCCTTACTTAGAAAAGAATGCAGTGCTTTGTTGTGGAGAAGGACGCGTAAGGGGCAAGCTTCATTGTGTTCTTGTACATTAGTGCTGCATTTTTTGCTCATATTACAAGCTTTCTAAGTGGTATCTACTGCATTTAGCTACCCGTATCTTAGCGACATCCATCTGTCAAATAGCATAGATTAAATGCCGCCATCTTGCGCAGCATATGCACTTCGCCATCTGATGTGTTCATTTTCATTGGTACATTCTTTGCTTAGCACAACGTTTGTGACTCGATCTGTTTGGTCTATCGACATATGTGACGAGACTATGCCACGTTGAGAGCTAAAGTGTAGACTAAACTTGTGCTGTGGAAGGTGCAAGCCTTACAGCTCCTTTCAGCGCATTTGCATCGCATTAACACCGGTAGAGTCTGAGAGGTTACATGGTGTGCACTGATCAAAGCAATTATCGCACAACATGGCGCTATTGTGGTCTCATATCAACGAAAGATTCGGTTAGCCAAATACTGCCAGTGGCAACATCTGCTAACACGATGCACCTTCCACGAATATCAGACATTGTTGTGGTTGACAAAGTCTGCTGAATCGATGAAGCATGTTTTTCTTTTGTCCAAATGTTGGAGAGAATACTGGGTCACTGGACAGATGTGATCAGGTTTGAGCGACTTTGACGGCTACCTCAAATATTCATGCCCATGGTGTCACCCCGTGCGGCGCGCAGAGAGCGCACAAATAGCGCTCAGCCGCTTTTTATCTGTGAGGCTCAGGTAGTCAGTCGCTTCGAGACAAGTAGAAGTTACGCAGTGAGCATAAATACCTAGGCTTAATGGCAGAGACTATGGAGCTAAAGCTTACTTCAGTTTTCAATTTAGCACACGTGCGTAACGTCAAAAGCGTGGACTCATCCATAGCACCGTCACATCATGGTGCACTTCTGGGAACGCGCGTGGGCACCACCGCTCAGCCCGGTCTGCCTGAATCCGCATCGCTTGTCCATTGCTGTCGAGCCTATCAGTGTACTAGAGAAGATAGATTACGTAGAAATCACAAACTTTACAGAGATTGACGGTGTCATTTACTACTGCATCGATGTCTACCTGAAGTACCATATGAATCGCATTCCGACCAACAAGCGGTTGGTAGCTTCACGACGAGACCGACCTGACTACACTATCCGTAAACGCTTTGACGACTTTGCTAACCTGCGCTATAAAATATGGAGCTACGCGCAGCGGCAACACTTTGGCGGGACTTTGTGCAAATACTGTAGCACGAACATGGACGTCCTTTTGACGAGTTTTTCGCAACCGAGGCTGTTTGTTAAGTTATTTGTCAAAGGAAAGAAAATTCGCAGTTGGCTGCTTACGAAGTGCATTAACCAGTATATCGAGATGGCTATTGGAAAGAAGGAAGCGCGGCAGAGGAGCTACACGTGTGATGGCTACAAGATGATTCCTTCTCTCGTCGAGCGGTTTATGCGCGATGATGCATGAGAATACTAGAGACATGCATGAATCAAATACATAACCGAATGCAACTTAGGGTAATTACTTTGCTATGACTCGTGCTTCCACTGTCTCCAGCATCGCTGCCAACCAGGCCCGAGTGTTGCTGATTGTATAAACATTAGTTGGCAAGATTAGATGGATCAGCTTGACTCTGCATCATAAATTCAATGGCAATGTAGAACGAGTGGCGTTGACTTGATACACTCGTACTACCTACTAACAATGTAGGCATTAGTACGAAGGAAGCTCGCTCCATGTTAACTTCCAAAATGAGACCCAAAAAGCAGTATGTTGCAAGACAAGTAGAAAATCTTACATCAGACACCCTGCTAATGTGTGTCATATAATCCTGCTAAGACACAAAATAGGTTTCTTGCGGCAGTCTCGCCTGAACACTAGAATAAGGTTGATTTTTGTCGTAAACGTATTCTCGGTTGTCTCTCTAGATGCATATGCTCGCGTGCACGAGATCTGGCCGGAAGCTGACTTTGTGACAAAAGCTGTCGGACTTGACGGCTGGCTCTGTGCTAGCGGTCACAACAAAGCGCGTGCTTAACCACGTTGCGCCTTTTTTGAAGATCCCTGGTGCTCATATCGCGTTTGGAGTTGAAAAGCTTGGAACACTTGTACATCTATCGTAAATGACTGTCGAGTTGTTGCTATCGTATTTTCCTGCACGCAGAGCACGCAGAGCAAGAAAATACGATAGCAACAACTCGACAGTCATTTACGATAGATCCCGGGTATATGTTTACGGTGAAGTCACTGCTATCTTAGTTTCGCTCGTCGAGTTCTCAAGACGGAGAGTTGTGAGCTTGTCACCACTGAGTTTTTGGCTCATTCAAAATCCTGATCGAGTGCGACGATAATGAGCTGCCTCAAGTTCTGAGTGCTTCTGAGTACATGAACGCTCACATAACTGCTGTTGTCGTCTTAAATGGCCATTAGCTTGTGTAAGTTTGTGATCACTACCACGACAGCCGGTGGCATCGCAGACGCTGCTGCACCAGACGATTTTTTCTGAAGACGTTTTTTATTTACGACTAGTTCAGCAAGGAAAATAAATCGGCTCACCTAAGCTAAAAACAAATCCGATTACCTCGCTGTTTTTGATCGTCTTTGGGTCACAATCGGTAGTCATATAGCCTAAGTCGTGTGGAATGAAGCAGAAATTGGTTATTGGAACAGGAGATGAAGCAGAAGCCATCTCGATTGTCTGAGCTTTATTTCCAGCTGTTGATTGATTACGGTGATGCCGAGATCACTAATGGCCCATGGTGATGGTCACGGCGATTACAAGGCATTTACTTTGGTCAAAGTACTCAGAGGGGGCTATGGCGAGGGCGCTGGTCCGTGATTCATGGTAGGTATAGAGGACATTGGTTTCAAGTCAACAAAATGTTTTCCATATCTGCCATTATTGTTTTTAGGACCAAAAGTTGAGTATATCTGTTGGTTTATGCCAAGATGAACCGACATAGCATAGTCGCAAGTTAATAATAAAAAAGATCTTAATGACCGCTTGCATTTATTTCTGTGTTGACCTCGGTGGACTTGTAGTTGTCATCACTAAGATAAAAGCCCAGGAAAAGTCTGCGCTTCAAGTTATTTGCACAAACAGCATGATCTCCAACAACAGGCATCGGCAGTGACATACTTAACGCTGCTGACATAAGGATTCGAGCATGACAAAGGGAACACAATTGTTGTCCGAAAATGAAATGTCGTACACATACAATATGCCGTGCGGGCTGCCTTCCATTACGTCGATTATCAAAGAATTACTGATTGCAAGAATTGGCAGAAGCATTAGGAATCAGCTCTGTTACAACCAATTGCACTAGCCACCCGCTGTAGAATATTCTAACTACAAGTCCTCCTCCACCCGCAGAGCGGATTGGTATACTAAAAGCAGGTCAAAAGATATGAACATCACAGTAATGCAAGTAGAATGGTACAAATATCCTTAGTGTCCTTGAATTTGGACGAGTGTGGTGCCAATCGATTGAAGTGACTGCTTGCAGTAAAGATCGATTCGTCGGTCGGCTATAAAGGCGACGAATACGGATAGAGGGGGTGGGTGGGTGTGAGTGCTTAGAATATACGAACGAGGTGTATCAGCAAAGCTGAAGTAGATTCATAGCGTGCTCTGCACCGGCCCCAAAATGCCTTTGCGTACAGGTACGCGCCTGAGGTGATGCTAATGTTTACCTACTATGACTTGCATACGCTATTCACGCAGACTTTTAAATTGATTTATTTGGCAATTAACATGTATGGACTTCAGTGTGGAGGCTGCTAAACAAGATATAGTCAGCTCGCGGTGGCGTAGAACAAGGCTCCTCCTATACATCATGGTTTGTGGAGATAAAGAGAAATGCGTGCACGGCTTGTGGGATGAGAGTGTGCCCGGAGCAGCATCCTCGTGTACTGGTACAGATTCGATGAACGGTAACCCTCAAGAGCCCAACAATGAACTTCATTACGCTACGCTTCAGCCGCTTGCCGCCAAGCAGGCCAACTATAAATCCATCAGGGTTTGCTCCAAACACGATCAACTCAAGGCAGTCCGCACACAAGTCGCAGGGCTTACCACGATGAGCCTCATGCGCGATTTCGTAAATTCTGTCACGAAGTTGAACAAATTCCAACAGTGTTCTTTCAATCCTTACGGTTGGTCTTTGTAGCTGAAGACTATTGGCTATAGCTTCATAATTTGCAAGGGTTGAATCTGAGCGCGCAGGAAACACCTCGACGACAAACATATCTTTCTTTCCTGCACACCGAACTTGAATGGCGTTCACTTTCTTCAGCTCTAGCATTGCGCTTTGCCAAGCCGATAGGGCTGAAGGCACAACCACGACTGGCATAAGCAACTGAAGCTTTTTTGAGCCCAGATTGTCGGACAAGGGCGGCAACATGACTTCTTTGTGTTGCAGGCCACGTGCTTGATGTTAAATCGAGGAATGAGTAAGAATGCAGCAAGCTCAAATGGTCAGCGCAAACGCCGCACGATTACATCGTTGCTCATCAGGAAAAAAGTTAGAATTGTTGACGCATCTTCGAATCTCGGCGATTAGATCGGTCGCAGCTGTTTCTTCTGAGCTCGTGTTGATGCAGTTAACACGATCCTCATCACTGATGGGCATAATATCGTCTACATCAAAACTAAAGTCCAACAACAACGATTGTCATCTTTTGGCCGCAGTATGTGTCAATCAATCAATCACATACCACGACAAAAGCACCGTTTTTCAATGCTTACACTTGCATAATACTTGTCATCGGACACTACCACAAGCCTTTAGCCTTGGGCGTTCAGCTTGAATCAAGACTGCTCTCCCAACTACAACATGCAGTTCAAAGACTATTCATTCAATCCACGGTTGTCCGGTGATTTAGATAACCGTGGCTTGATGAATAGTCTCTGTCCGGTGCTTTAGCAGCCAACCTCGACGCCAGAAAGGCTCCCTTTCTGGCTGCGTTAGACAGGCTATCTCAACGACTGCGTGCTACAAAGGGACTCAGTTTGCCTGCGGTTTTCCGAAGGCGCAAAATATTCCGGTTTGCTAAGACTCAATGTCTCATACTCTCTAAAGACAAATCGTATTAGATAAAATGTGACGGTCGAAGGATTCTTGCTTCGGAGAAGCGGCTCAGAGTACCACTTCCCTTTAGCAACAGTCATTGTCGCAGGCACGAGGCAAATTGCGGCAGATATTAGATTTACAAGATCGATTACACCATATAGTCAGCACGGAAAGAGCTTGTGGAGGATAGCTTCACGAACATCATAGCTTACCCCGTCCAAGCGCCGATCAGTAGCCAACACTACACAAGCACACTCCAGACAAGTCGTTCCAGTGCACGTTTGCGGAGCTAGAGAATCTGCAAATGCAACTTTTTTTGTAGATATTGTGCCCATTGCAAGCGTATGACATCATACACGGCCTACTACTACTGGGAGCGACCACGTTTGCTTGCTCCGTCATTGTAGGAAGACGTGACCTGCATATGGGCCGCCCAGTACGAATCCTGAACCAGCTGCTATGCTATTTTTTCTCTGTCGACCTTGACGATGGCCATAGGAGTTACTACCACCATATCATATTCTGCAGCCATGGTGATGCACGGTTTCGTTATTAAAAATGACCCAAGCATGCTCAGCAGACGCGCCATGTTCACAGACTCAACCTGGACAGTCATCACGTGTCACGTGATGACCGTAAAGAGGGACATTTTGCGGCGAATGTCATTTTCTGCTGCCTAATGCTTAATGCTATAGGAGATTCGTTGTACTACTGGAGATAGGGATGCTACGATGTTTTTCACGCACTTCAAGGCATTCAGAACGACTTGAGAATTGTGCAGGCGTCCAAAGACTTTTTGTGCTCGTCGTTTGACTTACTCGCTGACTTATTTATTGATACCTTCTTTATTCAGTTAGGGCGTGCGACAGTGTAACATTTTAATGGCAAGACAAGTTTTCTACAGATTCTAAATAATGAGTACAGAGAATCGATTGAGTTCTCTCTTACAGGCATGCTCTCACGCATCTTACGCTCGTGGTAGAAGAAATTAACGCATGAGTTGGTGACTCTGTACTTGAGCAGAACACCATGGCGTACCCTCACTACAGGCAAAATGTATCAAAATGTCTAAAGCGACGTCCACAAACTCCTGCAGCGAGCGTCTTATTTTGTCGCGCCCGGTCAACATTCGAAGCGACCACAAGTAATTAGGATGTTTAAGAATACTGTAGCCCTGGGTGTGTGAATTTCTTTCACCGAGCGGCTCAAAGTAGCGTTTTTCTAACAGTCAAAGCAATAGCACGAGCTTGCTGTATACACAACTCAGAGGTATAATCACACTGAATGGTTTACGTATCACAATGAGATAGATTGGATGATGTAACAGTGAGCTAGCTACGTCTGAAAATGTCTTTACCAAACATACTGAAATACAAGGGATTCTGCCCACTGCTAACAGACAGAACCCTGATTGAAGCTGAAAATTAGAATAGTAACTACGAGCGCCTTTTTTAAGTTGAGCTACTTCTTCTACATCGACCCAGTCTTTAGTTTGTCAAATCTATCTTTGGTTTGCACATGTGCAGTGTTTGCGTTGTCTTGCTTTGGCGCGTCTATGCTAAGCTATCTTTTTGACGGTGTTATGCTTGCCCATCATTTGACATTCAGGCAATTTTGTTTGAGACACACGAGCGCAAGCAGCACCAAGGTAACGAAACAAGCTTGAAGCCTATTGCAAACATTACCAGACGCAGGTGGTATAGTAAACTTTCAAGAGACATTGTTAACGCGTGAAATAAAGTTCGAGCGCTCTCAAAGAGCCGGGGCAAGCCGTATGTTTGTTGGTCTCCAGCGGGTACGAGACTATCATCTCGTGCCAAATTGATTCGATTGGATGCAGTGCAGCACAGTACATGGCTCTTATGTTCTTGCTCGCGTATCTGCCTTTCTCTAAGTCAGAGCCTTACTTTCGAATTCGCCATATCCAACTCATAACGTCCTGATCATGCAGATGCCACCACGTGCATCGAATTTGCAAGACACGAGTTTTTTCTCTCTTCCCACTGTTGACTCTACAAGGGCATCAAATTCCGCCACCACAACTCGCCTGTTGACACGCCACCAAGTTGAAAGCGTGCTCGTATCCGGTGGCACACCGCGTCGTCAAGGTACAGCATATTATACACTTGACGTGTACACTACCACCCCGACTGGCACGCCAAACGACTTTCTTGCTGCATGTTCAAAAATCAATGATGACGTTGACCAAGCTACTGCTCGCAAACCCGCGTATCAGGTCCAGAAGTCGCTAGCAGACTTTGATAAACTTCGTCGCGCTCTTTACAACTCGTCACAATTGGCACACAGGTCTGTCTCCTGTGAATATTGCACGGAAGTGATTCAGTACCTTGGAAAGGGAGACAAAGGATTTGGTAGCAGCACGCTTCGAATGTTGACCGGGCGCGACAAAATAAGACGCTCGCTGCAGGAGTTTGTGGACGTCGCTTTAGACATTTTGATACATTTTGCCTGTAGTGAGGGTACGCCATGGTGTTCTGCTCAAGTGCAGAGTCACCAACTCATGCGTCAATTTCTTCTACCACGAGCGTCAGATGCGTGAGGGCATGCCTGTAAGGGAGAACTCAATCGATTCTCTGTACTCATTATTTAGAATCTGTAGAAAACTTGTCTTGCCATTAAAATGTTACACTGTCGCATGCCCTAACTGAATAAAGAAGGTATCAATGAACGAGTCAGTGGAAAAGATAAAGTTTAACCTGTTTTTGACCATGCAATCAGCAGCTCGTTCCATCAACTGCTTCCATTATGGGGTCTCCCACAAATCACAAGTATTTTTTCAGGCGTGGTGATCTATCTTTTCTTTCGTATGCAGACGCGCTCATAGGGCCCATCATTATCTTTTACATTGCGCTTGACGTGCTTGGCTATCTGTACATCGTCGGCACACTATCCGTATTCATCGCCTTTTGTAGCCGACCGACGAATCGATCTTTACTGCAAGCAGTCACTTCAATCAATTGGCACCACACTCGTCCAAATTTAAGGACACTAAGGGACATTTGTGACCATTCTACTTGCATTACTGTGATGTTCATATCTTTTGATCTGCTTTTAGTATACCAACCTGCTCTGCGGCTGGACAAGCTCGATTCGTGGTGGTGGAGGCAGCTTGTAATTACAATTTTCTGGCTGGTGTGAAAAAACTCTGAAAGCTGATTCCTGGTCGCAATGGTCATCGACTTACTAGTTAGTATGTGCTACGGCTGTTGGTGTGACACTAGCAACGACCTACTAAGTGGGGCGTTCGTGTGGCCTGCAAACCGAGTTGTAATCTTTCATATTCCTTGGGTAAAAAAGATTGGAATGGTGCATATGAAGACAACTATTAGTAAAAAGCGTGCTACGGTCTCTATCGTTTATAATACGTAAGGGCTTGCAAAAACAATTAGACTCTAATGCAAAATGCAGCTATATGTAACATACATCCAAGGATACCTGAGTCTGTAGTGTCTTTCGATCGACAACGAGTACGGCTCTATTTGAGCTCGATAGCTGCGTGAATCGCTATTGCAACAACCTAAGCCACTTTGTAAGTGTATCTGTTTTGTCCGACTCAAAATCAATTGCCAGCAATATTAGAGCCACCATACACATTGTGAATCGCTTTCGTGAGCAGCTAGCATTCAAGCGACTGAGTGCTTTTCATCATGCATTCGCTAACTGGAAGGCAGCATCTGCTAGCGAAAACGTCGCGGTCTATTTACGTGGAATCTATAGCTACCAATAGCATCTTCTTGATCGGTCTTGAAGGCTCGAGGTTGCTCCATACTATCCTCCACAGCCTCCGGGGCTCCAAACAACCGCGATTCTGTAGATATGGTCCGCGATTTCTGTAGATAATTGCATCCTTTAGTGTACGCGGGGTACCGTTACATAACATTGGCACCATCATTAGTGGCAATGTACGTGAATATATCAGATGCTTCGGAATATTACCAATCCATTGATTGGTAATATTCCGAAGCATCTGATATAGGCCAATCAACGATGGATGCGCGGAATAGATGGTTAGCAGAATATACTTTGTATTTTGATAAACCTAAAGCAGACCAAATAGTTAAGTTTATTATAGGCTTTAGTTATACTAATTACAGATCCCCGTTCTTACCTTTATCTAACAAGTATTCATCATAGGCAAATTTCCTTCCAACTCCACGTTGGTATACGTGAAGTCCGGGCGCTTGCCTACGATGTTATCAGTATAGGCACACTATTTTTGTTTGTCAATGTAGGTAGAACTATTCTGTCATTACTCTAGTCGGAGGGTGGCCCGTTACACCTCGTAGCACTTCGTGATCTTTTAACGATCATGGACACAATCACTGTGTAGCCAGAAAATGCCAAAAGCTTCTCAGACCAGGCTTGAGATATTCGGCCATGTAAGTGACATTCAACGACAGACGGTACAGAGAATGGCTGAGGCCATCGGTGAGGTACGCATATTGGTCGGACATCAAACTGAAAGTTACTCGACACCATTATTGCTTAAAGAGTCTTCACACGCTTGCCGGCTTGGGTTTCCGCCAGCGCGAAAAATTGAGCGAACTTGGCCGCTACTTCAGACTTGTTTTGGAGCAGATACACTGCACAGTAGTGCAAGTACTCGTAATCCGTTTGTTACTGAAGGTAGGAGTTTTCATGGGCCACACACACCGCTGTAATTTTTTGACCTTCAGCAACATACTTGCTCGGTCGGGTGACTTAGGCATATAGCTTACACGTGTTTGCTTGCCAAAAGTGCATTCTTCACAAAACTACCACTTCTGCGCCGACTTCATGGCGATTCCACTGATATAATAATCTTTGACGATGGCATCTGGACCGCCATGTCCAATGTGGCCAAGTTCAAAAAGCCAAAGGTAGAACCCATTGTCTCTTTTGCAGTTCTTCTGACTTGCCATATTGACCTCGTCAGGAAACTCCGGTGTCATACAAAGCGTAAGCAACCCCATTCCTTTGAGGGCGCCGAGTTTTCACTTTACACCCTTCCTTTTCACTTAACTGCCATCGACTTCGTAGTTGACAGGCCTCGACGTCCTTCACAAAAAAAATACTCCAACGGAAAATAAGTTTCGAGATAACTCTGGGTATGCCACATATTTGTGAGCACACCATTCTTGACCCCTTGACGAGTCCTCATTGGCATGACAATGTCACCCTTTTAATCGCTTGTACAATACCATCATCAGCAAGATGCACATCTACTGGAACAAAGTCCTCGTAGTTCCTCATAAATTTTTTCGAAATTGTCATGCGCTGCGTCGCACCAAAGTCGACCACCCACATGTTACTCGAGTAAGTCTTGCTACCGTCAACCGAGAAAAAGTAAATTTGCCAAGCTCTTGTTCTTGCGCGATGTTTGCACGCTGGAACCTGTCGTTCAGCGTCTCACTGGATGCGCAAGGGACATTCAAAATCCAATGTCCTTGCTTTCCACTAGTATGGCATGTACCGGACTTCTTAGCCGGTCGAGCCTTGCGGTTGCTGTCTCTTGATATGAACGATATATAGCTTACCCGTGCGCGGCTCCTTTGATTCCACCACATTGCTCGTTGCGCTTCATTTCTTCATGCATTAGCCGAGATGTCACTAGTTCCCACGACAGCGAGTCGGCTCTCAACTATAATGCTGTTATGAGTGTTGGAATAACAATTGGCACAGCCCTGACCAAAGTGGTCTTGACCAATTTGTTGCAGTGGTATGACAACAATGAAGAACAGGTCCGACTCGCTAAGGCTGGCCAGAAGCGTGATGACCAAATCGTCCTCGCTGACCGGAGCACCGACTATGTCCTGTTGCTCCGCCAGATTCTCGACTCTGTTGATGTGCCCCAAAACTTCATCACCTTCTTCCATCATTGTCGTGAAGAAACGGCGACGAAGGAAAAGCTTATTAGCCAAGACTTTTTTAACGTGGTGACCTTCTAGACGTGACCATGCATCATATTCGCGTCCTTCGCCGAGCAAACCAGTGGCAACTACGAATCCTCCATCGCATACAGATCATCGCTAGCGCCTTCCGTGACTATGGCTTGAACGTCGATTGGTTTAAATTATTTGTGCAGTACTCAAGCTTGACCTCGCCGTTCATGACGTCCCACATGGGCTCGCTCCTCCCGCACCATTTGCATCTTAAACTTTCACACATGGAAGTTTGTTCCGGTGAACTTGTTGATTCGAGCGGCGGCGAACGGATATGAGTCAATGGCGAAGGCTTGATCGAGGTTTTGGGCAGAGTTTGCAAACATGGGCTCATAACCAAATGGAAGTGATCGAGGTTTTGGCAAAACTCACAAAATATAACAGGTCCTTAGTTCTCAACCTCCTGGTGCTACTCGAAGCCTGCTTTATTCTTTCGGACTCTACGTTGGTAATCATCTTGTCGCGTATTACTCATGCCGAGGCGGACCTGTGACAACGATACCTACGTGGGTGTTGCCTATCATGAATACTTTTTAGATAAAGGTAAGAACGGGGATCTGTATTTAGTATAATTAAAGCCTATAATAAACTTATCTATTTGATCTGTTTAGTTTTATCTAAATACAAAATATATGTAGCCATCTATTCCGCGCATCCATCGTTGATTGGGCTACCGCACTAGCTGATGCTGGCGTATATCAGCCAATGAGCAGATGCTTCGAAATATTACAACACGGAATATTCACGAAAATAATCTGCTAATATTCACCAAATGACGACAAGTTAAAAAAATTATATATGTTGATATCGATGTATCTTAAGAATCATATAGAAGGATAAATATCCAAGCGAAACGCAAACTCAAGCAGGTAAATGTAAGACATACAAACGTATCTTTCGTTCCGTTCTATGCAATCTCTGGACATACGAAGTATGTGCTAGCTTTTCGCGTTGCCGGACGTTGAAATGCGCCTTCATGATCCATTGTTTTCAGTCGTGTTGGTAGCTCCAACAATGGCAATGTACTTTGTGGTCTCGAGTAAATACAGATCAAGCTATACAGACTTGTATACGTTTGTTTGTGTTGAGTGAAATGCCGGTGAGAGCAGCAATATGGGTTCGACTATCACAAGGTGCCATGCGTGCTTTGCACTAACCTGATTAAGCTCAACAAGCTAGATAATCCAGATTTGGAAGCGTTAGCACTGCTGACTGAGCGGTAAAGTGTAGAACACAAGCTCGTCAAATTGCGTACCGATATACTCAGGCATGGCGCTTGCAACTTATGCACCGACGGCACCCTAGATGAGTAACGGGCAGTCTCTTATTCCTCAGATCCGTACTATTCTGATTATTGTTGCTAATGAGGAACTTCTACCTACCTCAACTTGATATCTACTTTTGCTGTTCGTAGTTCTTGCTCATTGCGGCAACACTTACAGACCGTTATGCGAAAAAACATTGTAGGAAAACCACATTGACAATTAATCGTCAGACAATTGTAGTGCACAACTTATAACCAGGAAAAGAGATAGCGTGCAACCGTCATTTTACTACTTTCCAGCGGCCTTCCAGTTGTTACAGCGTAAACTTCTTCGCAGCATTTTTCACGTACTGTCTCTCTAAATGATGCCAAGCGTCGGCTCGTAACTTGGCTTGAGAAATTCCTCCAACCTTTCGGCGACTTGTTCGCGTATCCTGCAGCTCTTGTCCATATCTTCCGTCACATTTCCACAACTTACGCACTCAACAACACTGACCGTAAGCGTTAATAGGTCGTTCACAAACGTCGTGAGCAGTGCAAATTGATGCTCCTTATTGCCAAACATCCGCTTCACAGTCCAGTTTCGATGTTTCGAGCTGAGCAGCATACGTAACAGGTCTTGGCAGTCAGGGCATGTCTTGACATGCGCCCCATTGGATCTTGCTAAGGCTACAGCATCGTTGCGTAGATGGCGAAACTCGGAGAAGCGGCGTTCTACCACAAAATCTGGCTCACGCTCAGTCATCATGAAGTCGCGCATAGCCTGAGGAGACAGCTTGGAGGCCGGCAAGGTCTTGTACACGCACTCTGAGAGACGGCGTCGTGCAGCACTGCGCTGGAGAAAGGCAGCGGCGACGTAAAAGCGGTGGCCATTGCGCTGAATCTTCTTGGCCACGCGAACGCACTCAAGGCGCTGCAGTGGGACGATAGAGCTCCTAAGACCACAAGGTTTTGTATACGACCTGGATGTAGTGCTTTCGAGGACGTCGGCAGTAGTTTGAGACGGCATCACAATCTGTGGGGAGGTTGGTGAGGATTCCGAGTTTGCTCGTGACATTATAGGCTTTAAAAATGTATACGAAAGTGAGGGAAGGAAGTGAAGTGACCAGCGATGGGGCGACACATTACGTGCAAGATGTCTATCTTAACGAACGGTGTAAAACTACCATTACTTACCCTCATCCAACAACGGCCGCGGAGTTACCGTATGATAATGACAGCCCAGTTGTGGATAGGAGCAAAAGTTGATCAGCAGCGCTCTCCCGCACAGTAGCGTGGATGAGACAACACGATATTCATGCACACCCCTTTGGCCTGTTCCAAGACACAAAAGCCGACCGTATATCCCAGTAGATCCGCTGCTGGCTCAACGCAATCATGTCCACGTCACTCCTTAGTTATCGGTATACCGAGGGAATGGGCTGACGCCGCATACCGGCAAAAACGTGCTATTACGTCTCGTCTGCCTTGTCACAGGAGACTAGTCGAATATTGCACTAATTGCGTCCACATGAGGTAGCTTATTTTCAATTACTTTGGATCGTGTCGCACAGGACATGGCAAGTTGTAACAAATCCATGATCGAATGAATGATGGTACTGCGACACAATTTGACAATACTCGAATTGCTTCCGGCTGTATGACGTATTTTTGTTTACTCATTTATCTGAAACAATGCCTACCGCTTTTGCGACATGACATGCTTAGGGTAAGTGGATTGCGCTTCAGCGAAGCAATTGGATCAGTGATTACGCTATGCTTTAGATTCAACTCATAATGCTCAAAGCTGAGCTTTTGCCTTGCACATTAATCTTGTTGCTGTTGCGCATTACAAGCTAGTAATCAATGGTTACAGAAGGCAAATTGCCATCATAAATCATCATCTTAGCTTTTCGACACGAGCTCCAACAGCCATCACGAATACGACGTATTCCAAGTGCCATGAAGGTGTACGCATTCCGCGGCTTGCCTCCAGCCTAATCGTCATGGCAGATACCTGAATTTATCTGGCGCCATTACGCAACCAAGAAAATAAACTGCCACAAGTCATCCACACTGAAAAAGCTCATTTTTGAGCGTACATATCGTCATTGCACCGCTAGTGATGCGTTTCTGACGTTGGCCGCATGCATTTTTTGCGTCATGGCGCTTGACAAGGCAAAAGTCACGGTGGAATACTGCGATCGAAAGCAACATCATAGAGATGAGAAGTGAGTAAACACGACAAAGGTTCCAGTGACGACATGGGTTGAGTAAACGTTGCCCCTAACCGCTGATTATGATTATCTTGAGTCCTACGTATGTTTGTATTCAAGCCTTTTATTGGTTGAAAAGCATATTTGGAGCCACACACCAATAAAGTTTACGACGTGCGCTGCACATTTTAGAATTTCCTGTCTATCGGATCAATTGCAATTGTCATCAGAAAAATGCCATCTTCCACTGACACATTGTTTGAAGAGAATGCTCCTATACAGCTAAATCTGATTCCTCGCCTGGCACGCAACAAGTCGCAGTGCAAGATGTCAGAGGATATCAAGACCGCAACGCTCACGCCCATGCTTGTAGAGCCACTGCGCTTGTCGGCGGCGTCTTTCTCACTGTCATTTCTCAATAGTATTGATCGTTTGGAGATTAACGAGACTGTCGAGCGCAATGGCGTGACGTACTATATCCTGGATGTCTACCAGTTCCATTACACTTCGCGACTACCTACAAACGTCAACAACCCGCGCATGGCAGTTACGCGTTCCTCGGACGCCAGCGAGCCACGCAAGCCAGACTTTCGCGTGGAACGACGTTATTCAGATTTTGCCAAATTACGACGCCAAGTTAAGGCTTGGACTTGCCCTGGTGCGCAGTTCACGTGCCAGTACTGCAACGATTTTGGTCGCTACATTAGGTTCAAACTGCGCCAGCCGCGGCTACTTAAGTCGTTCAGCAAGAACATGGAGAAGCGCAAAAGCATATTGCAAGAGTTTATGACTGATTTTGTCGATCTTGCTCAGAATCCATCCAAGAACTCGTTGCATCGATGCGAGGCGCACCAGCACGTGCCTGCTCTGCTCGAGTCCTTTCTCCGGGATGTTAGTCTTTTATAGTTTATATTTTTAGAACACCCGTAAGTTATGAAAATTCAAAGGCTGACTGAATCCTACGGCTATCAGCGTTTACTATCATTGGTACTTGCTGCATTTGTACCGTTACTTGATCGATTCAAAATGGGCGAGAAACAGTACCAACGAATCTGTTCGCTCGACGAGTTTTCCTCTTCTTCCGAGCTTACTGTGACAAAAAAGACCTTCTCAGTGATCAAATGTCAGCTGTATCATCGTCAATTCGATCTACATTGCGTCTCCATCGTCAGAACAAGAACTTAAAAAATATGTGGCACGTTTTGACACTGGTGAGTCATTGTGCCAAATTGCATGGTCTGTAAAGTTTTCTCCATGCATGATGGAACGGGCATTGCTAGAGCATAAATACGGATGGAGCAAGACAACAGTTTTAATTGTTTTAAGGAAGCTATGATGGATAACAAGATTTTAGTGGACCCTCGGCCGAACCGCAGAGGTTTGTCAAAGGAGGAATACACGAGAGTGATGCAAGAGGTAAATCTGTATGATACTTGGCACAGTAGTGCAAAAATAGCTTAGAAGCTGCGATTGATACTGCAGATACGAGAATGCATTGAGAAGGACGTACATTGCTTACCATTGGCAGACTGAATTCGACATAATGTGGGTGTCGAATACGAGTATCTGTTGCAGGAGACGTTGCGGAACTGACAGTTGGTATTTGAGAGCGAGGATATGCTGCGTGAGAAAGGATTATTCAAAACGCCTGATGTGAGGCTATTACTATCTATTGGTGTGAAGGATTCGAACACGGGTCAATTGCATGTGATTACTTGGACCGATAGCAAGGCTATGTTTGGAGTTTGACACACGCATGAAATGGAGAATGCAAATCAGGCGGCGTTATCTGGTGGGGATCAATTGTATTGATGGACACTAATAGTTGTGTTGCAGCTGCAAGGATTGTGAACCGTTATGGACCCGGAATGGTAATTTACTGGTTTGGCTACGTTGCGCAGCTCAGTTTCAATGGTGGTATTTTCATCACTGATTCATTTCCATCACACATCTTGCTTCCTGGAGATTTTGACCCTGTTGCATCTGTCACAAAGTTCAGAGAGGGTGTTGAAGTGAAGCTGCAGCCTGCAAAGATCCAGACGGACTTTGATAACGACTGGATTCTCATTACCACTTGCGAGTTGTAGTTACCGGGACATAATTGAGAAGACTGCGGTGTTTGTTTGGCGCGATATATTGCTTATGATTATGTCAATGCAATACACAAGCACTAAACTGTACGGGTAACAAACTTGCTATACATTGCAAGTGACTAGTAGTCTCTTGCATTGTTCAGCAAAAATGATGTTAACATAGCAGGCACGCGGTTCTGTGCTTCGCATTTGCAATTGCTAAATGTCGGCGCCCGACGCTGACCCATGATCATGAACTCGTTGATAAATGTCTGGAGAATTTGTTTGCGTTTTTTGGTTCCAGATGTCAGCTTTGCAATACCACGAGGCTGGCTGTACTTGAAGCGAATGTAATAGAGAAAGTCTCGGCAGTACCGACATGTGCACTGCGGTATCCTGCTTACAAATTTTAGCACGTTTTCACGCAGTTCCTCAAAGTCAGCAAAGCATCGCTCTACTTTAAAGGTCGGGTGAGTACCTTGATACTGCGAAGATGATGCATCGACTGGATTGCATGGGCTCGTGGGCAATCGTGAAGTTGGCAGACTCAGATACACCTCAAGCGCGTAGTACACCTCGTGATTTATGCCAGTGCGTGCTTCATTGATATCAACGTGGTCGACGCTATGGACGAATCCTAGCGATAGGCTCGAATTCCAGCGACGATGAGCCTCCAGATCCAGTTGCAGACTTTGTTGCAGGCCTTGCACGCGCTGTACGGTAGGCAGACCTACATTTTCGCCAGATCTCTTTCTTACGACAATGGCACTGTATGGTGTAAGGTTCTGGAGCTTTTTGGGCTGGTGCGAAAGGTCCCAGTCAGTAACGCACATCTTTATCATCGTTCGTCGTCAATTACTAGTAGTTGTTATGTCTATCCTTACGAGAAAATTCAAGAATGCACCTCGCTTTTGTTCAGCTTGCTGTTGAGACCGGACTACACTGCAAATGGCGACTTTTAGACTGAGCCGTGCTTTTTTATGCACAAAAGAGCAGATATGAGACAAGATTTGATGACGTCGAGTAGCTATCGCGACGCTAATTCAGCTGTGACAATGCGAATGATCAAGCCGAAATATCATCACGTTGAGATTCACTCCATTTTCTTAGTATTTGAATGTAATGCGCGTGGAAGACGCTAGTAAACAAGACACATTTCGCACAAGGTTATAGTGATCTGTGGACATGGTGCACCCCACATACGCCTTTTTCTCGGGTCATCTTTTGACCTGTTGGTTGCAAAATAGCAATGAAATTCTAGAGGGTTCCCAAGATGATTATGGCTGCCATTGCTATATATAGTCAAAGCGTGGCTGGAGACATGACTTGATTCGACTGTCATGCAAGTAGCTTTGCAATCGTCACGCTACTTCACCCGATGTTACGCGTAACGGTATTTAGTGGTCATGGACGTGTGTCAAGATGGTTTTCGTTTGTCTAACAAAGGCATTAACGGATGACGCTGCTATGATGTATCGGTCCATGGCTACTTCAGCGTTGAAACAGTGTAAATCGCGTTCTTGCAGCAAGCATTGGACGACTTTGCGCTGAGACGGCATGAAACAAGTAATGATCTCACTAAATTTATTGCTCGCTTTGTGCTCTCATGGAAGGTTCGTAGTACCTCCTCACCTACTGTCCGAGTTAGGGCACTGGACTTGAGATACAACAGGTAACGGATTATTGATGTTGACGACATTGTCACGCTTTGGATTTGTTAGCCTTGCTGTTTGGGCTGGAATTCTCCAAGATTGCTACGGTTCAAGTAAATGTTGGCTCGAACGACGACCAAGCTTTGGGCTCGATAGTATGCCATTAGCAATTTCAGCCGTTGCTGAAGCTGATCTCAAGACAATGTCGAACAACCTTCATGTATTCTGTCGCGTCGTCTACCTCGCTGTCAGATCAGCTTACAATCGGATGCAATCACGCTGCTCATTTTCCGACACGGTTAACACCATCATATTACGAGTTGTAGTCAGTCAGGACAGGATACAATTGGACTGTAAGAACTATCTGAGCATGTCTGAAGTTTCGATTGATCCATCAGCTTTCAACGAAGCGGCAGTCTCTATCGTTGTCTCCTTTTGACGATAGCACAACGAAAGCCCATCGTTCTTTCGGCTATTCATTGCAACTCCGAGGCTACGTCAAAAAAAGACAATAGTTGGGATCTCTTGTCTCACAACGACGGACGAGTTACCAGTGTCTTTGCACTTCTACTTCTTACAAACAATACACAAAGACACAAGCTATGAAAAGGTGCATCGTCAGATGGAGAGAGAGAGATTCATAAAGTCTTCAATGGTTAGTGTAATAAGGTCTGATACTTTTGATAAGCTTTCGTATCAATGTGCTCAATGCTAAGAGTCAGAACATCATTAGTATTATTAGAGTGTATCAGTATTATCTATCACACAACGTTCTTGTTAATCGTTAGGATTGGGTCTTTTTTTGCTGCCACACGTATTGATTGACGTCGTAGTTCTCGTTTTTTTCCTTACCATCCTTGCGTCATTTCATAATCTCACTCACGCAATGGCAGGTGGATCACTTTTTCAAGTAGGTGAAGACGTTGAATTTTGGCGAGTGCTAGTTCATTTGAGTGTCCTAGCACTGAGTCTTGTGCTATTGGAAAAAGCCCTTCATCGGATGGAACATCAGTTTCCACGTTCTGAGAAGTATCAACACATGCTGAAGAAAGTATATCGTGAACTCATGATTCTTGGGTTAATCAGTCTTGGTCTCAAGATTGTCAAGGAGACACCTTTTATTGATAGTGGAAGCAAGACCGTACTTGCCTTTCAGGTCGCAGACTTGACGATTTTCTTCCTGGCACTTGCTCTCATTTTGCAAACCATTGCCGTCTTTCAGCTACTTCGCAATCAGAATGACCGAGTCGAACGTGCTGAGCTTCTAGGAACTCAAGATCTTATCGAGATGGTAAAGGATGCTGGAACATGGCGTCCATCTTGGATTCAAGCACTATTTTCTTGTACTCAAGCAGCAAAGAAAACAACCAACGGCAAGAAACTTGTCAAACTACGTCTACTTCGACGTTTATTTCTTCGTCGCTTTGGATTTCCGCAGCTCTTTCCATTCTCGAATTATTTGAATCGAGCTCAAGCCAGCCAGATATCGCACATGATTGAGGTGGAGCCATTCATGTGGGTAATATTACTTGTCGTCGCGTGGGTAATCTGCGGCATATTCGATCTTCTTGAAGCTGTAGACACTGAAATGCCCGCGCGTCAGGAGCTAGTGGAAGCATTTATGCTCGTCGCGTGGATACTTTTGCTGCTTCATGTGATGGTCTTTTTCTATCTTCGCTCTTGCGTTAGCTACCTCCTTCAAGTTGCGGCATTCAGTGACGACAAGATGATTCTCATTCAAAACTTGAACGCAGTTGCAAGAGAGGAAGCGGAAGCCTGGAAGAATGAAGAAGCAGACAAAGCATTGGAGATCATGAGCTGCATTCAAGAACAGCACGAGGAGATCGAATTTCAACGTGTTAAACGTCAGCGTAAACTTCACCGAGAGGCATGCAGCATTCAAGCATTTTTACGTCAAGTGACGGGTCTTACCATCCTCGATTCGATAACCAAGAAGAGTGAGAGTTATAATGGTGTTGTGCCAGGTTCACCATCTATTGACGTTCATTTATTCTCCTATGAGAGATGGCACGTCTGCGTCATTTTCCTTCTCGTTCTAAATGGTTTCTTGATCACATTGTTCTTGCAATGTGCTGTGTACGATTTGGATGAAATCTATCGAGACTTTGGCGTACTGCCGACAGCATTGGTCCCGCTTCCGCTTGTTTTGAATGCTTTCTTTTTTCAGCGTCATATTTTCTATGACTTTGTCATTGTTAGCAGTATGCTCCGCATCGATTCGCATACACTTAGCGATGTGGTGGAGAACTTTAGTGAGGTCGTGAGATTACGGTCTGAGTTTGCATCTTCATTGCTTCATCAGATTGCGCAACAAGAACTAAGTATATCCGACTTGCATGCAGAGCTCCAGCTACACGATGCAGTTGGATCCGGGTTTATCGAGATTGATGATCTCCGTTCCGTCCTCGCAAAATTTGGCTTTTGCTTAACGCGTTTTCGCTTCAATAGCGTCGTGAAGCTTTTATTCGATCTCGAAGGTACTAGCGTCTCTTATCGGCAGGTCGTTCGTCTTGTGGCAATGGCTGAGAATGAAGATGCTCCAGTCAGTGGAGGTCCGCCCCACCCATTGCTCCGGCAAAGCGTAACGGGGTTCGACGGCGCACGCCAGCCAAGTACGCTGTCTCAGTCGAACTACAGCTTTTTCACTTCTTCACGTTCATTGCCGATGCTTACTGAGCGTGGTTTGGAAATGGACCCTATCTCGGTCGAGCCCATGGAAGTGCCTACGAATGTTTTTGTACTGCCGACTCGCACTCAGGGAGGCACAACCAGCAACGATGCAGCAGCTCAACGGCCAGTGATGGCACGCCCTAGTTACAGCTCTCAAGCGTTGCATGGCATGTTTAACCTCCGAAGACTGTCGGACTCGAGAGAGTGCTACCAACTTTGAAACAATTTGTTGTAGGGTCATGCGCAATGCTTTCATGCAGTTTTGACTCGATACAAGCTGACTAACGTGTTATGCGGCCAAGTACATTAATGTCCGGCAGTGTCAAGAGATGTAAGACATTGTCCTTCTAAGTAAAAATACGTTTGATACCAACACCAAACGACCACAACCTCCATCGTTTTCATTTGACTATCAAGTTCATAGCCGTAGATGCTTTGGAGCTTCCAGAAAAACACATGCGCAAGAACCTCTTGGCACTCTCAAATGCAAGTGTCATGATAACATCAAGACCATAGAAAGTCGTAGTAATCTGCTGCTTTGAAGCAGCCCAAGCTTTCGTGTCTCATGATCCGTCTGACATGGCATTTTCCTGGCCCTTGATGTTGTAAACACTGCTTCATCCGCTTTAGAGGTCCGAGGATCAGCCACGAAACAACCTAGATATCGTCGTTGTTGACTGTAAATCTCTTGCTTGAGTATTCACGGGACGAAGTCGTCAAACCAAACCATCATCTCTAAAAGCGCAACAGGACAAACCCCTTGAATGCAGTCTTACTCACGTCTCTTTTGCGTACGTAAAGGTCAAAGTGTAAGCGTCTATCCATGGCGATGCCATGAAACGTGGTAGGACCATGTCTTTACCACGTTTGATCTAAATGCAAGATACGCACATGACTTGGTCATGTCCTTTACCCAGCTTCCTGCTGAACCAAGCGACAACGACAGCACTAACCGGATGTACTCACCGGAATTTTTTAGAGACGTGTGGAAGCAAAACACAGCCCGTGATAAACATTCTGAACTCTGTAAACTATCGCAAGGTGTCGAGAAAAACACAACATGATAGTACGCACACATATGGACTGTATCGATGCGAGTACATGCAGTCTGGGAGTAAAGGGGCCTACAACCGATCGGCATCTCGTATCCCGATTTGAGCTCAATGAAAAACTACGACGGACCAAACGGCAGTTCATTTCGTTTTTCTTGAGATGGCAGGTAAGTTGCTTTTCCAGGTTGGTAAAGATGTTGAATTCTGGCGAGTACTCGTTCACTTGAGCATCCTGGCTTTCGTCCTTGTGCTCGCAGAAGGAGCACTTCATCGTCTTGAACACAAATTTCCACCGTCTGGAAAGTACCAGCACATGCTCAAGAAAGCTTATCGAGAGCTTATGGTGCTCGGTTTAATCAGTCTTGGACTCAAGTTTGTCAAAGAGATTCCAGAAATTGACGGTAGCAGTAAAACAATGTTGGCCTTTCAAGTGGCTGACTTGACCATCTTCCTCCTGGCACTAGCTCTTATCTTGCAGTCAACGGGTGTCTTCCTGCTCCTCCGCAACCAAAACCACCGAGCTGAACGCGCTGAGCTCATCACGACACAAGACTTGGTTCACTTGGTCGACATCTCTGACGGGCTTGAAGATAGTAGTGTCTCGTTTCTCCAAAAATATGTCTGCTGTGGTCGGGCAGCCAAGGCGAAAGCGAACAGCAGGGAACTCATTGAGCTTCGTCTACTGCGACGTCTATTTCTTTATCGCTTTGGACTACCGCAGCTTTTTCCGTTCTCCAAGCATCTCAGTCGAGCTCAAGCCAACCAAATTGAGTACATGATTGAAGTCAGACCGTCAATGTGGGTCGTGCTGCTTATCGTCGCATGGTCTATCTGCGGATTACTAAATTGAAACTATCAAGACTTTTGACGCCGCCACACCAGAGAGCCACGAATTGGTAGAAGCTTTGATGATGTTCGCGTGGACTCTATTGCTGCTACATGTCATGGTGTTCCTATTCTTCCGTTCCTGTGTATATCACTTCCTCAGTGCTGCAGCATTTAGCCATGACAAGGACACTCTTATGGCAAATTTCAGTACCATTGCCGATGAAGAAGCAGAAGCTTGGAATAATGAGGATGCCGAAGAGGCACTAGAGACCATGAGCTACATCCAAGAACACCATGAAGAACTCGAATTTCAACGTTGTCGCAACGAAGATGACTCGAATCACCAGGTTGACGGTGGTGTTATCCCCTGATCACCGTCCATTGCAATCAGCTTCTTTTCGCACAGAGCATGGCACATTTGTGTGGTACTTTTACTTGCACTGAATGGATTTCTTATCACGCTGTTTCTCCAGTGCGCTTTCTACGACATGGATGAGATTTATGAAGATTTTGGTACGCTTCCGGCAGTCATGGTCCCGCTTCCACTGGTGATTAATTCCCTTATACTACAACGTCATATTTTCTACGATTTCGTTATCATCAGTAGCACGCTTTGTACTGATTCTCATATGTTGAGTGATGTGGTGGAAAATTTCAGCGATGTGGTGCGACTACGATCGGAGTTTGCCACGACGCTACTCAACCACATTACACAGCAAGAAAAGACCGTGTTTGATCTGCAGGAAGAACTCAAGACACGGGATCGAAATGATACTGGGTTCATTGAAGTCGATAATCTAAGAGTCCGACAACGCGATGCTAGCGTTACACGTATGGGAAGGTGGACGTTCTCAAGAAAACTGTCAAATAGACTGGTGACTAGATATTTTACATGGTGCTGAAAATATTATCCATTTTCATGGATCTATATAACACTTGTCCACGTGTGTGTGCTTTTATCCAGTCAAGTTTGGATAATCTATAACATAACGGTTCATCATTGCTCTCATGTGGTTTCAACAGTCACTACTGGTATTCTATGTCGCCTGGCAGCTAGTAGATGGTCAGTTGGATCCCAGTGCAAACAACCTTTATACCATTGTCAATCGTATTGACGAGAATGATTCAGTCGTAGCAATTGTGCGTCTGGATAAGGTTCTGTTTCTGCTCTATGATGAAAGCATTATTGGAGCAGAATTTGAGGATCCGAACATACGTGATCAAACAGCATTTCCAGGATTTACCATTATGCAATGTGCAGCCTATTTGACTACAAAACCTACTCGTGCTATGCAAATTGGGCTTGGTATTGGTACCGTGCCTAGTTTTTTACGCAAAATGGATATTCCGACAGGTTTTTGCGCTACAATTGATGGATTTTTTGATCCGTCAAACGTCCAAAATCGATATTATCCAACCCTCCTCCTAATTTATGAATTGATACTATCGTGTTCATTTTGTAGATGTTGTCGAGATTAGTGAAGCAGTGGTGACTCAAGCAACGGATTATTTTCAGTATCAATGGTGTCCATGGTATCAGAAAGAAGATGATGAGGATGATGAGGAAGAATGTCGTCATGGACGGACATTTGTCATGGATGGATTAAAGTTTTTATCTAGTAAACCAATTGACCTGGGAATCCAGACTGATCATGATCAAGCCGACCTCCAACCGTATGATTTGTTCATTGTAGATGTCTATACAGGCTTCAACCCTTTTCTCTTTTTTGTTCGGGACCAAATCCTTCGTATTCGAGACAATTGGTTAATATCCAATGGAGTCCTGGTCATGAATTTTGTAGGCTATATAGAAGGTTTTCGTGCTCAAGCCCCAAAGTCCATCTATCGTACACTCCAGAGTGTATTTCAATACGTGAAATGCTTTCGTGAGCTAGAGGAGGTGATTCATGATGAAGCAGCAAACATTATTTTTTATGCTTCGGACAAACCTTTTAGCTTTAATTTGCCTACGACGGAGATGTACGAGAATCCTGAAAAAGATACTTTTTTCAGTGTAAGGTTTTCATGTGTCAATGCAGTTTGTGTAGTGTGTGTGGTCTATGATGCTGTTCTAATGTCATAGTGCTCACATTCGGCTCTTGTTACTTGGTTTATAGGTGGTTACAAATTTTCCGAATTGGGAGGTAAGAAATCGTGTGTCGATTCTTCTTTTTTCCTGTTTTGCTACAGTGATGGACTCAAGGGTTTTTCTTTCTAATGGGATGAGGGTGTTTGCTGTAGATTTTTACGGACCTAAAGACTCAAGTCGAAGTTGCAATTCATCAGGACAGTGATGATGAAGGAGTCCGCTTTATGGCAAGTAATGAAAGGTCACAGAGGGAAGGCACGGATGCTGTACGCGTGCTGACTGAGGCTGATCATGGCCAAGAAGATTTCCGTCAGATTCACGCTGATACGCAAGTCTACATGCGTCAGCGTGTTCTGGACCAATTCCCTTCTGCACTTTGGGAGGAACTCAAACAAAGGCCAGACGCCACGACTTAGCTAGTAGACACAACATAATGAAAATGTCCAACAATATAATTTGTTGATACGGCGACCATGAACATTCTCATACGAAGCATCACGTGCAAGGGTATGTATGACCAAAAGCTATTTTGAACTAATTACCAGCGTCGCTGCTTCTTCCAAGCAACGGCGCTTGGGCTATCTGGTTCCTTTTTAAAGATCACCTGCATCTCTTCTTCTTCTTCTTCCTCCTCCTCTTCCTCTGTACTAGCAACTTCGATCTCTTGACTAGCTACTATATTTTGGACAAACTGCAGTTCCGTCGCTGGCAGCTCTAAAAAAAGCGCCCAGCTCAGTAGCCTCATGTTGCAAACGACGCGCTTTCTCAATGTTCCACTCTTCAACCTCGAGTGTCTTGGCCGCACGTAACCATTGCGCTGCTTTATCCACTCGTTCTGCAATCGTTCGTTGCATGAGTCGGTATTCCTCACGAGGCAATACGAAACCAGGCTCTTGTCTCTTCGTATCTTGCAGTAATGCGGCCAAGTGGGCATATTTCGGCGCTCGTTGATTAGGACCAAAAACAAGTGCACATGCTCGCAAGCACCAGTGCACAGCCCCTAACCGAGTTTGTGCCATCTCCAGACCAACTTCCAAGCTCGTTAGCCGCTCCATGAGCTGAATCACTGCAGCCTCCTGGATCTGCATATACTTTGGTGTGGCAAACAGACTGGGCAAAAACGCTCGCAATGCAAAGTCGCGGACGAATTCGTTGACTTCAGATTCCACTCCCTTTACAGCGTCCACATAAGCAATCAGCTCGTGTGCTCCTGGAGGACACGCCACCAATTGAGTCTGCATCTGCGCCAAAAAGCTCTCCACTCTAGCAAGTGCAGGTCGTCTTCCCAAACACTCGCGACGCAAAAGCTTCTTGTCCATGTAGTAGAGGTTCTGCCGACGAGAACAACGTGGACAGCGAAATGCATCGATACGGTCAAGCTCGCCTGGCATAAGGTCCACGCACGCAGCATGGTACCATTCATCGCAAAAGTCACAGCAGATCATGGGTGCTTGATCGCCACCACGGCAGACGCAGAAAATCTGTGGCGACTCGTTAGTTCGTGAGTTACGACTTGCACGTTTTCGCTGAGGTGGATGACAAGTCCCACAAAGGAAAACATCCTTTGGGTGATATGATGTCAACTCCGGCACGCACTGAGGGTGGAAGTAGTATTGGCAACGTTGGCAAGACACGACCTGAGCTCGCTCACTAAGTACCTGCTCACAGACGCAGTGCAACTGTGAATGCAACCGCAATGCCTGGCTTGAGCTCTGTAATACTTGCTGCTGCACCTTGCACAACGCAGTCTGCAAAAACTGACTAAGAGGCAGATGGCTATTCGAAGGCCGCAGAAACAACGCGTGAACGGCGTCGTACCATCGACGGCAGTCTTGCAAACGTGAGTGCACTTGTCGACGGAGTAGAGATGTACTAGGGACAAAGTGTTCATCAGCGTCGGCGTATAAGCTTTCTACCTCATCAAGTGAAGGCCGCTTCACAATCGACTTATGATCTAAAGAAGCTCCAGTAGATCCAAAGACAACAGCCATAATTTGTTGGGCACGATGTTCCCATAACCTGCATTTCTTTAGCCGCTCGTCGAGTTCCTCTGCATTCTTGGGCGGAATAGGTAAAGCCCTTGCACGCCAAAGCAGCACCTCTAGTTCTTCCATACTCTTTGAACGATCACTGAGCGCTTCGTTCACATCTGCTGCATCGGCTTCAGTTCCTGCAAGCAGCTTTCGCAGCACCACAGCATTTGAAATAGCTTCTGGTGTTGCTACGCCCAATTCGCTTACTTCATTCAACACTCGTTCAACTTGTACTTGCGTCGGTGCACCCATGGCATTGCTACCTTGAAACCTTTCTACAATAGTGGCAGACAGAACGTTCACCTTGCAAAGCACTTCCAAGTATCGCTGTGCACGTGCAAGCTGATTCCGCAAGCTACCAGCTACATCATTTTCTTTCTTCGCACGCAGGCGGTTGCTCACATTATTGATAGCCGTAGAGAGCTTTCCAAAATGCACAATGCCGTGAAGCAACATGTTGGGAGCGCCCAACAACTGAATAATTGATGCAGTATCTGTGGAAGCAGCTCTAGATGAAGTATTTCTCGAAATCTCATCGCGTGAAATATCGTTTACCAACTTAAGCATCATAGTAGCGTTCTTTCGAATTGCACGCCACTCGTTCACAACCTCCTGAAGCTTTCCAACTGCTGCAGGCTCAACGAGCAAATTCTCCGCATCTGCCAACAGTGACTCAAATTCACAAAGGTTGAGATGCACCTGGCGTTCGGACTCAATCGCAGTTAGTAGCTGGTCAGCATGAGTGTCCCATTGCTCAACATCAGATATCGCAAGTTCCAATGAATCTATACGTTTGCGGTCTGCACCACCGCAAGATTTGCCACGCGATAGCAATCGTTTTAAGTCGGACACTGTTGCCTTCGTTGCAAAAGGAGAGTTGCCAGGCCCTCTCGCATACTGCATCACGGTATCGCACTCTTTGTTCCATGTGCGGACACTTTGCAACCGTCTTCGCAAACTACTAATCAATTCTTCAAGACGCGTAGCTTCAACGCGGTACAAATACACAAAATTGTCGGGATCCTTGCACTTGCACATTGTCGGATAGTGCTCCAAACAACCAACTGTTGAATCACTGCTACTCCCATGCGGTGGACGGCACCTTGTACACATAACGGCTTGAAGATAGCAGTATTGCTTACAAGTGACGCAGCGAAGGCCCTGATTTTTCCCCGAGCGTCCTGCCCACAATACCATCCTATTAGAGCGCATCGACGTCTCAGAAGCTGTCATCTTCATCATCATCTTAGACCCTCTGCTGCCTTGTGACAATGCGTTGCCTCCCATCTTTGAAGGTCTGTTGCACGATCGAGCTACCATGCCACGTCTCAACGAAGACTTCGAAGTGACTTCAGGGTCACTTGCACCAGCGCCTCCTCGTCCATCGAAATCAGCCATGAGCTCGCGCTTTAACACTTGCATCTCACTGTTTGTGTCGCCAATGCGCCGTTGGAATTCGAGATAATCCTGCAGCAACTGTTCAACCGCTGGAAGCAAGAACGACTCGGTGTGCTCATAGTCAAAGGTACTGCTATCCACGAGGGTCTCAACTAAAGTACAAACAAGTGCTTCATGACAGAACACAGGGAGCTTGCGGAACTCTCGATACTTACGTAACGACTTTGCACCCCATGGCAACCAGTCCACAGTAGCAAAGTTTACTGCTTCAGCGCAGTTGAACCCATTGTTGAATCCAGCGTGGTATGCCGACGGAAAAGTAACAATGAACTCATTTGGGCGATGTGTAGCACGGTATACAGGTACGCCGTGCTCTCGCAAGGTCTTGGGTGAAAACATCGTCACCAGTTGCATATGCAAGTCTGGTTGACTCCCAAAAAGCTCGGGTGTAAGTTCCTTCATGGTGCGTTCAAAATGCTCAGCGCTGGCACATGGAATACCGTACCACGTCTTCGGTGCACCGCAGTGCAAATAGCTCGTGCTGTAGAAATTATGGTCCTCCACGTGCCAGCAAAAAGTGGAGAAACACATTCCTGCATACAACCACGGTACCATAACACCTTTAATGTCCTCATCCAAGTGCTGAAGCACGGATCCAGGCAGCTTGGGCATGTTGTTCAAGTTCCAATCGTCCTGCGCGTACCGTTGCAGCAACTCCTCCAGCGACTCCACCGAATCAAACTCTGGATTCTCTCCTCCAGCTCTCGTTGACATATTCTCGCGCAGCCCATGCGAGAAAAACTCGCTCAGCTGACGAACGTATTCGCTCTTTGTCTTGGTCGTCAGGTTTTTCCAGCGCTTTGATACTGTGCGCAAATTCTTCATGTACAAATCCGACCGAGGAAATCCGCTTCCATTAGAACCAGTATCGACATCACTGCCATACTGCACCTCAACCCGCTGCTCATGAACGGGAATACTCAGCAACTTCCAGTACTCCTTTTCTACATCTCGGACGCTGATTGCTTTGTCCGGATCGACATCAGATGACAACGAAAAATACTTCCTTTTCCAAGCATCAGCACGTTCCTTATAGTCTGCCATGCTGATCTCTGCTCCCATATCAAACCCAAACTTGGGATTCGCTTTGCTTTTATCTGGGTCCGTTGCATCTTTTACACATGCTTTGCAATACCAGTCACCTGTAGGCACCGCAGCCAACGGCTCTTCCAAACAAAAGAGATGCTGTCCACTGTTGCAGCCATCACAAAGCAACATTTTGTCCCAACAATCACCACGTAGACAAACCTGACAAATTTCGCTATTGTACGCAAGCTCAGCAGCTTTTGCATCCCAGCCGTTGGCGATAAAGATTTCCACAGTAGACATCTCAATATCGTCATTCGAGCCATCCTCCAAGTAACGCACAACAACGTGCGGTTTCTTGCCACTAAATATACGCTTTACTTCCGCTATCACAGCTCCTGTCTCAGGAAAAAAACGGTAGAACTTTTGTCCTACACGAATTTCTGGAGCGCCAAGTCGCACGCTGCGAGTGTCGGACGGTTTTAATGATTCAGGCTCAAGGCTGCGCTGCCAAATCTTTCGCTTATGCTCTTGTTGCTCACTTTCGTCTTTCGGAAAAGTAATGGAGCGATTGTCATTCTCTTCGCTGCTCGTGTGTCCGCCTTCCGAAAACAATGTACGCTTCACGCGTGCATCAGATTCTTCTGTATTATCCTCGTATCGCTTTGTGGACGTTAAACGCTTTGTTCCACTAAAAGTTCGAGTTCGAGGTGATGGAGTCACCTTACTATCACCAGACGTGCCTTTTCCAGAAGGTGTGGCTTGGATCTCTTCGAGCTTCACCTTTTCCTTCGTCTCTGATCGAATATGACGACTGCTACTACTGCTTTCATGACTTTGCTTTTCCTTCTCGTAAGCAAGTAGCGACGTCTCATAATGTGTCTTATAAATTTTGCATAGCTTTTCAGAAGGCTCACTTGCCAATTTCGTTCGCCCCACTCGACGTACAACATGGTTCCACTGGTCGTTCGCACAAACTGCGTCAAATCCTCCAAATAACACCACCGTCTTATACAGCATATATAAATTGATCAACTGACCATCAGCACGTGGTAATTCCTTCATGGGTTCACCTCGTTGATATAAAAACAGTCGAAGTGCTTCGACAAACAGTCCTTCTGCTCTCGAATGTCCTTCGATGCAATTCAATTGCTGTACACGTGTTCGAAAACGAAACATCTTTTCATTAATGGCAAATGGTGGACGCCAACCTTGTGGTGGTACAATTTTGCAAATACCAGCTCGCATTCCAATGTGACGGATGCTACACAATCACAACCACAACAATGACAATAATAACAACAATAGATGACGTTAGCACATGATTCTTGATCCATCTTGATTATCAATGAACGATTACAAATCACTGTCTCGCAATGAAATCAAGTCTCAAATTTTGACACAAGGATGACGTCTAGTCTAGAACCTCATTGGTCACCTCTTCTTGACTTGTTTGTCTACAGCTATCGACTGTTTGTTTCTAGCAGTCATTAATAGTATACTGCTCGGTAATTTACTGACAAAAGGCCAAGAAGAGGTGCGAGGGTCGAAAGTAAAATAAATTACCGCACCTTGAAATATATTTCAACGGATGCTGAAATTCTTCACTTGTTGGATAAAATACTGGACAGGGTGGACAGATGTAGCCATCTGTATGCGTTGCCATGGGGTCCCAGTCCATTGTCGATGCTTGATCTCGTTACTAGTACGTGGGGTTCTATATATTACGTACTGCAAAGTAAGACTTGGTGCTTAAATGACAGTGAATGGGAGAGTGTGGGCTAAGAAGACGCCGTTTTTCACTGTCTAGACTCAATTTTTACACCTGGAATTGTAAATTTCGGAGCAAAAAGAAAACGATTGTGCTACCGTGTTTTGTTTCAACAATTTAGACAGTACCAGGAAGTAAAATTCTTTTTGCAAGTGGTACTTTTTGCTTTGTATGGATAAATATACGATTATACAGGCTTACATGTTTGCGACCATATAAGACACGGCGTATTCTTTCTCCGCATCGACAGCGTTGATAACGCTTAGAGTTGGCAGACAGATAATTGTGTGTCTAAGCTACGTTTTGGCATCTTATTGATGCACAATAGACATCTATTGGTGCCACACGTGTCGCACCGAAGCTATTTCTCATGGTGTCGCATGTCGATGGAATTTATGCATTATTGAGGTGGTCGTGGATTGTTGCAGGAGGTGATAAAACCGTTTTACCTGAAACTGTAGCATAATTTTTAGTATAAATATACTTTGATTACGTTTATAGTTCATCGTCCTATCGATAACAATGTGCCAATGATCCTCATATCGCATAAATTTTGTATAAACAATGAAGGAGAATCTCTAGCATCTCGATATGAATCTGCTCACTCGTCTTCAGCTCGTATCTAATACAATGCTGATTACGTTTATGCTGAGCAAAGGAGCTGTAGCATAACTGTCAATGAATTGATATTAGTTTATGCAGCATATTGATGACAATTTATCGGATACTTTTGCATATTGTCTCTTAGTGATGTGGAAGTTGTCGTAAGCATGTGCAGCACCAGGGATGAGCGTACATTATGCTGGCCACGGTCTATAGATTACGCACAAAGCATCCTAAATGTACTTACGTCAAACACACAGCTTCAATAGCTCGACTATTATGACACATGCTGGTGTCAAAAGTCTTTGAGAGCTGCAAGTAGTCGCAGATCTACTAGCTTAGTCCATGAAACTATCGTTGGTGACACATGGAGAGTACCAGAAAGATACCGCAGAAGCTAGAGTGGCATGTACAAACTCGATAGCGGACCTGTCTCATCCATCACGATCGCAATCTTGTACTTGGCATTGGCAAGCTTGACGAAGAGGAAAAGAATCTCAGTACAGTCGACAACGGATTAGCTTCGGTTGATACACAAACGCTTATCTTTCAACAAGGCTTGGTATATCACTGTCGTCATTTGTTCGGTCGTAAACGTCTGAACGAATTGATACAACAATTGAGTGAGGTGGTGCGATTACGTGCCAGGTTTGCGATCACGACACTAAGCAAGTAAAAAGCTGCGCTTTGATTGAGGTAAGTCGAGGTCATGAATAGCTTTATACCTAAAGCGACAGGCATTTAAAAGACTCAAGTGTATACGATTTGAGCAGCTTAATGAGTTCGTTGGTATAAGAAAGTATGACGAACAGATTGTGCGATATGACCTGTTTACTACGACATTGTTCGATACATGTTTGCAACAGGATACCATCATCAAAGGTTGTGACGTTCTAAAAGGAACAATTCGCTATAAAAACACATAAATCACTAACGCAAACGTATTGAGTCCGTTCAAAGAGCAACTGGAAACTTTTTAACATGCTTGCATGAATTCCATCCTACTAGTGATCATTTTGTTGACACATAGAGACAACAAACAGTATCGAATGGATAGGTAGTACCCCAATCAACTAAACCTTCCTCGTGCCATTTCGACAATTGCGGTCGATATTCTTCATTACATATAACCTGCATAATCCCATCATTTGTGTTTACTCTGTCCTTTTATACTTGTAAAAGTGTATATCTACTATCATTGGTTAATATTCATCAATTATCTTCCAACCAGTCGCAGTCAAAGCGTTCCTCCAGTCCATTGTTATCATCATGGGTGAGAAGCGTCCAAGTCCACTGAATGACTCACTACGTGACGCCCAGCGCCATAAGAAGCTCCATACGGGTCCAAATAGTGACATGCAATTTATGAAAGTCCATGATACTTCAAGTACCAGCAAAAACGACCGTCTGACGCCGTCAAACGACACTCCAGTAGCTCCAACGTCTGCTGCTGCTTCAATATCAACCTCTAGGCTCCCAATGCTGGTTTTTCACGAGCATTTTCATGTGTTGGACTATCATAATGATCGATATATAACGTCAGTGAAAAATGACACACTTGGCGCATCGTGGCGTGTGATTTGGCAGCCTCGAAGCCCTACCGATGGAGCATTTGTTGGGCTGTTTGTGGAGCTCGTAGCAGCGCAAGAGAATGGAGTACGACACCGTCTTGTAGAGCTAAGTATTGTGATTATGAATCAAGGAGGACTTGCACCTGTTGTGAAACATACGAGTGTGCATGGATTTTCCAAGGAAAATCCGGAATTTGGCATGAATCAATTGATTCAACGCAGTGATTTACTGAATCCAAGCAATACGTTGTTGACTCAAGAAGGAAAAGTTGAGATTGAAGTACAATTGAATTTTATTGAGGACGACATGACAGAGTTGGAAGAAATACAGGAAGATAAAGTGACGACAATGCACTCGAGAATTGCAACGAGTCAAGGTGCAGATTTGATAAAGGAGTCACAGGTGGCATTGAACACAATGCAACAGTGTCTTCCATATGACTCGAAGGAGGAGACAGGGATGGTGGGATTGAAAAACCAGGGGGCTACATGCTACTTGAACTCGCTGTTGCAGACGTTATTTCACTTGCGAGCATTTAGGCAGATGGTGTATGAGACGCCTACTGCTGAAGAAGACACGAATAATTCCGTGTCGTTGGCATTACAGCGTGTGTTTTATAGGTTACAGACACAACGCAAGGCTGTATCTACAAAAGAGCTTACTCGCTCATTCGGATGGAGTGCGATTGACTCTTTCATGCAACATGACGTGCAGGAGCTGTACCGAATTTTGTGCGATCGGTTAGAAGAAAAAATGAAACACACGAGAGTGGACTCGGCAATTCCGAAGCTTTTTGAAGGCAAAGTAAGGTCTTTTGTGCAATGTGTGAATGTGGACTTTCAGTCTTTTCGTGATGAAAGCTTTTATGACTTGCAACTGGATGTCAAAGGTTGTAAGGATTTAATGCAGTCCTTTCGCAAGTATGTGGAGGTAGAACTGTTGGACGGAGACAATCAATACGAAGCTGAGGGACATGGAAAACAGGATGCCAAGAAGGGCATCGAGTTCGCCACTTTTCCGCCTGTTCTTAATATTCAGCTTAAACGGTTTGAGTATGACGCGACGCGCGATGGCATGGTCAAGATTCACGACCGCTTTGAGTTTCCAAAAAGGCTTGTGCTTGATGAGTTCATTTCAGATAGTGACAAGAAAAAAACAGAAAAAAGCACAGATAAATATCCGCGATATATTTATCATCTGCATAGTGTCTTGGTGCACAGTGGCGATGTACACGGCGGTCATTACTACGTATTTATTCGACCGGGGAAGCACATTGCTACAAGTGCAGATTGGTTCAGGTTTGATGATGAAAAAATCACGCGCGTTGACGAACAGATAGCAATTGAAGGCAATTTTGGCTCAGCTTGGACTCATGTCACTCCACAAGATGGAACTTCGGAGCCTCTGTCGCCTTTGTATTCATCATCACTCTTTTCTTTACCAGATCATAATAGTGGGAAAAGTGGTAACGAAAGGAATAGTATGAATGGTCTCGAGTTCAGATCAGTCGATGTAAGAGGAAGCCCAGGTACTGACGGTGCTAATGCAACAGACGAAGTGTATGATTACAGCCAGAGAAATGACACTTCCTTAGGTTCTGCGTCAGACAGCCTGATGCTTCCACTCGGTAGAAGTTTTTCTAGCGCATATATGCTTGTGTATGTGCGTGACGGTGAGAACGACATCAGTGCAATACAGGATGAAGCAAGCGTGAATGCAGACACTATCCCATCGACTTGTGCTACAGAGAACGTTTTGATTGCTTATGACGAAGCAAGCAAGAACAAGGAGGAAGTGGCACCAGTTGTTCCAGTGCTTTCTACTTGGCAAAGCGATCCGCTGCCAATCCCGGCAGATCTGATCACTCGCTTTCAAGAAGAGGAAAAGACAGTTGTTCGGCGCAAGAAAGCCCAGCAGACAGAGCATTTGTACATGAACTTTCGTATCGCTTCTGACACGAGTATCGCCAAGCTAAAACGGATTACCAAGACGATCGATTTTTCTGGGTTTAATAATTCAACCACGCTGCGCATCCGTATCAAACGAGCAGTATCGATCCAAGAGCTTTACCGTCGCGTATATAACGAAACTGGTGTCCCCATGTCACGGCAGCGCTTGTGGAAAGTCATTACGCGTGAAAATCGGACAGTTCGGCCCGACCAACCTCTTGATTCAGATTTGTATCGATATCGTGTGGATTCACTGATCGAGGATGATGCCTCGACTAAGTCTCCTGTTAAGTTGTACCTTCAGATACTAAATAGATTATCAGACTCTTCTGCAGCTTCACCACACATCTTGCCGTCATCCCCCTCTATATACGCTCGCGGAGTCGAAAATTTGAGCAAGATCCCAGCAATGATCATTCACCGGCATTTCTGGGACGAATTTACACCTCCTGAGATTGAAGATGCTCCGTTAATTGCGAGAGATACAAGACCTGTTCGAGAGATGGGAGAGGAGAATGATAATGTTGCTACTGCGTATGCTAAAGCTAGCGATGACATCATGTCGAATTTCGCGCCGCCTTTACAAAGTCATGAAATCTTGTTGTTTATCAAGTTTTATGACCTTAAGAAAAAGCTTGGTGAGCGATTAGAGTACGTCGGTAATGTAATTGTGGATTCGAGAATAACAGGTGCAGAGTTCGCAAAGTGTCTGCACGAGGCGCTGTCAATCCCGCTCGCAACTGAATTGTTATTATACGAGGAGGTCCAGCCACTGTCTGTGTCTGAGATTGATATGGAGACGACATTATCGGGATCTGAAATTCAGAGCGGTGATATAATTTGCTTCCAGTATGCAGAAGACGAAGCCATGGCAAGCAGCATTGTGATTGATCCGGATCTGGGAGTAGATAATGATCTTGATGCTGCAGAGTCGACGTGTTTCGGTCCTGATGGCGAAAGAGTGATGACCGTCATTTCTTCGGAAAGTAAGGATATAGTGGGCGTCACTTTACCAGCAAACTCGAGTGATTCGTATGCCAACAGCAGCTGTGGTCCTCATGGTTACGGGTCAGCTGGATCAGAGCAACTATCTATGAGGAAGCTTTGCCCGTATCAGCGGCGGCGGCTGGTAGAAAGATATCCGGATGTGCCATCCTACTTTCGATATCTGCTAGATCGTGTCGAGGTGACGTTCCGCCGTTACGGGTACCCGGACGAAGAATCCTTTACGCTTTCACTTTTGCTTAGCAATGTGTACGATGAGGTAATCGACGCAGTGACGGAATATTTGGGGCTCCTGGGTCCAAAGCGATTGTTTGTGCGATTGTATCAGCATTCACCTCTTAATAGCTTGCCCATGAAGTCGCCATTACGTCACTCGCGCTATGCTGGGGATGATCAAACTACACTGGAGGATTTGCTTACCGAATATTTGGAGCGCACCAACACTTTATACTACGAGTTGCTCGATCACCCGGTCACAGAAATTGAGGCCAAAAAGGAGCTGCTCGTGCATCTCAGCATATATGACGCTTGCTTTGCTACGGAGCAGGCAGCATCACCATCACCGATTGCACCACAGCGCCATGTACAAGTACTTGTCTTGCCTACACACCAGGTCCGTGACTTGTTAAAACTTATTCGAGATGGATTTGGACTGCCAGAGAACACACCATTGCGCGCATGCGAGGTCGTCCAGCACGGAACAATGATTAAGCGGGTGATTGAAGAGGATGCGTCGTTGTCACGATACTGGGGTACTGGTGTTGTGTCCGATCCCAATTCACCTGAGATATTGGTAGAACAGATTCCTGCTTACGAGATGTTTAGGGATAAGAAACTCGCTATTGTGATTAAAGAGTCCACTGCATCGGAGCCTAAAGCACTTGCACTCAGCAATTCCGAAATCGTCGCCACCAGTAAGAAGCTATTGCCAGAGAATTGTCCAGCTGAAGCTGCTTCAATGAGCGACCAAAAGGATGCGACGTCTGATGACGATGAACCCATTCGATGGTATGACAAGGGTGTGGTGCATTTCAACTTTGTTAACAACTCCAAAAGGTGGATCCACCCCCCATGGTGTACCATGTGTCGTTCGCTTTCGTGAGCGCGATACCGTCGGTGATGTCAAGGAGCGTATACGTCAACGGTAAGATTTGCCGCCGTATGTTTGCTCTCTGTAATGCTGAAATACCTGCGTGCTCTGACTAAGTGATGGATTCTCTTGCGTTATGTAGAATGGGTATCTCGTCCGAAGTGTTTGCACAGTGGAATTTTGCGCTGGTAAAGGACCTAAAAGCATCGACATTGGAGAACATATACGATGAGATGGAGCCCAACGTATTCGATGCGTTTCCCATGTCACGGCTTACGGAGCTCTTTGGTGATGACTTTGAAGGTCTTGGCAGTATCGGATTAGAGCACGCGGACCCGACACCAGCACCTCGTCACCAAAGCAATAGGAGACTTGAGACGGGTATCCATATTCGCCAGAGCTAAAAACGCTGAGTCAAGAGAACAAGAGCTTTCGACAAGCAAGAGCCGTATGGAATCCATTGTCAGGTCAGTCGGTCAGTTGTTTCAACAGCTTTAGCTAAATTGTAATATTCGTGTGTCTGTACGATGTCAAGTGATATCGTTGACAAATGGACAAACCACCACGTGCCTGTCGTCAAGAGCAAATCCTCGTCTGCCAATATGAAGACACAAGGTGACAAGAATCAACGATTGTACCTGATGATGTCGTCAATAGCTTTGCTCTATTGTAACGGACTGTGACAGGTTGAAAAATCACGTAAAGGTGTGTATACAACCACGTGTTAACACTATTGAGTCACCTTGTCACTATTGTATACAAAAACAATGTATACCAGTTGATTATTGCAGAGAGAGAGCGATGATTATCCAATCGGATGTGTTGAAAAAACGAGATACAAATTGCACTAGTCTGTGCAATATGGTATTTTTTCATAACCTGTAATAAATGATATAAGTACTGCATTAATTTACGTCACAACTAGCTAGACTACCGACTGTATCTTTTAATAACCTAGCAATATTTGTGTATATATAATTCCAATGTATTTTAAATCATCACGAAAAAAAGGGTCTAAATTGCTAAAAAATAAACGAAAAACATGATCCGTCAAGTTTCGTTTCGTGTCCTTATTACCATTTTAAACCTACATGGCTTATATATCGTCAACTATGACACGACAAAAAGAAGGGTCTCAACATGGTCATATTGATATGAAAACTTCCCGTTTGTCACCTTCAAGCAACAAGACAAAACCACCCAACTCTTTCGAGTTCAGCAATGTGATTAGTAATCATCCTCGCGACATGACTGGAACTACCAAGGAGACAAGTGTCCAGTGTTGTCCTAGAAGTCGTCATCGTTTAACTTCAGATATGATTTCATTCACAGCAACAATCATTGAGACATCTACATGTAGTAGCACCACACCCAATACACTTCCTACTTTTGTCTATACTAACAGTAATACTACTAATGCCATACTACTAATGCTACTACTACTAATGCTACTAATAATACTGTCTGGACCTTTTTAAAGTCGAACGACAATGCTAAACGTGATAAAAAAAGAAGAAAAAGACGTTTTCGATTGTTTTCAAAGCAGTTAAAACAAGAAGAAGAAGAAGAAGAGAAGGACGAGAAGGACGAAAAGAAGAAGAAAGAAGCGCGGGATCAAACGATCAAGATGATGCCAATGTTTCATCACTCGAGTCCACCTATTCAACCCTTTGGACAGCTTCAAATTGAATCGACTGTTGAAAGAACATCGTGTCCGTGTGATACAAGTACTATGGCAAATGGCTACATGTATTCATCAGATCGTATTGATCGTAATGATGCTTCTTTATCCTCATCTGATCAAGATAGGAGAGATAAACGTTGGTGTAGCAGTACTAGTCGAGGGAGTTGGGGACGTGCATGGAGTCGAGCATTGAGTGTTACACAGGATCGAGAAAACCAGACGACGATTCCAGCATTTGTGACAGCAACACCAACGTCAGTGTGGAATACCTTTTTACAAACGGTGAGTAATTTTGCAGATAAAGTAGCAATAACTGGACGGGAACAAGTGGCTGATCGGACTCGTCGTAGGCGTTCGTTGTATACTGCCCCCATGGTGGATGTAGCCTATTCATGGGCACAACATGCCGTTCGCGTACGTTGTGTGGCAAGGATGTTATTGCAGCTTGGATTTTGTGCTGGAGAAGGAGTTGTGATTAGTGCTCAGAACAGTCCGTTGTTACAGGCGGTAAATCTTGCGGTAGTGTCGCTAGGTGGCGTAGTAGCTCATGTTCGCAGTACATGGAGCGCAAGCGAACTTCGGGAACATATTTTTCCGACTGCTGACGCGACGCTTGTGGTTGTCGACTCGTTAGAGGATAACTTTCGACAAGCACTAGAAGCGCTGGATGATCAGCCGGAGACACTTCGACCAACTTTTCGTGCGGTCGTGATTCTTGGTGATTTAGCTGCTGTAGACTGTGCTGTCGCGAACCTACCTGCTAATATTATCGTTGTTGGGGCAGAGGACCTTCTTGCGACCAATACATTTACAACGGGTGATGCTGCTATGACGCCGTCGCTCAACTCGCTGGCGCCCTGTGTATTGCCAGGTCAATGCTGTCTGCTAGCCTTCGATTACGATGGTTTAGGACGCATTCGAGGCGCTGAGCTATCGCATGACAATGTCATTTATACGGCAGCTGCCTTGGTACGAAGCTTTGGTCTTCTTAGTCGTGACCGTCTGGTGGGATACTTGCCGTTGCATCACGTGGCATCGCAAGTGATTGAGTTTTATATGCCACTTGCTGCAGGTTTACAAGTGGTTTGTGCGCCAACGTACGATCTGCCCCTTGTTCGTGTGATTGCAGAGCACAAGCCGACGGTTTTTTTCGCGACACCTGCTACGTGGACGCGCTTTAGCCAGCAAGTTTATCGCGCTAAAGGTGACGCGAATGCTGCCATATACCGTTGGGCCAAGACGCGTGCTACAAATAACTCACAGAAGCTGCTCTTTGCTAAAGGCAAAGGAGCGAAGAGCCGGAGTTTAGGCTACATGCTTGCAAAGGCACTTGTACTGAACAACATCAAGAAGAAAATTGGACTTGAGAGCTGTACTGCATGCTATTCGGTGTTAGCCCCGCTCGATTTCGAGCTCGAGCGGCTTTTTAAGACGGTTGATACGCCAATCTACCAGCTCTTTGGTACTGCTGAGACGTCTGGTTTTGCTGCAATCAATTTCCCGCACGCTTGGGAGTTAGGAAGCTGTGGTCGTGCATTGCCTGGCACCACGATCCGATGTGATGAGCGTTCTCAAGAAACAGTGCTACGTGGACGCAACGTATTCCAGGGTTATCGCTACTCTCGTTGCAGTGGCACAAAAAGCAGCAACAATAGCCTAAGTTCTAACTATTACAGTGACGACACCAGTGACCAATACACTCCAACGTGTGACTCAGATGGATGGCTCTGTCTATGGCAACGTGGATTTCTAACGCCTACTGGTTTTCTCAAGCTCAGTGATCCGCGAGATTTTCTCGTGCTTGCCACGGGCGATTGGGTTCCTATTCAGCCTTTTGAGCGGGCAATGATGGAGTTGATGCCAGAACTCGATCGTGCTGTGCTAATAGGTGACGGCCGTACGTTTGTAAGTGTGCTCTTATTTCTCAAGACCAGTGGTGCCGGTTGTCGAAGTGCTGCTACAAACAAGCAGATAAATGGTATTCCACTGGACGATGTTGCACTGAAGGTTGGGTATCTGATTGGCAGTAGTGCTACTACAGTTACCGAGGCGATTCGTTGCCAACAATGGGCTGTACATTTTGACACGATTCTAGAGAAATTGCCTCAAGTGTGCTCAATCTCTGGTTATCGTGTGTGCAAGTGGATTCTAATGGCTACGGATTTTTCTATCGAGTCTGGTGAACTAGATCCAGATACGGGCGACATTTGTCGTCGCACGGTGGATCAAAAGTACCAGGCATTACTAGATTCATTGTATAGCTAAGACACTCATTTAGGATCACTAAAACTAAACCAAAAACGGAATGTTTAATAGAAGAAAAGACAAAGATGCTCTACCACTTGATAGTAGAATGAGCTCCTGAATCAAAGCAAGCATCATCACAAGAGACTGATGCAAGTATTATTTCATACACTAAAGATCTTGTCGGGAGGGATCATTTGTCGCACTGAAGAGTCGTGCGCGTCGTATCATGTATCAGGGATATCTGACCTTTCAGTGTTTTGACCGTTTCGAAACTGTTATACTTAATCTAACTATGATCCAAGCCCAGACGTGATGTAGGATCGCTTTTATAGTCAATCAAGTCATAGTCGGGATTCTCTTACATAGAGACAATTCGAGTGAAAGAATAAGACCCGATCCTACGTCTGGAAGTAGCTTGTATTTTCAATTGTTGCAGCTGCAGCAAGCTTTTATACCGTGAAAAGGTGCACTGCAACACCTCATTACTTGCAACCCTCTTTTCTTCACCAGCCATGGGCCAAGTCCATCCCATGCATTGCCTACGAGTCGATTTTTTTCTCAATCGTCATTGTCCAAAACTATTCAAACGACACAACCCCCACATCGTTTCAACCTTATGCGGTCTACTCAAACATCGTCATCCGAATCATTATCCTTTCGTACAAAGTCGATGCCTACTTTATGGACAGCTCGGTTGATTGCTACACTCTGGAAACTAGCAGTCAAACGTGTCTACAAGTTACGTAGACGTAATCATGACACGACGGATTTCATGTATGGTAGTGTCTTTGAAAAGGTCGTTTCAAGATCCAAGGACGAAAAGAAGCAACATCTTCTTTGACGACCTCTCGATCATTCAAGAAGCTGCGCTTTTAATAGTCACGTCAGGTGTTATTTCACTTGCTGACTTGGAGACAGTCATAGGTTATCGTTTGTCTGAGGATCTAAACAATGATGAAGAAGCGCTGACCATGGACAGCGATGTGACCTGGGAAACACCCACGTGCATGTCTGACTGCAATCGCATCATGGACAATAGTAGTTCTGAAAGCACACAAGAGGCGAGTCAACAAGTTACGAACCTCACAACGACTGACGATACGGTCGTCTTACAGCAACAATCGACTCCACGACAAACATTGCACAAGCCATCAAAATGGATCTGTGTTGGCTACGGTCGCTATGTAAAAGAGAGGGATATAGTAGTAAGAGACTAATGTTGATTAATAGCAGTCACAAGTTTTACCGTCAACTTCTTCACTAAATTTGTCACTTCGGTTGTTCGAATGATCCCTGAGGTCTCAAAGGGCCTAGCGCCATGTGGTTCAAGCTATAGATGAAAGCGCTTACTTTCATTACGATGCCCAGTATTCAGCAATCACCTCCAAAACATATCTGCTTCAGATAAGATGTCGGCTGTACCCGAAGCATATGTGCCTAGCGGCGACCATTTCACAACGATCGCGTCCTTCTCTACATACAATAGCAGGAAAGACTTCTTCCAGCCACACTTGACCTCTAGCTCGAGGCATACTAACGATACAGTCCATTTGCGTCAGAGCGTTTAGGACGTCGAGTATGGATGCAACTCCACTGACGCTAATGAAGGGTTGGCGCTACCGCAAGAGTGTCATTCGCTTGCTTGCCCACATGGAGTAGTCTCGCGTAAACGAAGAACAAGTGGCTGCTGCATCTTGTCGCTGATGTCCCAATTCAACAACATGTAAACAAAGATGCAGACAAGATCTTTGTCCAATGTGAGTGAGCTTGGAACGGGGCAAAGTTCCAGTCATCACGGCTTTCAAATTCATGAAGCAAAAAATTCAATTCCTTGAACGTTAGGCGCTGGACTGTTTGTTTGCACGCAAGCAGTAGCACGTTCTGTAAAGTTTCATCAAGAAACTTGTAGCCATAGACCAACAATAAGTAGACAAGAGTGACACGCGCAAGTGCCAAGCACAGCTGCTCGTTCGTGGCATGCTGAGTAAGTTCCATCTATATAGCCAGCGTGCTGTATATCATCTTCAACAATCTAGACAAGTATTGTATCCACCATCCACGGCGTACTGTTAGATACTCGATTGTGTCTTCTCCCAACACGACGAGATATCCCAGCTTCAAGAGGTCGTAAGCGTACCATGAAAGTTTGTGCTTACTACTACCGATAAACGGTGTCAGAGTAAAGTTTTGCCATTATCAAGGCCCGGATGACTGGCTAGCTATAACTTGCTGAGATCGAGATCCTTGCCGTTGAAGGCATTCATTCGATTCTGTTCATCGTCACCCTGTCCGTTTCAAATTTTTCGCGTGGTTCGTCTGTGCTTCCAGTTCTCCCACCTTCAGTGCGTCAGTCGCAAGAAACAAACTGGCTAATACATGCTTTGGAACCAGCCATACTGTGCAACTCACCAACCCGTCAGAAGCACCAATTGAGTTTCAGACGGAAGACGGCGCAGCTGAGAAGGAACCTCAAAATTGTGCATTCTTCTTACCTTGAACTCACGCCCATTGTCGTCCTCATAGATACTACGCGGTCACTACCAAACCACAATCTTCGTCATCCATGGATTTATTTCAAATCTGGGTTAGACTCGCATCGGACACACCCAGACAGCGCTAATGGACGCCTACATCCTCATCCAGTTAGTTCACCTTTGTCATTCTAAAATGTGCAGCAGCAGCTGTCGTTATTGTCACTCGGACCTTGATGTTCAGTAAGCCTTGCAACAATACCTCGAGCTTTCGCGGTGTATCATAAAGGCCTTCGTTCACCAAGTACATCATACGTAACCTTGTTATCTCATCAAGTTGCGCAATATCGACACGAGACAATCACATTCTCGTGCAAAAGGTATCAACCAAGTGTATGAATAACATTCTCAAGCGATTGATTAAACAACCCATGCAAAAACCCACGACTGCATATCGTCATTGAACTCGTTAGCCGTAATCGTCTGCAGAAAACACCCTTGTATGACAGACAAGAAAATGAGACATTGGCGAGATGGTGATACTTTAAACGATACAATCAAATTTACATGCAGTGATAGTACCAGCCATCAATCATCATCTTCCGTGTTTTTTTGCGACAACAGATGATGTTGTTTACTTGGCATGATGAAGCAAAGATTAGTACACAAATCTGAACCAGCTAGCCCTCGGACGTTTTCTACCATCTACGCAAGGTTTACCCTTGACTCTTGGTCTGTAACTAGGATATTCGACCGCAAGTGTCCCACTAACAACGTGCTCACCTTTTTTTCCACCATCGATATTCAGGTAGAGTTTCCATTGGACGTCATTATTCAATTTACCTCATTCAACCTCATTAAACAACGGATGGGAACAGTGAAGCGAGATAGATAGTAAGAACAACAGAACGGCATGAAAGTCAAAACCTCGTCGGTAACGTTGATCAAGATGTTCCGGACTGCACTTAAAATGTGGCAGAATGTGGTCAAGTATACAACAAAACCGTTGCTGAGTCAAGGAGTGGAAGGAGATGTAGCAATGGCCAAGAATTCACGTCGTGTATTCAATGGTTCAAGGAAGAAAGAGGAAGAGACACATATTGCGTTTGAAGACAAGATCAAGTTAATTACACCCGATAAAGTCATGTTGCAGACACTATCCGTACCTTCAGTTCCAGTGGTGGCGCTTGCTAATTGGGAAGCAGCACCGACCTTTGTCCTGGATAAACATTTGTGGCAGACTTTTCCAAAGGTGAGTACTGACAGATTACTAAACAAATGCAACCCGTTCTTGTCTGGAAAAGGCAGAGCACAGAGTGACGATGATATTGCGTCTGAAACACCGACGGTCTCGACCGACTGCTCGGCAGTTCCTGACAATGATGTTGTTGATGATGGTCAGAAAGTGGGCATTGTGAACGAAAACGTCATCCAAGAGAAGACGTCTATCATTACACTAGAGCAACAAGTTTGTGGACCAATGGTTGAGAAAGTGTCTACCCAGTGCAACGAGTCGAACGTGATGGAAATGATGCGAAACTACAAGGCTCAGTGTATACGACCAAGGAAGACACAATCATCTCGTTGGATTTGTGTTGGTTATGGTCGCTATGTTAAACTCGCCGTAGTATAGGATGGTGATTCATACTATGGAATACTCTGCGAAAGTCGTAGCAACCAAATCTGAATACAGCCAAATTTGCTGCTTCTGTATCATGTAAAAGCGTTTGTTAGTTAGTATCTAATGATCTAAAATTAGCAAATTCCTTCTATAAGCAGTCCAAATATTCATTCAAACACGTTCAAACCCAATCGTTTCGAATCATTGTCCTAATATCCTAAATTAAACGAATAATGCTACTTAGGACAAGTTGACAAAAGTCTTATCACGTTGTCGACCTTACCTGCCTAAACTACTGTGTACATTGTATCAGAGGGTACAGATTCTGCTTGAGAATCCAATTCTGTGCGAATAAAAAGCATATTGCGAAGTGTTCGAGAACTCGTACCAGCAAGTTGATGAGTATAATTCCGATCGAGCATTGGAGCACGTCGACAGCCATTTTCCGATTTGACATTCGTGTGAATATCAATCGAGAGTCGATGCAAGCCTGGTGTGTTCAGATTGAAAAAATCACCTGGTCTTGGTTCAGACATGACACTTGGTCGAGGTAGCAACGAGACATGCCGTGATGCGAGGGAAGCTACACGATTTGATTGTAAGCTCAATCGTTCACAATCTTCAGAATACGTCCGACGCCGTTGCAATAACAGCGGATATTGGCGTCTTTCACTTACAGGACCACATTCATTTGGAGTATCATGCTGTCCAAGCATCAATAGTCGAAGGAGTTGGCTATATTCTACTCGAGTGCCATTGAGTCGGAAAAGCATCATTGCAACGCTATTAAAACGAAATCGTGTCAACCGAAAGCCAAATGCCATGAGCACGGAATGAAGTCTGTCAATGTCGATCATACCGGTCTGTCGTGGGTCGTACACGCTAATTTCGTTGCGCAAATCCATGATCGTGAAATCTCTTCCTTTTAAACACTCAAGTAACGAGGACGCAAACTCGGACCGTAACTCCACAATCTCGCTGAAATGGTTCACCACCTCGCCTAACGTATGGGCGTCTACACGAAGGATGCTGCAGACGGTCACGAAATAGCGGAACATTTGCTGCTGAAACACAAAAGTGTTCAAAAACAACGGAAGAGGGACCACGATGGCGTGAAAGAGCCCAAAATCTTTGTAGATTTCGTCTAAATCGTACACGGCGCACTGCACAAGCAAAGCGGTGAAGAACCCGTTAAGAATCAGCATGAACATCACCGCGACATGCCACGCCTTGCGTGAAAAGAATCGAATGTGAATGTTTGGACTTTCCGACTGTACCCCACTCTCGAGTCGGCGCAACTTGACAGCACCGATTTGATTCAAATTACGATAGCAAGTAGCAACGAGCTGCAGTCCAACATCTCTCCGTAGCAAAACGTGTCGTTTAGCATTCCGGTTGTCCTCGATCTCTTCAAGCTCTTCTTGTACCCGGTTCATGGTGCTCAGAGCACTATCAGCCGCTTCATTTTGCCACGCAACATCTTCTTCTTCAGCAATTGCTCGAAGATTCTCAGCCAACGTTGCCTCATTGTCACTATAACCAGCAGCTAGCAAAAGTTGGCGAACACACGAACGAAAAAAGAGCAGCACCATAATATGAAGCAGTACCAGTCCCCAAGCGAATATCAAGAATACTTCGACAAGTTCGTGACTTTCAGGAAGATCGACGTCTAAACTGTGGAAAGCACTAAGAAGACCACAAAGCATCCAGGCTACAGTGAGTAGAAGAATCCACGTGGATGGCTCAATCTCGATCATGTGCGAGATCTGGCTTGCTTGAGCGCGACGGAGATACTTTGAAAATGGAAAGAGCTGCGGAAGTCCAAAGCGTCGAAGGAACAAATGCCGAAGCAGTCGACGTTGGACCACGTCCTGGTCATACAGTTTGGTACGATTTCTCGGCCAACAAACCCACCATTTCGTTGAGTTTGTGTGAACTTGTGCTGAAGTTGGTGGCGTTCCGGCTGGTAGACTGATGGCGTTGACCAAGTCTTGTGCAGTGATCAATTCAATGCGATCAGCTGCTTTATTGTGTTTACGGAGCTGTGAGAAGACAATGATTGCTTGCAGTATAAGAGCAAGGGCCAAGATAAAGATGGTTAGATCAGCTACTTGGAACGCCAACATGGTCTTGCTTTCTGCATTGACGCCTGGCATTTCCTTGAGTAACTTTAGTCCAAGACTAAGTAAACCAAGAATCATGAGCTCTCGATACGCTTTCCGAAGCATTTGCTGGTACTTGTCATATTGAGCAAGTTTGTGTTCAATGTGGTGGAGAGCAGCCTCAAAGAAAATGAGGCACAAAGCTAAGATGCTCAAGTGAATCAATACTCGCCACAACTCGACATCGACACCGACTTGAAAGAGTGATCCAACTACCATTGTGTTTATTCTCAAGTGAGGCAGTTTTGCTTAAGTTTGAATGACAATACTATGTAATAATCGCCGGAAAGAACAGTTGTATCGATTTTTTTGTAGGTCTAATGGCGAGTTAAGTACATTTACCGAACGTATCTTCGACCCTCCACTGCAATTGGAAAACCGACATTTCGTTCATGTTTGTCCCTATTGCGTAAGTCCGTTGCAAAACTACCACTTGTCTAATACTCGATACTCGAAGAATTTCAGTCAAGTAAAAATCAATTAAGTCCTTCATGGGTCCAGCCAGACACCATGAGTCAAAACGAATGTCACGTCACAATTGGAATCTCTGAATACTTCATACATAGAAGTCAACGCAATAGGTGTACATGTGGTAGTCTACAGCTACTAGAAGTTGACGACTAGAAGTGAAGGATAAAGAATGAAAAGAATGGGTTTACATTGGTTTATACTTCTAGGACTCTCTCTCTTCTTTCTGTTTTTTTTTTTATTTTTTTTTTTCCCCCAAAAAAAATCTAAAAAAATTTTTTTTTTTTTTTTTTTTTTTTTTTTTTTTTTTATTTTTTTTTTTCTCCCTCCTTGTTATTTTTTTTTTTTTTTTTTTTTTTTTTTTTTTTTTTTTCCCCCCCCCTTTTTTTTTTTTTTTTTTTTTTTTTTTTTTTTCCCCCCCCTCCCCCCCCCCTGCAATACTTCACTGCTGCTTATACAGCTGCATATCAAGGTTATTTGTACAACCCAAAGCATCTTACTTGAAGCATTACTATCCGACATCTTTGAACTCCTTAATCCTCAGGGTGATCGAACAACCAGCAAAGGTGATCTAGTGCGCAACGGGGAACGTGTGTTCACCCGTTGGTTTGAACCAGCCAGTGACTGAGGCGGTTAAACTCATGTAGTCCTTTCACCGTGGGATCGATCATCCATGATGTTGGTTGGCCCTGTGTCTGCTATCTACCGACCTGGTTGATCCTTGAAGGCTACTTGAATTGTCTTCGCTGTATCCACGGATGCTTGAAATTATATCGATGATGTGCAACACTGAAATAATGTAAACGACTAGCCAAACTTTGCACAGACGTAACAAATGTCACCATGCACACCTTTGCTACTACTAACCGTGGCGATTCTGCGACTTAAGAGAGAGGACAGGGCAATTCTATTGTATGTATTAAGTTTGCAAGATATCTGGTATATCCTAAGCCTGGTTAACAACGCCGGTTCCTCGGTCGAGTCCGGTGGTTGTACGGGGCTAGTCACTTGCGATGACGCCTTGCGGGGTTGTCGCGCTATGATGGCTGGCATAGTAGCAAACGTGTACCGCTGATGGTCGTCTCTGCGCGTCGACTCCTCCCGCTTACCCATTCCGCGAAGTCGTCTCGCCGGTTCCCAAAACTCGTAAACGCTGTCTTCGATGGTCAGAATCAACTGCTGGAACGTTACCCGGATTCCTTTGTATCCATGAGCGAGCAACTCAAAAGCTGCTCAGATGATCCATAAGCGCCGCCATACGCCGACGTATGCGGCCGCCTCGTCGAATAAGCCCGGTAGAGACTGTTTACGGACCATGGTGGATAGCTCTAGTGCTTGTCGGCTTGCACTGACGGCTAGGAAGCCCTGAAGACGTCCAAGCTCCCATCGTTGTCTAGTCTCCACGGCAGCATTATAGCTTACTACATCTGCTTAGTAGAGATTCAATTACCGTACGGCCACTCAATACAGTACCAAGACTTGACACTCCGTGAATACGCGGCCATGGTCCCACACTGCTTGTGGTGTCTGCTGTAAAGCTGTGGTATGCCATACATTCCCTCGCGCCACAACTCGCAGCCCTTGTAAAGTATTTGCAGTGAATACTCTGAGCCTTTGCACCGCCAAAACGGTTTCTTTCTTGATTGCCAAGAGTACATGTCACTTGGCAACAGAATCAGGTACGCTCCATAGAAGCCCATGAAGGAGCGGATGTGCGTGGAAGACAATATCACCTGCGTCTTGGCTCCTCCGTAGGTTCTGGCAATCGGCTACCGTAAAATGATGCTTGGTGTTGGTCGCGGCAAGTTTCCAATAGATCCTATCGCTCTGTCGTTCCAGTTCTATCATACCCACTGGCCTGGGTCAGAGACTGCCAGAACTCCTCGAATGTAACCCGTCGTACCATACTCCCACTCATATGCACGTCGGGTAACGTGGTACGAGGGCCTGTCGGAAGTAGAGCAGTTCCCCGGTTTTCAAACCCAGCAGAATCGTGATGCCGCAGCGTCGCAGCTTGGCTTGTTCATGCGTCGAAGCATCTCCCGTCAGAATGACAACGAATACCGTTCGGACCCCAACCCGCTGCACTTGAAGCCTGCTGATAAGACGTTGCCCTGGTGGTCTGTAATCCAAAGATTGTCTGTCCACGAGTACGTAAGACACAAGCTTCGTCTTGGTGTCATTGCCGGTGGCAAGTGCATAAGTGGTCAAGAGCTCCACCACTCATTCCTCGAGCGCCGTCAAGCTTCTTGTTTCCAAAATCAGGTTAGCGTGGCTTGCATGTACTGCTGCTGCCTTCCCTCCTCCTGATCCGATGGTGATGGGCGCAGCAAGGAATTAGTTGAGTCTTGTTTCTCGACATCGCGACAAGCTTTGCTGTCCATTCATGTGTCGCACCATGAAAGACCCAAGCCTGTCATGCCTGAAAATACATGTTTTTGCGTTGAGTGAGCAATGCTATGACATGTTTCATGTCTAGTATGTAATGCGAATAGAGGCCAAACCAACCCCACAGCAGCGCTGTGTTAATCGTATGGCCGCCAGCCTCCGGGTGAAGAATGAGTAAGTTGGATGGAACGTACTTCCGGATTAGATGTACAGAGCATACATTCAGATCTGTATGAGGAAAGTACAACTAGAGCGACATGATACGTCTTGTTGTATGAAGGATGCTTTCAGAGACATGTTAACGCAGTATAGAAGGAGCGGACTGTGAAGGTCCAGTATGGAAAGGAGCGAGCTGTGAAGTCCCAGAGGTAAGTTGCTAGCAGGTTGCAGTGGGAGGCGACAGCACATACATGTCATAGGAAGGTAGGACTTGTATAAGACGATAATGAACGACAGTTCTAAATGCTACGTTACGAACGGAAACTGGTTCTCTTTACAACACGTCCGGTCTGGCGGAATATGGGATTGTACCCGATGTTTTTTGCACGTATGAGCTTATGCGTATTGATTCGATTGCGAAGACCTTTGATGTTTTAAACGAGCTAGTGTATCTTGTTGAATTAGTGTTCGAGCGCAGTAATCGGAGGGGCAATTAGGAGGGAACAAAATGTCTGATAGTAAACTAGCTGAAAGTACTACGCTTTGATTGATAAGCTACGTCTCCAAGTAGAGCCAAGTAGTAGTGGAGTACAGCGCAGTGCTGTACCAATCGAACTAGTAACCTTCGTGAGCCCATAACTTAACTGCTCTTTCATACCTGTTAGATAGCTTGTAGTATATATAATACACACACCAACTTAATGTTTGTCACGTTCATGGACATTCGACATTACTACTGTATGTACACTGCAAGCTATTTGGTTCAACTTTCTCGAATCAGTCATTATGGCAACAACAGCATTAATATTTACACTTGAAGGTCCGTCAAAATTTACAAGCAATTGTGTGGCAAAGCTCACATCATTTTCCCTCGTGCAAGGCGTATGGATAGATACGTTGATAGAAAAAATTCTACTTAGATTTGAGGCTGGGCTGGGTACAATCTATGATGTCATCCTCGTTCACAGCAGAAGACAGCATTTTTCATTTGACAGTTTCCACTTTAAAACTTCTCACCCTTTTTCAATCGCTCGATAGTACTACAACAATGCTGCATATTGTTTATCTGCTGTCGGCTCTCCTATTTGGATTTTTCAGTGCATATCCGTGTGATATCGTGGAGGACAGTCGGATACCGTGTGTATGATGTACCGCTGCCCATAGCTTGCTACGAAAATTAAGTAGTATGCATTTGTGTCCTTTGTACCAAATTCAACGTTCGTCAGACCAGAAGACGCTCGATATCCCCCCCAGACATCGCCAATGCTGATGAGCACGATTTGTTTTGTAAAAGGAACTCACTGTATCATTACAATCATCTACGACCAGTCGGGCAATGGAAATGACTTGACCCCAGTCCGAGACATTGGACCTAACGGCGAAGGTATATTCGCTGCTAATGGTAGTGCAGTCATCATCTCCGGTAAACAAGCCTATGGCGTGTACATTGAACCGAAAATCGGTTATGCCGTTGCGGAAGCGACAAATGTCCCAATGAGAAACGAAGCTCAAAGCATTTACACGGTTCTAGATGGCACCAAAAGCAATAGCGGCTGTTGTTTTGATAGCGGTAACGCCAAGCCAACTTCAAATAACAATGATCTTGGGACAGTGGAAGCCATTTACTTTGGTAAGAATGCGCGCTTTGGCTCTGACATGGGCCCTGGTCCGTAAGTTATGGCGGATATGAATCAGGGTCTTTTCGGCTGTGCTGAAACGACATGCCCGAACAATTTCACGGTGAACTACGAGTTTGTGACTGCCGTGCTCAAGGATTACTCTGACCGGTTTGGTCTCATGGTGGGTGACGCGCAGTCCGGACTTCTCCAAGACATCTACAAAGGTAAGCGTCCAAACGGCTACTATTCGATGAAGAAGCAGGGCGGCATCGTCCTCAGCGTCGGCGATGGCGGCAAAAACGAAGGTGTTGGTGTCATCTATGAAGGTGCTATTATGAGTGGTGTCCCAGAAGATAGTATTATCCCATCTGATTCAACAAAACATCGTCGATATGGCCTATAGACGTGCTCCGGTTCGCGATGCCGATGGTTCCCAACTCCCCTATGACTCCGGAGCTTCATAAGGCCACCGCTAGTTTCTAAGGTCCTGAGGGTCACGGAAATTTAGGTGGTACCCCTACGCGATCATTTTTGTTTAGCTTCAATACAAAGCTTTCGAGCGAGCAAGTTTGTATGCTGTAGCTTAGCTCACAATAATGTGCTATGAATAACGAGAACGGTGAATTTCTGACAATTTGATTTTTGTTGTTGTTGTTAACCATATCGATCAAACTTATCTCGATGCATGCCAAAAAATGATCATGCGCATCATGATTCCATTCATCGTTACAATATCTGACACCAACGCCGCATTGCGATTGCAGCCCCTGAAATACGATAGCTTTGATGAGCAAAGCTTTTGTAATGAATGAACCTTAATCGAGTGATAGCTTTGCGCGTGAAGGCAAGTTGTAGTTGTGGGTAATTGCCACTGTCACTTTCACTCACACTTTCAGGGATTTTGGCCTGCGTACAAATAATGTCCTTGACGGCAAACAGTTTGATAGTAAGTTTTGAACAACTTTCTTGATATCATCTACATATTTGTAAGTCAAAAATGTAAGAGGTTTTCGTCAAACACGAATGAAAAGTGATGGTACGGTTTAGATGGAGAGACAGAGATTAAAATGGCTATTGACTCTTTAATACAAAACTCCTGCTATGTCCGTAGGCAAGATAAGAATGCAGGCATCCGGGGCGCGACCACGTGTCAGGGCACTCCTCATGTAGATGCATGGACTTCTCAGTAAGTAGGTGACGATCTCGATGCACGCGTGTAATGTGGCGCCGCGGATGACAGCGTCCGCCTTGCGGTGAATGCGCTTGGCAACGGCTTCAAGTCGCCTGACTGCTTTGGTCAGTAAGCCGCTACCCCCTTCCTGTGCCGTTATCCGTGTGCCGCAGAAACACAATCCACTCGCTTAGTACAGGGGCTCTTGGTCGCACCGCGCAGAGGAGCGTCCAAAAGGATACCATGTAAGGCACGGGTTCCCTGGTGGGCCGATTTGTTAAGAAGCAGTTCAGTTTGTGCGTTGCGACCTTGTATGCAGTCCATACTTGATAATCCGTGCGGCAGGGCAATGAGCTACAAGATCCATGAGGTCGTGCTACCACTAACCGCTGCCGTCTTCGTTGCTGATAGCAACCAAAGGTGCGCTGAATCCTCGTTTGCAATGGGGTACGCCGGTCGGTTGAAGTGGACCTGACTGCTATTTGGAATTGTCGGGGCCATAAGCGCGCAATTTGCATCCCTTCCACCTGACGGACAGCGGAACCGTGGCAAAAAATCGGTAAAGTCCCGTACCAGAGAGTCCAGTGGGGCTGTAGGATTACTGGTCTCGAAAATGGGCTGCCAATCACTAGCATTGTCAGCATTGCTCGCGCCCCATTTGAATGACCGACCATGGGTCGCACGATGTCAAAGACGTTGTGAGCACGTTCCTAGTTTAATACGCGTTTGTATTGCCTCCGACAAGCGTTCGAGCTGGTAATTGAGCCGGATCATGTGGTAATATTTCAGTCCTCCTATTCCGCTTGAATCCATTGCTCCGCGTCGTCAGACTGCTCCTTTCCCGTGCCTCGACTTTTCTGCGCACCGCCGGTGCCGCGTGATCCGTCGAATAATGGCAATGGTCTGTGTGATGACTCAAAGTGGCGCCACCAAGTACAATGGTAACTTGAAAGGCATTGATTGACGAGGAAGAAAACCGATGGCAAATGGCCGTTTTGTCAATGCTGTCACAAAGAGCTTGTCTTTGCGGTAACCAGTGTGTTGAAATATACCGCGCATTGCGCAGTAGGAGGAGGAGAAGAAGCAGTTTAATCAGGAATAGTCGAGACGCACAACACTTTTGTATTCCGTATTGCGCCAAACCTTGTCACGAAACGGACCCAGCAGGGTAAAGATTCAAGAGTTCGAAACGGACCCAGCAGGGTAAAGATTCAACGAGTTCAGTTCAGTATCAGCAAAACCTCAATCAACCTTTGGCATGGGTCACCGACCGCATCGATAGAATATGTCCTTAGCGCCACTTAGCAGTTTGTTCAAAAATCGTTCAAGCTTTCTCGTCCTCATGTACATCAGATATCGGCGCAACCCGCGCATATCGTCCACCACCCACCATTCAAAAGCTTTAAAGGAAATCCTTTGATCGATGGAATCCATGACACGCGACTTCAGTAGGGTCAGCACCGGGTCGATTACTACTTTGACATTCTGCTTTTGGAATTCTCGAAAGGCTAAATAACGGTGCTCTAGCTAGTCCTTCAATTCAACTTTCCTTCCTTCAGCTGCAACCGTGATCTCCTCTCACTATTCCTCTCGCATGAAGTTGCCTGTAAGCTACTATGCCCATACTGCAGATACACATCAAGTAAACATAGGGGTTGTCGCAACATCTTCGTCTCAGCGGTCGTACGTCGAGCATTCATTCACACGCTGGACCTGGATGAGCATGAATGATTTGCGTGGTTGAAATTGGTGGGAAATTGGAAAAGGCGATGTCTTGGTTCAGCATCTCCTAGCGTCATGTTGGCTTCATTGTCAAAACGATATCATTCTGTGCCATTCCTATAGGCAAACGGGCGTTGCGAATGTGATTGTGAAGAGAGTGTGTGACATTCACGGAACGTGTGACTGTTGGTAAACCTTGACCACGCAGAAGAAGAATATGTGGGGTAAGAATGCAAACCATCTTGAGCAAAGTTCACATCTGCTACGTACAGAGAAATGATAAACAGTATCATTACATGCCAATGTTGTCAATAGAATCACCAGTCAACCTTCACCTTGTTGTGTGTTGTGATATGTACGGAACCAAATCTCTCTCTGTATGGTCGAGTTGATATTTCTCGGATTGGTACAAGAAGTACATGGCACAGCTTATGATCCATTGACTGAATAACCAACTCGTCTTTCCATTCAACAAACACATGAAGTCGTTAAGCCGTCAAGTTCGTGAAAGTCATGAATATCACTGACTAATTCTTGCTTCATAATAGCGGGGCGTTCGACCCTCCCGAATAAGTGTCCGATGCATGTCCCCTACAAACAAACAGATGTCGCGTAGTGCGCTTATACCTGCGACGAAAAAAAATCACACAGGGGTGATAAGCTTTTGACTTGCTTGTCATGGGTCTCGTGATTCACCTGACCTGGATTGCAAAACAGAAGATTTGTCGGCTGCTAAGGCACGACAGCGAAGTGACGATAGTCTAGCAACACTGTGCGCAGAACAAGCCCGTCTATATACAAACCCTTGTGGCTGGCAACGAGTAGTACCATCTCATTGCTAATCGACACATCATCAATCTACAGGACTGCCTCACTTTTGAATAAACACAAATGGGAGGCGGATCGCTCTTTCAAGTCGGTGATGATGTCGAGTTGTGGCGAGTATTGATTCACTTGAGCATCTTGGCTTTATGCCTCGTTTTCTTTGAGGCTGCTCTCCACCACATTGAGCACAAACTTGCTCAATATGACAAGTACCAGCAAATGCTTCGGAAAGCGTATCGAGAGCTCATGATTCTTGGTTTACTTAGTCTTGGACTAAAGTTACTCAAGGAAATGCCAGGCATCAATGCAGAAAGCAAGACCATGTTGGCGTTCCAAGTAGCTGATCTAACCATCTTTATTTTGGCCCTTGCTCTTATACTGCAAGCAATCATTGTCTTCTCACAGCTCCGTAAACACAATGCAATAGCTGATCGCATCGAATTGATCACTGCACAAGACTTGGTCAACGCCATCAGTCCACCAGCCGGAACGCCACCAACTTCAGCACAAGTTCACACAAACTCAACGAAATGGTGGGTTTGTTGGCCGAGAAATCGTACCAAACTGTATGACCAGGACGTGGTCCAACGTCGACTGCTTCGGCATTTGTTCCTTCGACGCTTTGGACTTCCGCAGCTCTTTCCATTTTCAAAGTATCTCCGTCGCGCTCAAGCAAGCCAGATCTCGCACATGATCGAGATTGAGCCATCCACGTGGATTCTTCTACTCACTGTAGCCTGGATGCTTTGTGGTCTTCTTAGTGCTCTCCAAAGTTTAGACGTCGATCTTCCTGAAAGTCACGAACTTGTCGAAGTATTCTTGATATTTGCTTGGGGACTGGTACTGCTTCACATTATGGTGCTGCTCTTTTTTCGTTCGTGTGTTCGCCAACTTTTGCTAGCTGCTGGTTATAGTGACAATGAGGCAACGTTGGCTGAGAATCTTCGAGTAATTGCTGAAGAAGAAGATGTTGCGTGGCAAAGTGAAGCGGCTGATAGTGCTCTGAGCACCATGAACCGGGTACAAGAAGAGCTTGAAGAGATCGAGGACAGCCGGAATGCTAAACGACACGTTTTGCTACGGAGAGATGTTGGACTGCAGCTCGTTGCTACTTGCTATCGTAATTTGAATCAAATCGGTGTCGCCAAGTTGCGCACAGAACGACTACCTAATGGGGTGCAAGCTGGAACCCCGATCATTCAGATTGGATTCTTTTCACGCAAGGCGTGGCATGTCGCGGTGATGTTCATGCTGATTCTTAACGGGTTCTTTATTGCTCTGCTTGTGCAATGCGTTGTCTACGATTTAGACGACATCTACGAAGATTTTGGGCTCTTTCACGCCATCGTGGTCCCTCTTCCGTTGTTTTTGAACACTTTTGTGTTTCAGCAGCAAATGTTCCGCTATTTCGTGACCGTCTGCAGCATCCTTCGTGTAGACGCCCATACGTTAGGCGAGGTGGTGAACCATTTCAGCGAGATTGTGGAGTTACGGTCCGAGTTTGCGTCCTCGTTACTTGAGTGTCTAAAGGAAGGAGGCTATACGGTCATGGATTTGCGCTGCGAGCTCAACGCCTACGACCCACGACAGACCGGTATGATCGACATCGACAATCTTCGTGTCGTTCTGACAGCATTTGGTTATCGGTTGACACGATTTCGTTTTAATACCGTTGCAATGATGCTGTTCGAACTCGATGGAACCCGAGTGGAGTATAGCCAACTCCTTCGACTATTGATGCTTGGACAGCATGATACTCCAAATGAAAGTGGTCCTGTAAGTGAAAGACGTCAACACCGACTATTGCAACGGAGCGGAACTATTCTTGAAGACTGTGAGCAACCAAGGTCACGAACGAATCGTGCAGCTTCCCTGGCATTGCGTCAAGTACCGTTAATGCCTCGACCTAGCGTTACGTCCGAACCGTCATCGAGCGATTTTGTGAATATGAGCACGCCAGGCTTTCGTCGAATCTCTATTGCGGGAACGTCCGAAGCCAGCACAAACCCAAAAGCCGAGATAACTCGTCAAGCTTTGATGCTAGATCGCGGGTATACTTGCCAGTTTGGTGGCTCGAGCTCTCGAGTGCTCCACGATATGTTCAATATTCACAGAGAATCAGAATCTCAAATGGATTCGGTACCTTCCGATACAATGTACACAGTGCTGTAGGCTACTGACATTATAAGAATAGTTATCCGCATACTTCCGTCGACTTGTTATAAGATTTTCTAAGAGGTTTAGCAGCTACAGGACTAGATTTCGTGCTTGTCAGGTCACCGATCGCATGATCTCGGGTCTCAATGCTAAAACGCTTAGGAAAAATGCTAGCACTACTTACTCCTACGATAAGATTCCTGATAAGGGCGAGATGTATATACAATGGCAAATGTACATGTACGCTTGGATGACATATGGCTACAAACTATCGTGAAAACACGCATGGAACCTTGACTACTTGACAAATAGTCGATGAGCCATTTACGTTGCTGTGGTAATCTTTATAGAGGAAGTGTTCCTTTGCATGGTATGGATCAAATCTACATTGACTGTAGGTTCAATACAAATTGGTTCATTGGCGTATCTATTCGCTGTCCTAATTTTCGTTCCGCTTCCTCCGAGATATCCTGGGACTATACGTACCAAGTTCCTGATTCTACGTTCCTGTATGACATCTCACTCACTATCTGGACATCGCTATGCCCACGATCTCAAAGTTTCATGATGGACAGTGCTTCATGGACAAGTTCGCCACTCCACACCAAAAGACGATGATCTTACTATTATCTATAGCCAGCGTGACGACACGAATGGATAAACCGTGATCAAAGGCAAGGCATTTCTTTGCTTCCCCTCTACGCTAGCCATGTCAGGGTTTCAACAATTGAGCAGCAATGTCATTGAGCTCTTTGGTTGGTTGGCGGCTTTTAACCTTTTGCATGTGCACACAAGAATAATAATCCAGGTTTACGCAGGGGTTGACGACGAACTCGAAAAGCCCTTTCTTCCGGCAAGCCTCCCATACAAACGATGTACAGATTGAGGAAGAGAGAGAGACAGAGGGAAAAAATCTGTACATCGCTTTGTTGTGCTACACTTCCCATGAGTGTTGAGTGGTAGCGTATGTTTATGTTCATTGCGACAATTTCTTACTTTTCACGACGTTTACGTCGGCTTACGTTCAGCTGGTGTCCATGGTAATGTAGCAATCGATGACGCTCAAAATATATCGAAGGCAAAACAGGTTTCGACTTGTTGGGTCGGCAAATCTGTCACCTCGTTATAGTATCGAACTAATCGGACGCATTGGAATAATAATAATCATAATACTTACAGAGCTCTCTCTGACTCATTTATTGAATCTCGTCCTCGAATTCTAATCCTGTCGGGAAAGGTGTTAGGACTATCAACAAATCCTTCGAGTCATACGGTATTTATGACGAAACATAGAGCTAACGCTAAGTCGACAATAATCTACAAGTCCCTGATCCTAGGAAAATCATTTCTCTCTTGCTCGCTCCCATTGAATCTAGTGCATATTTATCATGCTTCCAGCCATGCCGGACCTGTCTTTGTAATCAAATTGCTTTCATACAAGTATCAAAGACGAGCCATATGCCAAATAATGACTCAATTATGTACCACTGAAAATTTTCCGCTTCAAGCAATTCATCACTACTTCCGTATTTTAATTGGCTAAAATCTATTTAAAACGATTTGATTGGTCAAGACGACGAGAAGTTGCTGACGCAATCCACCTGATCCGTCCGTCATCAGTTGTATCCAGTCGATCTCGTATGACATATGCTTGCAAACATATTGATGGTCATAAACTTGGTGTTAGGAGTGTGTGTGCGTGTCCTTTGCAAATAGGAATATGTCTCACTTTCATTTTCTTCCATTGTAACACGACGTAAAAATGAGTAAAAAATCCGTCTTTCAAGTTGGTGAAGATGTGGAGGTGTATCAAGTGGTAGTGGTCTTAAACATTTTGGCAGTCTGTTTATTAGTATTTGAATCATCTTTACATCATTTAGAGCACTATCTATCAGCTCATAATGATAAGTATCAATTAATGCTCAAGAAAGTCTATCGTGAACTCATGATTCTAGGATTACTTAGTTTTATTATCAAAATGCTCACGGAAGTAGGCGGGATGGATACTTATGATGACTTGGTCTTAGCACTTCAAGTGGCTGACCTTATTATTTTTATCCTAGCTATTATGCTCATCATACAAGCAATTATTGTCCTCATCTTACTACGACGACATAATAAACGTGTGGATTTGGCAGAGTTAGTATCAACTGCAGATATGGTCGAAGTGATGAGCATGCCTGACAAAACGACTATGACATCTCGTGGAAAACAGCTTAGTCCTGATCTTTTCCAGGACAATGCTGTCAAGCATCGAATCCTACGACATTTATTCATCCGTCGCTTTGGACTTCCTTACCTCTTTCCTGTTTCAAAGTACCTACGTCGTGCTCAGGTAAACAACATTGTCCATACGATTGAAGTGGAACCGTCAATGTGGCTACTAGTACTTGCAATGTCATGGGCTTTCACCGGTGTTATTCAAATTCTTGAAGAGCATAAATTCAATCTACGCTACGATCTCATTGTCGCGCTAATGGCATTTGCTTGGCTATTAGTGTTGACCAACGTTTGTGTAATGCTCTACTTTCACCATTGTGTAAACCGGTTGTTGGCAATTGGAGGATACAGCACCTCAGAAACCGTTTTGCTTGGAAATCTTTCTAGACTTGCCGAAGAAGAAGCAACTGCTTGGGAAAGCGAAGCTGCTGACGACGTGTTAGATACTTTGAACCGACTTCATGCGTACCATGAAGATATCGAAAATGAACGGGAGGCAGAAAAGCATGGTATTCTAAAAGGTGACGCAGGGTTTGAATTAATTGCTAGCTGCTTCCGCAATATGGTGGGTGGCTTCAAGTCCAAGGAGCGTCGAGGACAACAAACTGGTGTCGAGCCCGACTCGCCGGTGATTCATCTACCTGGTTTTTCATGGAATGCGTGGTATGTTGTTGTCACGTCCTTGACGATCCTAAATGGATTCTTTGTTGCGCTGCTTGTGCAGGGTGCAGTCTACAGCTTTGATGATATATACGACGAGGTTGGGATTTTTCCTGTCATCGCAATCCCGCTTCCATTGATCATGAATGCCTTTGTCTTCCAGAAATGTATTTTTCGCGATTTTGTCCTGGTTTCTACCATTATACGCATGGACGCCAGCGTCTTGGGAGAAGTAGTGAATCATTTTAGCGAGATCGTAGAGCTGCGTTCTGAGTTTGCGACTGTGTTGCTTCAGTGCATGAAAGAACACAGACGCTCGATTGCCGGTTTGGAGAAAGCACTAAAGTCACAAGATTTGCGTCATACTGGTCTCATTGACGTTAATAAGCTTCGAACAGTCTTGGCCTCGTTTGGTTTTCGTTTGACTCGATTCAAGTTTAACAGTGTCATCAAGCTGATGTTTGATCTTCGAGGAACGAGCGTTGAGTATGCGCAACTGATCCAGCTCGTCAGTCTGATGCAGCAAGAGTTTGGCATGGCTGATGATATTCCCGGGCAGACTTTCGGTATGCAGCGGACAGTGACCTCGTGTGAAGATCTAGACGGTCTGCGACTGAATCGTCAACCTACGCTTCCTGTTTCTCGACGTTTCCCGTTACTTGCTCAATCAAGTCGTGGACCAGAGCCCGGTCCAAATGATTTTGTCTGTGCCAATTCTCCATCTCTACGACAGCTTCAAATTGGCGATGGTATGGAGGATACTTCTTCACGACGTTCCGTAGTAGAACGAGGCTATGCGGCTCTTCTAACAAGCTCACGTGCGCTTCACAGTCTGTATACGTTACGGAAAATGTCGTTTGTAGTCCCAGAATCGTCCTCAAACAGCTCCAATTCGACGAGGTAGAAGCGATAATAATCCAAATAACCCATGCATTTGAAGCTTGTAAAACAAACTGGTTGGGTTTTATTCGTGTCTACCGACTAGATTTTTAATACCGGTTTTATGACTACCTAACGAAACAAAAACTGTTCAATTGCATCATCCTAATTAAACACTCTTAAGTTCGGAATCTGCGACGTGTGAAGTTGAAGTGAATCCTAGGATACGCCATCGGATGATTTCTTAGATCGCACTTGAATGGTCACTGATCATTCCATTCGTCCTTCGATCTCCTTTCTTCATATTTGCTTTTACTTGACTCTAGACACATAATAACCTTACTCGATCGTTTGACTAACTGGAAAGTCATGGCTTCAACGGCATTAAGTGGTAAATTAGAACAAGGTGGTGGCAGAAGCTGGGAAAATTTGAAAAAAGCACAAGGATTAAAAGACCGTGCGAGTACCGTACATAACTTAAAACATTATGGTAAATATAACATGTAGGAATTTCAAATATTACAATAATAATAACATGGCTACATTGTTTCTTCACTGTCAGGGGAAGAGCAGAAACGATTGTACCAGGAATTACCATTTCGTGTATATCCAGGTATGCGTCGTCGTTCGTTTCGTAGTGAACGGGAGTATCCTCAACTTCGTCCTCGTAGTTCTTGGGCAAATTTATCACGTCTTGTGAAAAAGGTACACGTTTTGTCATTTTCGTGTCATAACTCAATATTTAGCTTAATTTCGTATGTTGATATGGTATTGTCATATTTAATGTGATTTTTACACTAGCATGGTGAAATTCAACCATTATTAGAAAATGAAGAGATGATGATGATGATGCAGAACCAGGATATACGTATCCATTACTACTATCATGTGTCATTGCTGTGATCAATGCATTCCAATATGGATACAATACGGCAGTTACAGGAGCTATGAATGCTAATCAGGTCTTTCCTGGCCATTCAAATATGCTCTGGGCTCTTTGTGTATCAAGCTTTGCTGTTGGTGGACCATTTGGGTCGATTATAGGAGGACAACTCAGTGGTTCAATTGGTCGCAAGAAGACAATGTATGCCAATTCGTGCCTCTTTTTACTTGCTGGACTTGCCATGGCATTTGCAGTCGACATGTACATGCTGATTGTTGGTCGATTCCTTGTGGGTATTGCGTCAGGGACAGCCACTGTCATTGTGCCGCTATATCTTGGAGAATTGGCACCCCCAAGTCTGCGTGGAGCACTAGGAACCACGTATCAAGTTGCTATGGTACTGGGCATTCTGGCAACAGATATCCTTGCTTTTGGTTTTACAGGCGAGAGTGACGGCTTTACACGTCCAGGATGGCGTTTAATGTTTGGTTTTGCAGGAATTCTTGGGGCGTTACAACTTGTTCTTACTCCATTCTTGGTCGAAAGTCCGCGTTGGCTGCTGAATAATGGCAACACGATCGAAGCCGAAAAGATTTTGCGGAATCTGCGTCAAAATGACGATGTGACGGATGAAATTGAAAGCATCTCCGCTGCAAACACCAGCGAAACGGGAGATGTTCAAGGCGTCGGGGGAGGTACTACGTGACCAAAGCATTCGCTTGCCACTCTTGGTTGCTGTGGTGTTGCAGCTCGGACAGCAGTTGAGTGGTATCAACGCTGTCATGTTTTACGCAAGCTCATTTTTCGAAAGTGCGGGACTAGAAAACCCGCTTACTGGTATCACACTGGTCTACATCGTAAATGTGCTGGCTACGATTGTTGCTCTCATGCTTATGGACTCTGCTGGTCGTCGTCCACTGCTTCTCTGGTCCATTGTGGGCATGCTTGTTTCGAGTGCAATTCTAACCGTTGGGCTTCTAGATTTCCTGCCGTATTCCAGCATCCTCAGTGTGGGCGGTGTTACGAGCTTCGTGTGGTTCTTTGAGATCGGGCTTGGTCCGATCCCATGGTTAATTGCAGCGGAGATGTTCCCACCCAAGTCACGCACATCTGCCACTTCCATCGCCACGATGGTCAACTGGATGGGACTCTTCACCATTGGCATTGTCTTTCCTGTGATGCAGACTACCCTAGGCGACTATATTTTTGTTCCATTTGCCGTTTTACTTGCGCTTACGCTGGGATTCTCGCTCAAATATGTACCGGAGACGAAAGGCAAGACGCTGGACGAAATTCAAGAAGAAATTCAGTCGCGCTAATTGAAGACAGCACGAGCAGCTTAGTATAGTACACTTAGTACAAGGGATCACTTTGAAGTACCAACGAGCACTTATTACCATTCAACAGCATCATTTACCCCAAAAGTCGCTTGATGCATTATTATATTAGTCCTGCAAACTCTATAATTCTCAATCCCCCGCGATCATTTCAACGCCGGCGATCATACCCGCGTCCGAGTGGCCAAGAATATGACAGTGTGCAACCACAATACCTGTGTAATCTTGTGGGCGAAAACGAATAGTTACATTTCCAGGCGTAGGCACGGAGATGACGTCGCGCCAATCGCCAACCTCATAGTCAATACCGTGACCATGACTCATATCCACAATTTGGAAAGCATTCGTGTGCAGATGAAACGGATGATTTCTTAGTGTCACTTCACCGTTCTCGTCTCTCCTGTTGATGATAATCCACTCCTGCACACGACCAAGGGTCATCGTCCGGATGCTAGTACCATTGAACTGCGCATGGTTAATGTAGTACGGCTTGTAGTAAAAGCCGTCCTTTATCACTATATCATCACCCATCGTGAACTCAAACTCAAATGGTACCGGATCCATTCCAGCGCGATCCTCCGCAGATACATCGAGCAAGCTTTTTAATGGACCATAAAGTTCCGAAGGCGGTGGTACCGCTGTGATAAGAGGCTCAGCAAGCGACTTGCCTTGAACGTGGATAAACGCTAATACACCAGAGTAGAGATCCGAGTGGTTGCCCATAACACCATGAAGCTTCGGGTTTTTCACGGATTGAATTGGACGCAACAATTCAAGACCGCCGTCTACGCTAGGCTCACAATTTAAAATGAAGTCGACTCGAGCTCCAGGCGAAAGAATCACAGTTTCCATCTGCCGAGGTTTGGGCAGATAAAGACCGTCACTTGAGGCCACTGTGATCGAACAGCCGGGCACCTGTACTTCCAATATAGCCGTCCCACCAGCATGCAGCATGCGAAGAAGAACGTTTTCATGCGGCCGCACTTGAATCTTGGGCAAATACTGTCCGTTAACGGAGAAGTATTGAGCAATCGGTGGCATCTGAGTCTTACTCTCTGACAGGTCCATTTCTTCCAGTAGTTCCTTTGACAGCTTGGCATTTCCAATGGGTCGTTCAGCCTTCTGTATATCTGGATACAACTTCCTCACCTGTGCTTCAAGCTTGATCTTATCGGTATACATGAGTTGCAAATCCAACGTACTGCGCGATGCTTGAGCTGCCCGTATCAATGATGCCATTATACCACCGCTGAACCTAAATTCCTGTAGCACGACAACATGTTTCTGCTTAATTGCTGCATACTGTTTCGGTACCGTCTCCGGATCATCTTCCACCACGATCGGTCCTACCATTCCTCCACCCATTTGCAAAAACACCGAGCCGTGAAAATGTGGATGATAGTGAAACAATCCTCTTGGATGATTCAATGGAATATGGAGTTGTGTCTTAATACTTGTGCCAGGTGTTACAATACGAAATATATTGTCTTCAAAACCAGTGGGGTCAACATGCATGCCATGAAAGTGTAGATTCGTATTATTCGGCTCGTGCATTGTATTACGAGTCCATTCTCCTGGTTCATTCGGACCTAAATTGTTTACTAAATGAATATTTAGTACATCTCCTGGCTTTAGAACCAACAACGGACCAGGCACAGAATTCTCATATGCACGGGTGTAAAACGCGATAGGACCATTGTTCACAAGCTTTTCAGTGACGGTAATACCGGTATGAAGCTCTCCATTAATTGACACTCTTGTTTCCAGTGGTTCAAGTTCCGGTAACTGTTGTAATACCTGATTCAGTAATTTGAACCGTCTTGATGCAAGTCCATTGATTGACTTGATCCGTAAATTCTTCTGTCGTTCCTCATACATAGAAGACACAAATAGCAGCACGACAATACAAACGCCCATGACAAAAATACATGCCACGTTATAACGTCGATGAAGCGTCTGCGTCTGTACTTGCTGACGATGGATGGTATTATTTTCTTTGACATGTTTATCTTCTGCTGCTGCTGCTTCATTCAATTGCTTGATATCGTAGAATAAGCCCGTGCCGTAGCCTACGCATTGGCGACCGCCGTCAGTGTCAAACATTATTGTGCTACTATGACAAAAACCGGTAGCATACTGAGTGAATGAACACCCCTCAAGTGGCAACCCAAGTAAAAACCAGTTTACGTGCCGGTATAAACATGATGGTGTTTAACAGACGTGGTCAGACAAAGTAGTATCAATCATTGCGCTCTTGTTAAATATCAGACTTTCTTCGTGACAGCTCTTCTCTTCTCAATTTACTCTTCTCTCCTGTCACATCTTCCACTTGCATCGCGCATTCCATGCTCAAGAAAAAAAAGATTCACCAGTTTGCTTCAACAAAAAGCGCTGAACGAGTGCCGGGATAATATGGTAGCCACGTAATGATCGCTGACACGATGTGTAGTCCTCGCGTGCCGCAAACACCAGTTCATTGATAAAGGAGCTCAGAATATCTTTTCGTTCTTTCGTCGTGGTCGTATACTTAACTTTGAAACTAGGTTTGCACGGCGTCATGTGCAAGAAATCGAGCAGACCGTCACAATACGCGCACGATTTGTACCTAGGATGGTGCTTGCGTGCAATGTGCACAACGTTCGAGCATAGTCTTGCAAAGCTCGAGTAACGCTGTTCAATCTGGTAATCTGGGTCTCTGTTTTTCGGTTCGTGATCTGCTGGACGCTTGTGCGGTGGAAATAACTGCCCTGCTGACACATTGCAACGCGTTGACGGCAGTCCCTTCTGTTGACGGTAGCGATATACGTCCAGCACAAAGTACATGACATTATCCTCGCGCTCAATCACATCGTGAATAGCAATGAACTCGACGCTTGAGAGAAACTGGCGGACCTCCATAGCTCGAGATACCTGCTGTGGGAACATCATAACGGGCGCTAACTCGAGCTCGCGCAGAAAGGGGATTTTTACGACCACAGAAGCGTGTGCTGCGTTCTCAGTCGCTGCATCTATCGTCATAACTTTTTGATTCTTTGTATCATTGTCCACATCTTGAGCCAAACAGGTATTGGGCAATAAAGCAACAACCTCATTGTACTTCCTGTCTTCCTCATTCATGAACATTGTCATGACAAGTTTTGGGCTTGGAGAAAATAAAAGTGGGAGATCTGACTATTGTGCGGAATCAAAAAACTGGTAATCGTGTCACATCATCTTTCGATTGATGATGATTAATTACCTTTTATAGGTTAGGAAAGGTATAGATTGCAGCGACAAATATAGTTTGTCCATCTCAACGGATTGTAGCAGCCGTGCTATCGATATACCGGTACTATAAATGTTATGAGCTCTGTTTAACCGGTACAATAAAGTTGATGTGCGACTCCTTGTCCATAGACGAGGACCGTTCGACAAGTACCGGTTGGCGATACTTGATAGTAATCCTCTGGCAAAGAGGTCTAGTGCATTGATGGATACTTGTAATAAGTAGCAACGTACAAGCTGATAATGCAGAACTTGCACGGATAAGTCAATCCTACTTGGAAGCAGTAATTGCAGTAGCCGTCACTTGACCGTCAGCAGACATAAGGTTTTAGGGGGGGGCAGAGAAACAAAAAATCAACACGTCCACCTTGCAAATGCCAATCAAATTAGTCGGGAGATATGGTAAGGTGTGCCGTTGGCTTGTAGCAGGATGATTATTCTCAATTACAATGCCCTGTATAAAGTTGAAAAAGCCCTCAACGTCACATAAGCTCAACTAGGTTTTGTGCATGTGTTTCAGTGTCGATGGTCACCTCTTTGTAGATTATGGCACCGACGAATTGTCTAGATCCATATTGAGTCGGAGTTAAAAGGTCGACAACGACATGACTACTGCTATGGAAGTGTTGTGAAATGTTGAGCCGTAAGCACTCGTGCTTGTTTCAGTGAGGTAAATTCTCGCAAATGTTGCAACTGGTACTGTCATCACAAACCACTGCAAAATGTCTACTTTGTCCGGCACTGAACTATTCTCTGGTAGGATATGCCTACGACATTACGTGTTGGTGCAAGTCGTTCCCGCATAGCATTTGTGTCTTTGGTAAAGATGGCGCTACTGGTATGATGACGCAAATGTTGCGTCCAACTGCGCCTGTCCCGTTCGATAAAACCTTTCAATGCCATTCGGCAGCTCACGAGAGTGTATGGACTTTGTATTACTATTCCATTGACGTGCTCAGTGTATCCCAAAACGCAACAAAGGCAGTGCCATCTCAACGTCTTTGCTTTTGGTGTAATTGTTCCTGATTATCGTCGCATTACCTGAACTGAGAGAGGTGTTCAAAATCCAAGATTCCTCACCTCTTTGACTCTTCCTAGACAGCAGCTAGGGATTATGCGACCGTCATCAACACAAGTGCCACTGTGCCCTTCATTATTACATGCTTTTCTCTTTATGTGATTCAAACAGAACCACTTATATCGAGGCTTTTGTTATACAGAAAAACTCTCAGCACCTGTACGCTCCTAATACGTACGCCTCCGTTCCAGGTAGATAGATAGGTCGATGAACGAGGAGATACACGCCGAGACCCACTTCATCTGCAAAACCGCACATTGTAGTATCGAGACCCATACCGTATTCGATGCTCTGTGATTGTGAAGAGATGGGGCGAGTAGATTGGCGCAAACATCGGAGATTGCGGCGCATTGCGCGGTGAGAAGAAGCACGGCATCTCATGATTAATTCGTGGTGACTTAATCAATACTGGACTCATGGACTCCATCATCGGTCGCACGTAGTGGGAGATCATATCGCTACGGTACCCACTTGTGCAGAGTCCTCCTGCTGGCGTGGGATAATCGCTGCCTCCGTAAAACAAGAATTGCACTTGCCTGTCCCCTGCCTCTTCTTTGTCGTAAGAGTACGAGCAATTTGAAGGCGTATCGGAGCGTGATCTCGAGCCTGACGACGTGGAACGCTTTGTTAAACCTACACGACTGCTTGTTGATGAAGAACGCGATAGTGGAGGCCGAGACTGCGTAAAGTACTTGACGTCACGTTCCCAGTGGTCGTACATTCGTGGAGTTCTGTGTACGCCAGGTGACGCCTTGCGATAGTAATCAGGGTCAATTACGTCGCAGCAGCTCGTGCAGTCCTCGAACGGCCTGCGTACGAGGTCCCAGACACGCTGAAAGAACACTGACAATCCCATTACAAACGTGAATGAGTCTTTCTGTAGTGTATTTTCTATAAGAAGCTGACGGATTTGGAGTTTCCGAGGCTAAAAAACTACAACAATAACAACAGCAATGAAGTCTACACTAACACGAAAGCGAGGCAAGTGGAATCCGTGTCTTAGTCGGTCGGTCGTCGATGTCTTGTTTTTCTTTTTCTGACTGAGCTCGAAAGGCAAGATGAACCTCATGATGAGGCTCATCGTGTCGCCATTTGATAGAGGACAAAGATGAAGCAGAGAGAGTATAGCTCGTATCTCCTACACTTTGCGTAGTGCCACTTGGTGCAAAGAGTTGTCAGTTGCGACGTTGTAAGATTAATACAATCCATAAATGCTGACTATCTGTCCCAAGCAGCCAAGAATAATCTTTGGTTAGGAGGAAGATTTGAGTTAAGAGCCATTGACAGTCAGTCTCAATGTCTCACAAGATCAAAAAATGAAGGAAAGATGCTCGTATTGTAAGATGCTTGAAATCTCTTTAGTATTGCTGCTATGATGGTAACTTCTGTTGTCGCGAATGAGGACATTGCACAATGAATGTGCAGCATCTGACGTAATAGAGAGCCAAGAATGAACCCAAGTCATGCATTTCGTTTGTTTCGTCGTTTTGTGCAAAGTGAATCTGATTGCTATGACTGCTGCAAACGAGTCTGGGAAGTCCATCCTATCTGACGTCATAGCTATACCGCTATGAATACAAGTATCTGCTGAATAACACGTAGTGATCTAACCAAGATCTTCCCGACTGGAACTCAACTCAATCCATGTCTATCTGTAGTGTTTAAATCCCTGAATCTATCTCTCCTACTCCTCCTTGCCTTTCTGACTACGCTAATGCTACTCTACTGCTTGTTACGAAAAAAATATTAAACCAATCGACGCCAAGTGCCACCTCCATTGTATCTCTTTTGCTTCCTCTCATCTACAAAACTTGCCACTTATCAAGATTACAACTCGTACTCCTTTGGATCGGGCAAAATACAACTGCGACGCATGTTCTTCATCAAAGGCAGCGACAGAAATACCGGCATTTTCGTCTGCAATGACGGACGAATCTCATTCTCATGCAAATCGTCAAATTCAGATGGTCTCAAGTCCGGTTCAAATGTACTGTCAGCATCGCTACCTCCAAAAAACAAAAAGGAGACGTGTAAAGGTTCCGCTCCTGACTCATCACTGGATTCAACTGCTACCTTGGACGGATTACGGGGCGACGGGTTGGCCTTGATAAACGGTTGCTTAAATTTCGTTTCCTTCTTAACCTTTTCCACCTTCTCTTGTTTTAATCGTTGTGAGACTGGCACATCCATGTGAGTCGAAGAAGACGTCGTAACAATCTCCTGGATGGGAGCGGTTGCTGGTTCCATCATTGCTACCACCTCATATGGCGCATCAGGCAGCGACTGACGATGTGACCAGCGTGATACATATGACGTACGACGCTGTGACGCTTCATTGTCACTGGAAATGGAAGTATCCTCTTTGCTGATACATTTACGCTTGAATAAGCCACCAATAACACGCATTAGACCACGCTGTTTGTGTTGTTGTTTCGATGGCGGTTCGGCATGAGTGGCTCCCTGTGTTTGTTCATGCTCTGGTGCAGTTTCTGACAATGGTTCAGTTTCTGGACATGGCTCGGGTGCAAACGTTGGTATTGGTGGAGGAGGAGCACGCTTAGGAGTGGAGGATACAGGTTGGGGCATGATAGATAGATAGTATAGATATAATAACTAACTGAAGGGACGACGGAGTCTATTTTTCGGAATCTATCGCGAAGGAATTTGGAGAATGACAAAAGAGGGGGAAAATGGGTTCGCCGTCGAGTTGTTGACTGTTTTCTTTCTTCCGAGTTGGCTCTGTTCTGTGCATTACATGTCGCGACGGTCGTTTTGATTAAGTATACCTGGTAGGACTATACTTGACTCTAGTACGAAATCTAATACCTTGAACTTTGGCTTGAAACAAGTGGGTCGATATGTACAGCTTTTTGACAGACGGAATGATCGTTCTTTATCTAATACATCATTACAGTAAAGTAAAATAAACCTGTCTTTTGAGGATGTGCGGACCTTTGGTCACTGAGAAACTGAGACTAATTTGCCTCTTAGTTTGTAAACTTTGACGATCATAGTTGAATACTGATTTTCAACCAGATCGATTGAAGCTGGTAAACATGAGTTTGGTGTCCATCACGTATTTATTACGTCTAAACGATATGAGATTCATCAAGAACGATGAAAACCTTGAACTTTTGGACAAGCAGTCTGCTGTAACAATCTTTGCACATCGTTTTACGTTTGCTTACGTTGTGCTATCTGGATGGTAGCAGCGAGCTGAAGATTGATATACGTTTTTACGTGAACACACAGGTCGGAACGTGAGCGATTAGATAGTCGGGACTGTTTTTAATGGATTGACAACGTCTCCGAGAAGACGAAAGGGCTTTGATACACAACGCGGAAGAATTGCTTTTACAAGGTAGCAAGCACCCTAACCGTCCTAAAGCGTTTGACATTGTTGAGATAACTGCGCTCGCGTTATCGTTTGTCTCTTGGTCTGCTGATCGTTGTGATCCACTTGAAAAGAGTATGGTTGAAAGCAGGGATTAGGAAGGTTCGTCAAATAAGCATAGATATCGATTCTGCATTGGCCGTCTACATAGGTGGCATGCAAACAATTTGACAGCAACGAGTTTCGTTGCGTAGAAAGATGAGCTGTGCGACTTGCGAACCTACAACATCAAACAAAGCTAAAGCATCTTTCCGGGTTAAATGTGGCTTTCTGTCTACTTCTCGGACCGTAAACAAGCGTCACGCACAAAAGTAGTAGCGCGCCATTGTAATCGAAGTGCCTTTCTTCGCTTAACACGCGCATGAAGCACTTGAGTATTGAGTAACGGTGCTTCAGCGGTTAGCCCGGGCTGTGGCTTGTATTTTCCTCAGCAATAAAGCATTGCATCATTTCGCACTTTTCATGCTTTCGTCTTCATCACAGTACGACCGAGGCGCACAAGATAAACGTTGTCAAGCGTGACGGCCGTCTTTGAACGCTTACTGTCTGTCGCAGTGTGTAGTCGCGGTCATCACTACGTGGAATTGCCTTGTCGTATTATCGAATCTGTCATTCTACTGGTGTCGGTATGTTTTGACAGCGTGCAGCCAAACCTCTCCAGCCCATTTGTAAACGTAGACGGTTGGTGTCGACAGACACGTCCTATTCATCATCATGTTCATGAAGCATCATATCAATCTGCCTAATCTCTGCACACCACCCTATGATCAAATGGAATGACATTGTTCAGTCTGTACTAAAATGGGGAGGCGATCAAACGTCATCCATCATCGGCGTTTCAAGTATTCGTTTGCGTGCATTCGACGTTGATGCAACCTGGCCTGCCAGATTGGCTTTCACCAAAACCTACGCTGCGGTGCACGGTAGCTGCTCACCGTAAGACAGCTTGCTTTGGTAAAGGCAATCGTCAGTACGATACATTACATAAAGCCGAGGGTCCTACGATCCTCACGCGATTCAGTATCGCAACGACTTGCTATGGTTGTTACACGCTCGATGCGGTCTCAATTTCTACGCGCCTCCAAGCCTGCTCCCTATAGTAAACATACGACGTCTGGTGCACGTGCGACTACGTCACTGCAAGATTCGTACACCACGTACATTCCAATCCATTGATCCAGCCAAATACACACGTATCCATTGTAGTCGCGTCCCTCGCCATTGCGTCACGCTTCTCCCTGTCTCTCTTCTTTGTCACCACGAGTCCCCTTGGGCCGCAGGAAGTCGCTCAGCAACCTCGACACTGCCTCGAACCGCTCGCATTGATTACACCCGGACCGATACGACACATCCTTGGCGGCTTGTAGCAGCTGGTTCACAAATACCCCCCAGGCGGTGCTCTCGACTGTGCACCAGGAGCTTGTGTAACCCTGTAATGACTGCCACCCGCCCGCGGTTTGGAAACCGAGACGGGAACCTGTGCGAATCCACAATATTCCGTGCACGCGAACAGTATGGACACCATTGTGGATGTGTAGAGTCATTTGATACCGCCACGGCCTCACTAATACGCTTACGCAATGTGCGAAATGCTGAGTAGCGGTGCTCGACCTGGTATTCTGCGCGTACCTCGGTGTTCTCAGACATTTCTCCTAGCCTGCACTCGAGTTTGCTTTGCTTGTGTGTGTTTACCGCGGCTTCCGTGGTCGTGGGTAGACCTCTAGGCTCCGCCTGCAAGAACACGTCTAGTACGTACACCGTCACGTGCTTGTCTTTCTCGTAGGCTGTACACATGCGAACGTGGCGCACACTATTGAGTGCTACGGCTTTCTTAGCACGGGATAACTGCGACAAACGCCCGCTTGATTCTAGTGCGTCTAGACTTGATCGCTCATTTTTTGTCTTCATCTTTAAATGATGATCACTTTTAGTCGAAGTTTCGACTTGGTGATACATCGGACCAGCGATCTTGAAGACGTACATGGACGTTGCATGTTGTTTACTATAGAGAGTAGGGTGGAAACGTGCATGGAGATGAGTGTCGCATGCGAGCGTGGACAGATCTTCCAACAATGGCAAGTACACCACAATATCATAGAGGGCGTCCATCATCATCATCATCTACGACATTGTAAGGAATTCGGCAACATGCGACAGATCGGCAGAGACAATTGCTTCTACCGAGTGCAAGCTGTCTTGCAGTGGGCAGCTACTCTACTGCAGTATACGTCTCGGTTGAATGCATGCTGATTGATACTTGAAACCTACGAAGTATATGCTGATGACCGTCTACATTCTTCTTCCAATCCATTATAGTAGTAATGACTGGCCAAATGTCATTCCATTGAATCGTTAAGAGGTGCTGCACAGACATGAAAAGCAGACGGAGATGTAGACGACATGAACATAGATGTCCTGGAATAAGATGAACACGACGAATAGGAGAGACTTTAATGAATCAGCATGTCGCGTAAGAAAATCCCCTGGCTCAGCAGCTACAGTGTTTACATATACGCTACATTCATACTGCTTACTCATTGTTGTTTGACATAACACACTGTCGTTGTAGCCAGTCAGCATGTATGTCAAGCATTGTATTTGTCAATCACCACAAACTCTCCGTCGTTCCCATGGTCGCTGACGATAGAAACGAGTTAAGGACCTGGGAGACCACAAGAAACCGCTCACATCGCCCGCTACCAGTGCGATAAGACATATCCTTTGCTGCCCAGAGCAACTGGTTGACAAAGCGCTCGAGCTGTCGCTTGCGGACGTATGTGCAGATCTGCCGCCAGCCTGTGCATGACGCCACGAGCCCATAATTTGGCACACGTGGTGGAAAAATGGTCGACGAGTCGATAACCATGACGCGACTGCAGTACGAGCAGTGCTGATGGTACTTGTTCTCTCCTTTAGCGCTGACAATCTTCATGATACGTCTCCGCAGCTCACGGAACGCCGAGTAGCGATGCTCTACCTGGTACATGGGTCGTTCGCGTTCTCGCTCTAATTGTAGCCGTCTTTTCCGTTGCTTGACGCTTTCGCCTAGCAGCATTGACGGTGGTGGAAGACCCTTTTGTACATACCGCAAGTAAACATTCATGACGTAAACAGTGGGGCCACTGCCATTTACATCGTACGTAGCGCAGATTTTAATGTGGTGAATTTGGTTGAGTTTTATAGCAAACGTGGCTGAAAGACGCGAGAGACGACCTAGATCCGTGTCCAAGTTGTGATTCTCTTGGTCATCATCTAGTTCATTCTTCTTCTTGTTCTCTGGAAGAGATATAGTGGATATAGTAGTAGTAGGCATATGGTTGGACATTGTTGATTATTGCAAGAAGAAGGTGATATATGATTAGATTGTATGGAATAGAGAAAGGATGAGATTGATTGAGAGGCGCCTTCTTGTGGGGTTCAGTTTAGGTTTTGATGTGAGATTAAGAATAAGTGATGAGAGAACGCTGTGATTACGGTGCCGTTGTACCGTGTGAGATACAATAGGTAGCAGAAATAAAGTGATGAGATCAACCTCGACATTACAAATCAAATATTAATGTGCAGGGAATGTTCATCACTATAGTTGCATGTTGAATATGGTCCTATCTTTGATATATTTCCTTTGTCTTGTATCCTGTTGGTGCGTTTGACGGTGATTTCCATTAACGACAAGAAGAAATGACACATGTCGCTACGGTCATGACGAGGCGACTGGTGGCAAACCATTCAAAGCCCTTGCGTAACTGATTCATAAAGCTCTGGAAGTAATAATGCTTCTGGAAGAAGCAGACGTTCACGTACCAGTCGCAGCTATGTTGTGGGTTCCTCTAGTATCTCTACAGCAGGCAATACGCCCGTCTGTGTAGTCAGGAGACGAGCACATTGACGACGTAAAAGGTGACCAATCTCTCATACGTGGTACTGACGAGGTAAATCTCGTTGACCGACTTACTTGACAGCAAGATGTGGCCGGTTGGAGAATCATTTTGCCGACGTTAGATGTTTATACTTGGACAGCGTCATGCGTTTGAGCGGTTCAGAATACCTTCCGTGGTTGAGATGTGCAGTTGAAGCTAGCACAGTTTGACAATTGTGCGGCACAACGGTGTGAGACGATATTTAGTGACGTGGAATGTCACAACGATGCCGTAAAGGGAAGAGTACGTGCGTAGTGATCACGAGGTTTTGTCGTGATGTGGGCACGGTCGCCATTGATGGGAAACAGTACGTCTGTCGGCCAAGTCATAATCAAGAGGAAGGCAGCGACGAACTCGCCAGCTATATCGTAATGCTCTTTATCACGAGGGCTGCCAATCGCCACCAAGATTGAGCTCTATTGTCAGCGCCATCCGGCATTCTCAACGGTACTTCTTATACGCTGTAAAGTTTGATACGTGAAGCAAGCGGGCTCCATTGCCATACACGCAAGTGCTGAAGTACCAGGTGCAGAACGATAGCAACAAGAGGTTCTCTTCTACTGCATCCCCACATATTCATCAGCGGCATTTCATTCATGCAATCCATTAGATGTGGTGCTAAGGTTTTTGTGCAGTGGCGTGACGAGAATGAAGACAAGAATACTCGAGCTAGGATCGTTACTTGCATTGTAGATACAACCTTGAACTCAAATTTACACAGTCGATGAATGATGTAAAGACATGGAGAGCTATGTAGATGAGGGAAGATCTACTAAGTGATAAACACATCGAGAAACTTTATTGTAACATGTTGATATTTTCAAGCACAAGTGCCATTGACGAGATCTGACGAGATCAAAGATGATGCTAGTTCTGACATTCCTCAAAGACATGTAGTGATATGATGCTAGTTGACGGACGCCACTTGTAAAGTAAGAAGAACTAACATGTGATGTTGCTGAAGAGTGTCAGCGGTTGCAGTGTACACTTGAGTGTTGAGATGCTCTTAACTCTTGGTCAATGCAGCACACACACGGATCAATTGCTCCAGAACTTTGTGATAGCTCGCAGCAATCAATCACTTATCCTTATGAGTGACATCTTCGAGAATGGTCTCAATTCCTGTGTTCTAGTTGAAATAATGTAAGACGAGCATGACGAGCTGCAAAAGAGACTTCTACCTGTGGATTCATGTAGCCATGCCAATAAACTTGAATCAACGTTGACTTACGAGACTTGGCCATCATTCAACGTACGTGACAACGGTCATATAGCTAGAAACGACGATCAAATCTCCCTGCTGGAACAGCTATGTGTTGGTACTCCATGATACGTGATTGCCGTACGCAACAACATGGAAAGACCAATGACAAAGATGTCAAAGGATCGAGAGGTGGAAGGATATCAAGAAGATCATCCAGATTCTTCGTCTTGCCAAGATACTTTACACAGACAAATGGACACTGTTGTCTAACTGATAAACAAAGAGCTGGCGTGTTATTTAGACGATCACAGTGGGGCGGAGATGATACGGAGATCAAGACGTGATTACAAGCTGCAAGATGGTATAGCACATGAGTCCGAGTTACGACCGAAAGGTGCTGTAATTGCACTGGACACAATAGATCCCGCGAAAAGCCAACAAGGAACACTTAACGCGGCACGTACTCTACTCATCCGCACAGCTTGCCAATACTATGCATGCGCTCAAAGTCATCGGCAAGTTTTGCATTGATTCACGGCGAAGAAGCTCTAAACTTGGCCGTTGAGTGCAACACCGATTGCCCATAACAGCGTCATGACTATCTTTGATTGCGGAATCAAAGACCACGACAGCAATTTCATAAGCTGCACCACGTGTCGTGGACTTGATGCCCGGCGCACGAGTACGAAGAAGAGGACGACGTCATGTCTACTGACAATCCAACACGGTGCGACCGAGTAGCGTACCAGCCTTCAAACGTTTAAAAACGTCGGGCAGGTTTCTGAGTGGTTCAATATTGTAAAACGTTTTTACCGTCCCATCCGCTGCAAGGTTCACCGTCTCAATGGAGTCCTGCCGATTGCCCACATGTATGCCAATGATGCGGTGCGCGAACGCAGCAGTCGGCTCGATTGGTACCGGCAAGATAGCGCCCAAGGGTATGCCCACCACTAGCACGGTGCCATGAGGACGAATGTACCGCAGCGCATCCACATATGCAGACGACGTGTCGGTTACAACACATGCACAATGAGCTCCTCGACCAGTGATTGCCTTCACTTGTGCAACCACGTCGTCGTTCTTGAAGTCGATGAAATGTTTGATGCCGTATCCCTCCAGGAACTTTCGTTTGTCATCACCTGAGTCGATTGCAATCACTTTGTATCCCATCGCCCGAGCATACTGGCAAGCAAGATGCCCCAATCCTCCAGCAGCACCAGGAATGACGACGTACTCGCCTGGAGCACCACCAAATTCTTTGAGAGCAGAAAATGCCGTCACTCCGGCGCAAAGCAGAGGTGCTGCTGCTGCTAGATTGTATCCGTGTGGGATGGGAGTCACATGCCCTGCATATGACACACACCACTGCTGGAATGAGCCGTCCACGCCACAGCCGTGCATGATGGCACTCTCACATGTAGTTTCATGGTTTTTGCGGCAATCCTCGCAATCGAAACACGAATTTGCCAGCCACTTGACGCCTACAGGATCGCCGACCTTGAGGTTTGTCGTTGTATGTTCGGCAATGGCAGCTACGTAGCCTGCACCTTCATGGCCACCAACCAATGGCATTTTCTTCTTGATAACAGTGTTTACATCTTCCCAGATGATTACATCCGAATGGCACACGCCGCTATAAGCAATGCGAACAAGGATTTCACCAGGTTTGAGGTCTTGAGGTTGCACTACTGGCCAATCATCCCGAACTTGAAGCGGCGCACCTTCCGTCTCATACATGACGGCTGTCTGTGTCTTTGGGATGTCATAGTGCGTTTGCGATTGCACTGAAAAGTGCCGCCAATGGCTTGGTGCGCATAAATTGCAGTGGCATTGCAATCCATGACCAACCATGGACCCGACAAACGATTTGGCAGCACGTTGTACCACGTGCTTGGAAGTCGGTGCAAAGCGGGAGACGATACGAAGCATGATCAATGAATTTGAAACTTACTCGACACTACTGGAGCAAATGACACAATGGAAGAAGATCCACTGCGACGCCTCGACAGTAATCGACAGACGCGAATGTTCACTTCAAATGAGATCACGTTACGACGTTTCTACGTAAAAACGACTTTGAAACGCCTGTCTTACAACGACTGGCTTTGGTGATGATCATGGAGGACTTGAAAACGTAAAGAAAAGCTGTTTCGAACGTGCTTGAACCTGATTATTACTGCAAGGTAGCGAGTTTCTCGTGTGCATAGAATTCGACTTGATTCGATTCACATGCTCAACACGCAATGTCAAGTATGGTTTCACGCATTGTCGGCCTCTGTCACTGCCTTCACGACCGTTTTAGCAGTCATGGAGATTTGTCAAAGGGTTCCGGCTTGAAATTGCCCTCAAATTTGCCTTCAAGTTACTTGGGACATTGTCTACAACGAAGAGAAGAGGGACGAGCAAGTGGACATCTGCGATCTCCTACATCCATGTCAAGAGGGACACTCCTTTACACAAGCAGGTACTGGCAGCGGATTCAATATCCCACTACGTGCAACTGATGGAGTCTGGCATCCGTCAAGTCACCACGAATTTACCATGAGATGCCGTGCTTCTTCTTACCGTGCGATGCTCCGCACTCTCCGATGTCTGCACCATCTACTCGCCACATCTCTTCACAATCGCAGAGCAGTGGCCACGGCAAAGTTCTGGATACTACAACATGCGGTTCTGCGGATGAATCGGGACGTCGCTATATGTGTCCGTGTATCTGCCAATCTATCTGTGCTGGCGTGCGTATTAGGACCGTACAGGTGCTGAACCTTTCTCCTGCGTATCATAAGCCTTGATATGAGGTGTTTCTGTCTCACTTACATGAAGATAGAGTACGTAGTGACAGACCCGATGGCATTTGAGTTGATGGCGGCCGGCATAACTGCGTAGGTTGTCTCTCAGAAGAGTCAAAGAGATGAACACCTTTGATCCGAATACCTTTCGAAATGATTAAAGAAGCACAAGAAGAGCTCAAATCTTTGTGCATAATGCGACGATGATCAGGTTACAAAGGCATAGGAAGCAAAGACGTTGAGAATGCACTTCCTCTGTTGTTCAGACTTGAGCACGTCAACGAAAATAGCAAGACAAAGTCCATACACTTTCGTGAGCGTAGGAGATGCGCAATATTTGCGTTTGAAATGAGCCTCAGTGTGTGAGTGACGACATGTTGGCCAAGGGCAAAGGGTGCTTTGCGATGAACACTTGCAGCACAGCGTGGTGTCAGATTTTCGGGCTACTGTGGAAGCAGAGCTTGGGTTCATCGGTTCAGCGCATAAACCCATTAGTCCTTTAAGTTCTGCATTAGCTTTGCCAGTCTTTCCACGTCTTGTACGTGTAACATTCCCGCTCTTCTCCACCAAATTTTGCCGTGGGTGACCGTGTATGGATGTGTACGGCTAAGGAGACGTCGATCAAAATGCGATACCCAAGCACATAAATTTTCGTTTCCGTCAGTGCACATGTATGCAAATAAAAAGAGAAGCATGGAACGACGCAAGTTCCTCGTCTCCTTTGCACATCTGTAGAATGTTTTTTGCCTCGCCATGTCTTCATGCAAGCTCCGATCAGGCGATCAACGCAGCGTTTCTGGATTGATACAGCTTTCGGATCAGCTACTGTCTTGATGCTATGGCTTTCGTCCGCAAGCGAGGTATTGTCATTTCTCAATTTGACTCGATCAGAGATTAACTATCGACAAGTATCAACGTCAAGACAAACCACCACTACAGTCTACAATGCGAGGTTTCATGTGTGCTATCGGCCTCGGCCGTCTCTTCCGTCGTTCTGCTGCTACGACGACGACTTCAACGGCTTCGACAATGAACCGTAACTTCTGCATGCAATCCCTCCGACACGGAGAAGCCTCCGTAGCTTTTGATGCACGTCGTAGCAGTTGCTACAACTCTTCTGCCGAACGTCCACAGTTCCTCTTCTTTTGCGGTAGTGATACATCGGCATCACTACCAGCGGCTTCGCCGAACGGATGTTCGCTGTACTTACGCCTTGCTACCAGAAGCAATCCCACACCAGACCAACCTATTATCGACCACCGCATGCCCGTGTTCTTCAAGCCGTCGCTATCACCTGCTTGCCCCGCCGTCAGCGCCGAATTCGTTTAGCTCTAGTCGATTTGAAGCTATTGGTCTTCAATTGTCACCGCTGTCGTCTTCTTTTCTAAGCACCTGAACACCAAGTGTTCGATGTCTGGACATGAAGATGCAGTAGCTTACCTTCCTGCCCACGGTTGAGAAGGTGATATTCATTGCATGCCGAAACGATGTAGTTTCGTCTTTGACAATTGAATCATATCCCTCATTGATCCTCGCTTTGGCGAATGAAGCCAGTGAGGTGCATCAATGGATTAGGAACAATTTACACAAGTGTAAGAGCGGTTTGCATTTCCTCAATCGGGTCTCAATCCGTTCTGTCTGTCGGACTCTGGACGAAGGAGTTGACACAAATTACGCATGTGTCCAAGACGCCTTAGCGATCGCAGCACAGGCACATTATTTAAAAGGACATTGAACGTCACTTTAACAACTTTATGTTTTCGAGAAGTTTGCAGACGTACAACAAATTCTGCCCTTGCCGGGAGACTGAAGCGAAAACACGATGAAGGACAAGTTGAAACCAGCATATCTCATTGGAAAGGAATGCAATGGCATCGTACGCTGTTCTGACTTCTGATGTGGCTTTGTCGTCCTATGAAGGGTTTGTTGCAATAGCTTTCAGGATAGTTCGAAACCGCTTTAATACAAAGTCAAGTGCTCACATTGAGCACTAACACGTCATTCATTTTTTTTGTCCCTTGTCTTGTATAAATGAATCAATAGGAGTTCATGTCTCCTGCTGCTCATGTTTGACCGAACTCCTGAATCAAGCTAGAGATGCGCGCGTCTTTTATTTAAGATAAAGAGTAGCGTAGCACAGTTAGCTGCTCAAAATTGCGACGCAAAGAAGCATGAGCGTCTTGACAAGATCCATCTGGCTTGTAATTGAAGCAGCCCAACAGATGTGAGAGCATGCAGAGCTGCTTGCAATGTCGACTGCGTGCAAGAAGAGCAAAGTGTCACAACAGCCCATCAACGATTTTAACTGACCGTGTTACCATTACTGTAGTTGCTGCACCTGATTGCTTCAGCCTCACGCTTAAGGCACGTTGAAGCGATTATTGTCTACTGGAAGAGTTCAGGTGTCTGTTCTTCCACATACAACAAAGTCGAGTTCACCTTCTTCTCCCACCCGTCAAGGCGAGTCACGAGCTCCTGAAGCTGCGAGTTATCCAGCACACGAGGTTGCACCCACGTGACCCGTACGATATCATCCACCTTGTCAATTGAACCTTTGATAAGCTTGCACGATAGAGCACGCATCACAAGCCACTCCACTTGCTCCTGTGGCAGGCGCGTGGCCGTGGCAATCTCGTGAATAGGAATGTTGCGCTCATGCGATGGACGCTGAAACACTAGCACCATTAATGCCAACAAAGCAACCTTTTCCTTCACGTATTCTTGCTTGGTCACTAACGCCGGCTGTGCGTTAAACTCCTTACTGTGACGACCTACAATCTCGTTAAATCGATCAATGTCACCTTTGTTGAACGCATGCAAGAGATCCGAGAGCCACTGCTTGTCCGTGTTTTCCAAAGCTCGAAGGATCGGGGTTGCCAACTGCATGATCATCAACAAAATAGAAAAAGTGAGTACGCTTGATTACAAAACAGCTTGAAAACACCTTGCAACAACAAAAATAAATCTCGACCGCTTCATTTACCACTTCACCAAAGTTGAAAACACCGTCACCCGTGAGTGCAGCAATGCTAATATTCACAGCTAGATCAAAGCGTTCTTCAGGACGCATGTCATCGTACTGCGTATAGGCGAGAAACATGAGCGCATTCTTGTAAAACTTGTGAGCAGGACCCAGTGCTCCATAATAGTTGCAAGCCACGCGATAATAGGCCGCGTGTACGACAGGTTCAGCTCCCACAAGACTCTCAATCACCTCCTTTTCATCGTCAACTGTTGTCTTCACTTGAGCAAAAAAGTCGCTTCCACGTCGAAATTTCAGCTCAGCAACTTGCATTTTACACAACAGCACGGCCTCATGCGCAGTCTTGGTGTTTAATTGACTCAATAATTGCTCCATAAATTCCTGTGCCTTGGCTGGATCTGGTATGTCATTTAGCACAAATATTACATGAAATGGTTTTTTTTTAATTTTGGACGAGGTGTAATGTATAATTTTAATACTTTTCAACCTGAAAATATAAATTACCTGCAAATTGATTACTAATTTCAGCGCAAATCACCACAAGTCGAATTTGATTCAGTTTATCCTGAAAAGTGTGGATAAAATCCTGATACAACTTGACCAAATTAAGTGGGTATTTATGACATACAGGATCTCGCACAAAGGCCTCGAGTTCACCAGTGAGTTCATGGTAAAGTCTATAAATTGTGAAAAATAAAATTAGTTTACGAAATGTTACAATAACGATACACACTCGTTGGTTTGTTCACATTTCGTGATTATGAGGACAAAAATGTACGAAAGTAATCTGTTCAACATACTTGCGAACATGGAGATCCTTTAGCTGTTGATAACGCTGTGCGATATCGGGATACGCAGCTTGTTCCTTGGTAATAAAATCCGTCATTTATAATCGTGGAGTGACAAAATGGGGAGATAATTTGTTTTTGTCGTAACGAAAGATATTTTAAAAACGGGTGGTAAGATATCATATGGATATGCGCTTTGATAGGTATCATATATAACAGAGAAGTTATGGTTGACACGATCGAATGCCGTTAAGAGTGTTCCAAATTAACTGTTACACAACTATTACAGGATCATTATCATCACCTTCTGAGCGTGTACGATCTGCAAAACTCAATTGATCATTTGGAGTTCCATTAGTGTCCATCGAGAGTCCAGTGTCATGGTGTTGATCATATTTTCCAGGCATTTTTACTTGACCAGGGATGCTTGGTAATTGAGAACTTACACGATCCGGTAAGACAAATGAAGACGACGTCTTTGCTGTGTCTGCCACATCTGAGGCAGCATTTCCAGCTTCATTCGTTGTACCAGCGACTGTAGATAGAGAAACACCGGAAGATTCTGGCTTTAATTCAAACTCCTTCGAATGCTGGGACTGGCGTGGAACAGTTTCTCCTGCAGATGAATACGCATCCATATATGGTTGTGGAGGAGGCCAATCTTCAATGATATGCCGGATCGACTGCGCATTGCGAGACTCAAAACGCGTCAATAGTTTCCGGGCCGAGATCACCGAGATATCGGGCAGCTTGCGCAATGCCACAGCTTCCACCAGCCGCATCAGTTCGTCAAACGTCATCAAGACACCCAGCTCGGCACGAGCCACTACCACGCGCATGATTCCAGCCTCGTCATTCGGGTGAAAATACCCGTCATTACCATTGCCCTGGCCACCTTGTGTGCGCTTCTTCACGCGCCGGTGCAGCGCCGCAAAGTGCACGCCATACATCTTAGCAGCCGTGCGCAAACTCATGCCCTGCTGCTCGACAGCCGCAATGGCCTTCTCCCAGGTCTCGACTGGAACCGTGTGGCTCAGTTTGTAACCGCGCTTATCGTTGGACGATGATGCGTTGGACGCCGAGTCTTGGACTTCGTCCATACTGCTGCTGTTGCTAATCATGACCTGTTGAATCTGAGGCAGCATCGCGTTGATATCTCTTCCACCGTATGATCCGTTATCGCTAGAGCTACCGCTTGACCCAGTATCCAGTCCAATGTTTTTACTGGTCTCGTTGCTCAGAGTACCATGACTCGCCCCTAAATGCGCTTCTTCCCGTCCTGTTGTACATTCTTTCGACCACGCTCCAGCGCGTCGATGTTCGTCCACGATCATGGCCCGACGCTGTTGCTGCTGCAGCTGCTGTCGGTGACGCTGACTGAAGCTGTGCTGCAGCTGAGCCTGACAGTGCGTCTCATTTTGAAGTGGAAGGTAAGGGCCAGAACAGGCCACTGCAGCTTTCGACAGCATTGGTAGCAACGAGCGATTGTTGTCGTCGCTCAGTCCCTTTTCCTTCCCGTCGTCGCTGCTTGTGTTGCCGCTGCTGCCATTGCCTTGTGCTACAGTAGTGCTCGTGCAATTGCTACTTTTGTCGTAAATGTTGATCCTGTTGCTCTTGTTATCGTTACTGGCGCTCGTACACCTCTCACTCTTGGATCCTGGTTCGATCGTTGCAGGCTCAGAACGTAGCGGTGCTATCTCCACCCGCTTTGACGTTCCATACGCTGTCTTTCCTCCAATAATCGACGATGCTGCTGACGTGTCAAACGCAAAGCTATTGAGCTGTACAAAGCCATGCATGCGCTTGAACTCGAACACCCAGCGAGACGGTGGGAAGTCGGGTGGAATGGCCACGGTACCTCCCTGACTAGCAACAGCACGCACTGCGAGACGAACGTCATCGGACGTAACGCGCTTGTGATGACGTAGCTGTTCTCTTAACACATCCAGTGCCTCCTTCTCACCTGATTCGCTCAGATAACGGCGTATACAGACGTCCGCCATGTTCTCTGAGTGAATTCACCCTTGAATATTATCACTGTATAAACTGTTATGAAATGAAGCCAGCATGTCGGATTTCGTTCGACTTTTGGTCTGGCTGTGAGACAAAGAGGTCTATTGCATAGTATAAAGACGCTAAATTTCTCGGTTTTGTAGATTTTTCATTTAATATTTTTGAAAATAACAAGCTGCGACAAATGATGGCTGATGCGACAGACAGCCTTGGAGCTAATCCGTGCTGAGCGATTGTTTACAATACAAAATAAAGGTTCAATGAGGTTTTTGTGATTTTCGAAATCCAGAACTTCCTCGGTCTTAAGTATTCTTTTTCGTTATTACATGCTTAGTAAATCATATTTCTGTAAATGCTTCTCTTCTTACACAATCAAATCACGTGGATGTTCGGTTTATAAAGCAAACGAAGAAAATACATGGAATCACAACTCGCAACTTGTGCGACATGTTAGTTCCACGCAAACAAGAAGCCTTGTATGCAGTTCGACGACCAGCTGCATTTCTAGCAAGTATCCGGCACTTACTTGCGCCTCCTTTGTATCAGTTCTTCAACCAACACTTTGCTTCATCTATATTCGTTACCCAGTTCACTGACCTCTTCGCTGCTTGTTTGGCACTTTGGACATGCATTCTCGTCCTCGTTGTCGTTGCCTATCAGGATTTGACCTTAATTAGTTAAAAAGATAAGGTTTGCGTGAAATCTCCAACAACTACGACGTCACAACTAATGTAACTCAGCAGAAACTGTCTAAATGGAACGAAGTTGATGACTTGAAGTGAAGATATCCTCGGTCCTCTACAGGCAGAAAGAATGTGGGAATGGCCAGGTTATTCTACAAAAACTCGAGTATAGCTAACGAATACATTACACTCCAGGTTTGTTGTATTAACAAAACTAAAAAACTGAACCGCCTTTTGGCCTTTCAGTTTCGTGACATTTCATGTCGTCGTTGTAATTACAACCTTAGCTGTTCTTTTCATTCGTTGTCTGTTGCGTGGAACTACTGCTGCTGATAATGAATGACCTTCTAGTAGGTTTTATCATCAATTTTATTTATAGGAACGTCAGTCTGTCATCGAAAGACCAACTTTCATGAGTACTAATTGTCACAGACCTACGAGGTACAAAGTAGGATCCCAGACCTTTAGTCATGAATATTCGACCTACTTCATTGTCCGACCCACAACTTTTGTTATGTGGCGTACACACCGCAATCGTTTCACAACCTTAGCTCTCATCCGTAAAGTCGCTATCACCTTTAGGCAGATGGCAGTAACTTTATCCAACTACGTACGGCGTTATCTGAGCGAATCAGGTGAGAAGGAGGCACTGGATGTGTTAAGAGAACAGCTACGTCATCACAAGCGCGTTACGTCCGATGACGTTCGTCTCGCAGTGCGTGCTGTTGCTAGTCAGGGAGGTACCGTGGCCATTCCACCCGACTTCCCACCGTCTCGCTGGGTGTTCGAGTTCAAGCGCATGCATGGCTTTGTACAGCTCAATAGCTTTGCGTTTGACACGTCAGCAGCATCGTCGATTATTGGAGGAAAGACAGCGTATGGAACGTCAAAGCGGGTGGAGATAGCACCGCTACGTTCTGAGCCTGCAACGATCGAACCAGGATCCAAGAGTGAGAGGTGTACGAGCGCCAGTAACGATAACAAGAGCAACAGGATCAACATTTACGACAAAAGTAGCAATTGCACGAGCACTACTGTAGCACAAGGCAATGGCAGCAGCGGCAACACAAGCAGCGACGACGGGAAGGAAAAGGGACTGAGCGACGACAACAATCGCTCGTTGCTACCAATGCTGTCGAAAGCTGCAGTGGCCTGTTCTGGCCCTTACCTTCCACTTCAAAATGAGACGCACTGTCAGGCTCAGCTGCAGCACAGCTTCAGTCAGCGTCACCGACAGCAGCTGCAGCAGCAACAGCGTCGGGCCATGATCGTGGACGAACATCGACGCGCTGGAGCGTGGTCGAAAGAATGTACAACAGGACGGGAAGAAGCGCATTTAGGGGCGAGTCATGGTACTCTGAGCAACGAGACCAGTAAAAACATTGGACTGGATACTGGGTCAAGCGGTAGCTCTAGCGATAACGGATCATACGGTGGAAGAGATATCAACGCGATGCTGCCTCAGATTCAACAGGTCATGATTAGCAACAGCAGCAGTATGGACGAAGTCCAAGACTCGGCGTCCAACGCATCATCGTTCAACGATAAGCGCGGTTACAAACTGAGCCACACGGTTCCAGTCGAGACCTGGGAGAAGGCCATTGCGGCTGTCGAGCAGCAGGGCATGAGTTTGCGCACGGCTGCTAAGATGTATGGCGTGCACTTTGCGGCGCTGCACCGGCGCGTGAAGAAGCGCACACAAGGTGGCCAGGGCAATGGTAATGACGGGTATTTTCACCCGAATGACGAGGCTGGAATCATGCGCGTGGTAGTTGCTCACGCAGAGCTGGGTGTCTTGATGACGTTTGACGAACTGATGCGGCTGGTGGAAGCTGTGGCATTGCGCAAGCTGCCCGATATCTCGGTGATCTCGGCCCGGAAACTATTGACGCGTTTTGAGTCTCGCAATGCGCAGTCGATCCGGCATATCATTGAAGATTGGCCTCCTCCACAACCATATATGGATGCGTATTCATCTGCAGGAGAAACTGTTTCACGCCAGTCCCAGCCGTACTTGGAGCATCCGGGGTTCAAATTTGGGCCGACGAGTACTAATACAGGGGGAACTGTAACATCTGCGGCTGTTGCAACATCTACCCTACGACCAACGTCTTTCGTTCCTCCGATTCGTCTAGCTCCGAACATAGTCGACTTCGGAAACAAATCGAAAAGTTCAGCAGTGCGACTAATTGATACAATGAGGACAATGGACATCGAAACGACGCCATCACTGTCTACGCCCACCCATGTCGGATGTGTTACGCATTTGGAGACGAAGCGTCCTCATCCATCTCGAGGGGTTTGCGTAGAAGAAGGCGGCGACTTCAGAAAATAAGCAAGATGTTGAAGTATTTTCCTACTTTCCTGACAGCGAATAGACTACTCTACATCCAAAAGCTATTGGATGCTATCAGTTGACTCGTGGAATTCAAAGACATGCATAAGATGAAAATAAAAAAAAGTTTGTACGCCGTTTGTTTGTTACAATCAGAAACGGTTTTTGTATCACTAGAACCGACTTTACAATTTTGTTAGAAATAGGATTTTGTTTAGTCAGCGAATTTGTGGATAATTTGACATGCTTTTTCGGAAGCCAGCAACGTATACTTACTAGAGTCAACATATTTCTCTCATGTAATGTATGGCCCTTTCATCTGGACAATCTTGTTCTTATAGCCGTCCTTGTCGCCTTAATTGCGTGTAAAACCGTATTTCTCGTCTTCTTCGTTGTTTATCACCCGAGTCTGACGCCGCATTTCGCGCATAGAAACTGAATACCATATCTAAATCCTTACTCCCTTGCTAATCATTTGTAGCCACTTGACGACTTGAAAGCTATTCTCAACCGTGAACCATTGCCTACACCGCTATATCGGCTTGAACGCTGTTCGTGCTGCCATTTTGTACGACGTCAAACGATCTCATTAACCTAAGACCTCTGTATTTGAAGGGCATCTTTTGCACCATTATGTCATTGTAGTAAAGGTTACGCTACACTTGCTTATCTTGAAGTTCATGACGTTAATTGTACGCAATTATAAAGACAGCAAAAAAGTGCTGCCTTTTTGTGTTCTGATCATTTGTTGCTGAAGTTGTCATACAAACGTTCAGCCCTACGTTAATTTGCATGTACTCATTGAAGCATATAAAAACAAGGTACCGATTTCAAGTCTCCTCAGTCCCAACCACGACTACTAGTCCACTAAGTCTGAAACAATCAATTGCAAGAGGCAATTTGATTGCTGTCGTTTGTATTGTCGCCATGTTTTGACCGCTAGATCCCTTTTAAAATGCAGCAAGTGGCGCTCAAAGAGCACGAAAACGTTGAGAGCATCGTGGTTTCAGTGTGTAATAGATACCAGCTTAAGCCTTGTGTGTGAATACTCCCTTACCAAAATTTGTTCTGTAGCGTGCTCATATTCACCTCACTATTAGCGCCACCATCGTTGCTGGCATACTCATGTCCGTGGGTAGTGGTTGTGTCTGTAAGTTTAACAAGGTCCAGATAATATTGTCATATCAATCTTATGATCACATGTACATTTCCACAATCCTGCAACCCATTGATTTGTAGCCATGCACTGTAAGCTTATTTTTCGTGCTCTCTAGTCTTCAACTGCAACTGCATCACTGCAAATCGTAGTACTATTGGTTGAGCCATTCGTTTCTGAAACTGTGCCGAAGAAACCAAGGTCCCTCATCTGTAGATCGGCGTGTTCGCGAATCATTTAATATGGAGCAGGCTCGGCTACCACAAGAATCTTGAAAACAAAGTCACAAGCGACACCACCATTTCCAGCTCTCCACGCATTGCAGTACAGTCAATAGCTACGAGACGCTTCAAGTCAAGCAAATGATTGTATTCATGTGATATAGCGCAATGGACAAATTTTTACCTGCCGTGTCAACTACTTCAGAACCTTACAAACGTAGAGGGTAATCATGTGTACAACTTAGGTTCAAAAAAAGGACGTTTCTCGAAAAACCGTTCGTAGAGTTGCAACATTACAGACAATAAAGTTATTGTACTGGCGGTTTTTTGTAACATTCTGTAAACCTAAACTGGATATCACGTTTCAGTCAACAGTGCACATTACGTGCTAAAAACAGAACTTCTTCCGTGTCCTTTCTTCGAACGATCTGGCAATCTAAATATGTGACATGTGACTAACATCCACATTGAAGTCTTTTTTATCTAAACCCATGAATGTGTATCATCGAAACCCCCAAGTGGAAACCACTCATTTTTATCCCATCGTCCAATCCAAAAGCGTCTCATAGCCCCAGATGGTTTTCCACAATCACTCTTAACAACAATAACAATAACAATAACAATACTATTGCGCCATGTTTGCACTAAATACGACGTCTAGTGGAAGCATCGAGGCGCGCCAGCGCGTAGCTCAGCTGCAGCTTCAAGTCGCGACGAAGAATGTGATTGCTCTTGGTCGTGTTACCAGAAGTTCATATTGTGATCAGGCAGGTTGGGGCTATAAACAAGGCAGTATTATTAAGAACTGGAAGCGTCGGTACTTTGTGCTAAAAGGCCTCGAGTTAATTTACTTTGCAGAACGATCTCCTAGTGGTAAAGGAATTGATGAGAAAGGAAGATTACGTATCAGTGGTGTTGAGTTTACACCAGAGTTTACGAATGCACTCATGATACGAGGTGAACTCAAGAATCAGGCAATGAATATGCAGTTGGAATCGAATAAAGAGAGCGACGAGTGGTTCCATAAGATTTCAAAGGCTTTAGAGACAACTGGAGAAGAGAAGGACACTGAAAGTGGTGGACAAGGAGAAAGAGGGAGGAAAGTTGTAGCCATGGAAGGCTGGTTGCTGAAAGAAGGACAGAACTTTAAAACGTGGAAACGACGCTATATGACGTTGATTGGAAGAGTTATACAGTATAGAGCTCAGCCACATGAGAAACCGCTAGGAGAGACTAGAGTCAATGCTGTGAACATTAATTCATCTAGAGCGTTTGCGCTGGACATTTACTCGGACAATAATCGCATTTTCAGGATCTCAGCTGACTCGTTCACGGATATTGAAGCGTGGGATCGGGCGTTAGCTAAAGCGACTGGCAAGCGACCATGTTTTGGAGATCCATATGCTGGACAGGATGCTCCGTTTCTTGAGGAGACATTTGAGGAAAGTGTGCTGTGTGAAGGATGGCTATACAAGAGAGGACAGAGGTCAACGGAGTGGCGGCGACGTTATTTCAAGCTGAAAGGGTATAAGCTGCAGTATCAAGATGGACCTGGAGAGAGTGTGCCCAAGGGCGCGGGTACCGTTGTGGGATTAAAACTTGGCGAGATGGGATCCAACTGTGTATTTGTGCAGCTTGGAACAGGTCGCGTGCTTTGTGTAAGCGCTGATAGCGAAGCGTCAGTGAACAAGTGGGTGCAAGCTATCTGCAAATTGCTGCACAAGGATCCTACGACTTTGGAAAAGGAAGTCACGACCGCTACTGTCGCAGCTAGCACATGTGTGAGTAGTAGAAATCTGCTGACACGTGCTCTAAGTCGTGCTGGGTCTACTGCGTCTGAGCCGCCCGTGATATCGCCTTGTCTGTCGAGACTTAGCGATGCTGGTAGTATCCAATCGAGTCTTACCTGTGCAGGTGGATATGTGGATGGCTTTGATGACACCACGGAGAGCGACAACATCAATTCTCGAAACTCGACAGGTAGTTATCGAAGATCTTCGTACGGTACTACGGGCAGCAACTCTCCGTCAACGACGCCCGCAGTTTCCAGTACCGGTATGATTCGAAAGTGTGGATGGCTACGCAAAGAAGGTGTCCGAATCCGCTCGCTCAAACGCCGTTACTTCATGGCCGATGGCAACAAACTGTATTATTTTGAGCAAATTGGCGAGGCCCCGCGTGGTAACGGCATCGTAAAAAGTGCTGCTCCCAGTGATATGCATCCAAACTGCCTTGACTTCATCCTGGCGTCGGGTCGCACATTGCGCGTAGTGGCCGAGTCTCCTGATGAGATTCGGTCATGGCTCGACCATTTTAATAAGTGCATTCCAGCGGGCGACAGTACAGAGGAACGTCGTAATGCGTTGGAGAGGCTATCACTTGGTGCAAGTAAAGATACTGCATCGAGTGTGACTGAATCTTGTAGTGGTTGGCTGCTAAAAAGAGGTAAGAACTTCAAGAATTGGAAACGTCGATTTTTCAAGCTGGAGGGAAAGCAGTTTTTGTATTCGAGTGCGCCAGACGCGCCACCTCTTGGACGAGGTGTGGTGACCAGTGTTACAATAGGAAATGCACGACCTTTTTTGTCTGGACGTCCTCTTTCAGAACGGCCGTATGATGAACGTTGTTGCAGGCAATGAGAGCGAGATGATGGCTTGGAACCGTCTGCTCCAAACGGCTGTGCTGTCAGAGCCGATAGAAAGCGACCTGGAGCAGAGTGTTCACTTTGATTTCGATGACGCTGAGGAAGATGCACAACTGAACACCATGCACACAGTTGTGACCGCTGCCACGGCTTTCAAGCGAGGCTTGTCAAAAGCATCATCAACCGTAAGTACGATTTCAAGTGATGACAGCTTGAACCAGCAAACCGAGCTGATGGTAAACCCGACAAGTAAGTGCGCAGAGGAGATGGTAAAATTGACGAAGGATCAGGCAGTGGTACCAGCTGTGGCAGGTGCAGACCGATGGTCGCTTTGCTTGGGTACTGGTGAGATGAAAGAACCAGTTGTGTGCAGCGGGTGGCTGCGAAAGGAAGGTGGTACAGTAAAGAACTGGAAACGTCGCTATTTCACTCTCCATGGCACCACACTGTGCTACTTCAAAAGCGACAACGGAGCGCTCGTGCGCAGTCTTACAGTCTGTCATGTCGTGACGTTACGCACGAAAAGATTGTGTCTGGAGATTACAACGGAGGTGGGGCGCAAGCTGTTGGTGGCTAGTGAGACGCAGAACGATTTGAATCGCTGGCTCGATCACCTACATCGCGCTATTGCAGAGGAAAGGTGCAAGAAGAATGGCGTAGGCGCTCGAGAATGGATAAAAAATGCACCTGTCATAGCCAGACCATTAGCTTTGGCGGATGAAGAAACCCCTGAACCTGACAGTTTTGAGTATATGGTTCTGTGAATGGTAATCAGTGTGGCAACTGTCCATGATTACTATGCGTTGGTGTCTTTGTAGATCCTTAGCGTGTCACTTTGGGGTAACAATAACTATAACATGACTTTTGTATTGCATCTCGGACGACTGATTGTGTCTAGTGTTCTCATGATGACGTTTTATCTGATTACGTTTCTCTCTGTTTTTGCGCAGACAATACAAGGTCTTCATGTTGCGTTAATATCACTATTTGTAATCTGTATAGCATATGCTATTCGGCCTTTGAAGTTGTGCTACTGCTACAAACTCGAAGCAAAAAGACGTTTCTGTGACAATGTCACGAACGATATCAGTAATGCTTGACTCAGACATTTGTATCCAATCAGTCAGTCGCGCATCGCAACGACGACGTCATCAATGGTATTGTTTGCGCCAACTCAAATGATTATGCTTTGTGCGTAATAAAATACTACTACACTATATCATACTTACCCACAGCTTTTCTCTCTCTATATTCATAACCTCTCATCTCGCATATAATTACATGCATACTAACCTCTAGCTGATTGGCTAAGATGAGACTTAATATACTCTAATTTCAACATGTCTCATGTTCATACTTTAATGGTCTGTAAATAGAGTAAGTAATTAAGTAACACGTCCAATTAAACGAAATAATACCGTCTCTATTCAATCCTTTCAAGCAATAGAGAGACGAGAGACAAGATGGCTACAGTTGATGAAGATTGGGAAGAATGGACGCCCGAGAAAGGCTCTTTTGTCACTCATATGTTAGCAGGTTCCGCTGCTGGTGTTGCGGAGCACGTGTCAATTTTTCCTATTGATACGGTTAAAGTATGTACATTTTTCATTAATCTTTAAAATAGGGGACTCGGGGTAAAGTAGTTGCAAAAAGTAACCGAATTTCTTATTGATTGATTGTATTGATATGATAGACACATATGCAGTGCCAACAATGTCCTGTCAATGGTAAACCATTAACATTAACAGCAATGCAAACAGCCCGTTATCTTATGATACAAGAAGGACCATCTCGACTTTTTCGGGGTGTTAGTACAATGCTTGGAGCGAGTTTACCAGCCCATGCTGTCTATTTTTCAGTCTTTGAAGCAGCCAAGAAAGCATTAAATGCTGATACAAATACATTAACACCCATGGCTTCTGGATCAGCAGGTGTGATTGCTACTGTATGTCATGATTTAATCATGACTCCCATGGATGTATGTAGCCCCATACAGTCTCTACTCTGTCTCTAGATTGGTACAAAAAGGTGGTAGGACTGACTGATACACTTTATTATACTGTATATTGTATTGTACTGTTCTTGTATTGGTATGTTCTATCTTTCTATTTGTTTTTTAGGTTATCAAACAACGTCTACAATTAGGATATTACAATGGTGTTGCAGATTGTTTTAAGACGGTAAATGAATGAATCTTGGTCTGGATTTTGTGTACTACTTGGATTATGACTAAATCTCTCTCTCTGTGAATACAATACCATTGTGTTGTGTTTGTTAGGTTATGAAGCATGAAGGCTTGCGTGCACTGTATATTAGCTTCCCGACGACGCTTTTGATGAATTTACCGTATAGGTACGTTACACGTTTTTTTATGTCTGTTTATCTTGTATTGCATAATGAAAAATGACTGGGTACTGATAAGGTTTCTTACTGCGATGGTTTTAGCATGATAATGGTGTCAGCAAACGAGACATTTAAGAAAATCTTGAACCCGTCGGGAGAAATGAATGTTTCGGCTTATGTCGCCTCTGGCGCTGCGGCTGGAGCACTGGCAAGTTTTGGTTGTGTGGAAACATACACGAATTATTGCAGTATCTGACTTCTAGCTGCGTGTATCGTTTTTTAACACCCTTGTTAGGCTGGTGGGTTGACAAACCCACTGGATGTGGCCAAGACACGGTTGCAGACCCAGTTTGTGATGGTCTCTGAGGAAGCTTCGGTAGGAACTTGTCCATCACGTACAAAGACGGTTTCGATGTCGCCTCGCATCTCAAAACCAAAGCTCAAGGTTCTTATGCGTCCCGCCCCGGGCCTCGCTTGCTTACATTTCTTCTGTTTGTTTGCTGTCATATTCACAGTGTCCATCGCGTACCCGTTGTGCGCAGCTTCAGACACGTGGCGTGTCCATCACGGTTCCCTCTTCATGCTCGATTAATGGCCGCCCAGGGGTATGTTGACAAATTTGCGTCGCCCTGTGGTGCATTTCGGTAGAGATACTAAAGTTGTGGGTGTTGTATGCTTTTTTTTGTAGAGTGAACGGTCGGAACCAATTTTGCGCCGTCAGTACGCTGGTCTGATGGACGCGCTAATTCAAATTAAAGCTCAGGAGGGTTTTGCGGGCTTCTTTCGGGGCATTTACCCGCGCCTTCTAGTACACGCACCTTCTGTGGCGGTGTCTTGGACAACGTTTGAAGTATTAAAGAAGACCCTTGATCGAATGGGTACCGACGGCGATTAGTGCCAGAACTTTTGTCCATTATAACCATCCGCTGCCAACGCGAGCGAGGAGGCAAAGGGGTGGGTGACACACAAAAGCCCGACGACTGACCGAGAACGTCTCGAACTGTGCACCAAGCCGCTGAGGCATTTTGACCAATGGGGAAATACATAGAGTTACAAAGAAACAGAATCATCGTCTATTCTTGCCAGCTACCCGAACTCAGCCCAATCACCGAGTCAAAAGCTTTCTACTCACGCTCTTGCTCCTGGTACGTCGGGCTGAGGTAAAGGAAACATTTTCTAACTGCTCGCATTATCATCAGGCGCTTTTGTTTGCGATCTCGTGTGTTTTGCGTAGTGGCAGCGGACCAAGATATGATCGTGAAGTGTTGTTCTGGTTTCAAGGGCGGTGCAGTATCGGCTTGAGCACTATTTCGACCATAAGCGTTTAGGTGCTTACTGTTATAAAGTGTCATATGTTCGTGAATGAATAATGCCACTTGACAGCACTATCCGCGCCTCGATTTCTCCTTTTCAAACGACTGATGTTCAAACAGACCTCACTGCTGCAATGTACTTAGAACATGGAGTAAGCTTGGGGACAACGTAAATATACACCGAAGCAGTGGAAGCCGTGGAGTGCTGAAGGCAAAGAATGATATAATTATGAACACGCTGATGCAGCTTGTGGACTAAATGGAGAGGCTGGCAACATGTGCGTCATCCTTTGGTATCAAAATCAGTGAACTGGTCATTGATCTCCTGCATGTCGAGTTGGGCAATATCTTTAAGCGTGACGCAGGAAAGCGAAGTTGAAAATATCGTAAAAGCGAGCGTTCGGCCTTGGTTGTAGCTTTGACTTCGGCATTATTCTGGCGCGGAGAAACAATTTGTACGTCTTTCGCGTATAGTGCTTTTGGACAACAAGCAATTTATGCTGCCATCCCATCGGAAATGACGACCTGAAGTTGGACAGTAGCCAAGTCCATGGAAAAAAATCATCTCGACCAGAAAACACCGCTGTACCGAGTGGTGAAACTTCACGTGTGATCGCACAAGCCGGGCACATTGTTCTACAAAGAACTGCGAGGAACGAGCACTTGCGTTTGTCAAGCGAGTACTGCAAGGCAGCATAGCCTAAACGCCCCAAAGTGATAGCACCGTGTACGACACAGTCATTTCTGCCAACAAAAGCACATGGCCATTTGCCCAGTATCATGGACCCCTTGCTACTGTCGCTGATTGCATTTTCAGGTGGTCGTACATGTCTGCATGCAGTCAAGTGATCGAGCTAACATCAAGGTCCCAAACGCCAGCCTCGGATGTATACGAAGCATCTCTTTCATACTCGAATTCCACTTGTATAAACTCGCAAAACATTACGCGATTGAGTGTGACGAAATCGTGCCGTGTCACTTGCGTTAGGCCTTTCGAACACCTGACAAGCCGCCATTCCGTACATCAAGCGAGAAGTAAGATAGGGACGAGCAGACCCAATAACGTTATGACAACAATAGCAAACTCAATCGTAGTTTGTCTACAAAAGCTGTGGCACGAGGCTAGTTCGGCCGTCAAGAAATTGAGGCTTCACGTTCTCCGCATCCGCTGGACCAGACGACTCCACACTTGCTCGACACAATGGGCATGAGCGCTCGTGATCGAACCACTCGGTCACACACTCTTCGCAAAACATGTGCGAGCAAGCAAGCTTAACAGGCTGCTTCATCGATTCGTAGCAGATAGAGCAGTCAGGGGATCCTGCCTCCACCAGATCATCATGCGAGACGTATACTCCGAACTCCAGCCCCAACGTCACGAAGGAACGTGCCAGTATAAAGATACGTCTGCCCTGATTAGCGAGAATCAAGCCCTGTTTCGCATAATTCCCAACATCCAATCATTAGTTTTCACGCAGGCATAATCGTCAAACAGTCACGCAATGATCGCAGCCATGACCTACCTTGATAAAGAGGTAGGCAAAAGTAAACACATCTGCCATGAACTTTGAAGCACAAAGCTGGTAAAAACTGCACCATGGCATACTGGCGAGAAGTGACCGCAAGAAAATAGAGCACATTTCGATGATCCCATATAGCTTTCGCTTTGCAAAAAACAAGGGACACGGGTAATCAGGTTGTCTGCTCATGCGCCTACTTAAACCAATGTCGTACCTTTCGTCGGTAAAACGCAACTGTTGACACTGCCTGCTGAGTAAGTGGCGCCGCTGTTGCAGTGCTATCGGTTTCTTCGACTAATATCACTATGGATGGAGACTCATCTGCATTTGTTGTCGCCTCATCCCTAAACTTTCTTTCACACTGGAAGCGGTCAGATTTTGCGCCAGCTACGAACGCCTTTACAACAACACTCCATAGTCGAATCAAAAAATCTATACGCCATTTCCAGCAAACATACCGACACAACCTTAGCCAACATTTTCGACTGCAACGATACCAATGTACACCGTACCGTTCACAAGCACCGTCCAAAGCACCTGCCAAAAGATACCGCCAGTTGATAATTGCTCGCTTTCACTGTCACTACCGTGATTTGTTGTTTTCGGCTGAAACGTTTGTGAAAAGTGATGAAGCGGGTTCGCCTCGCCTGCTACAGAACAGATCGCAACCATATTAATCGCGCACATGATGACGATACCTAACAGGTGCCACGTATTAGCTTTATCTTTCAGTGCAATCTGTGCTCGCATGCGTTGGTCAAGTCCCATAACTGCGACTGTGCCAACAACAAACACTAAAATCCCAGTCGCATGTTGGTACGCAAAATAAATGAGGAAAAGCGCAAGAAACGGCAAGAAATTATGGCATCGACGGAAAAGTGCCTGTACTTCGTCCATTGCTGTCTGGTCGTCGCTTTCTTCGTCCGAATTACGTCTTCCTCGTGTAGAATTGTCCACACGTACAGTTGATGGTCCATTCGCAGTATCCTCATTCCCATTGTCATCCACTAAATGTGACACATTATCACTCCGTTCAAAGTCTTGAGTTGATGACATGGATAAGATTGATGATGTCCTCGGGTTCAATGGTCGTTCAGTAGACAACAAAGCTTCTCTTCCTTCTTCATCTTCTTCTTCTTCTTCCACCTCCTCACCAGCTTCTTGATTACGCAGAAACCTCTCCGTTTCATTCACTTCTTCTGTATCATCTTGTCCAACGTCATTTCTTCCTGTTGTAAATCCTCTCCAGGGTGATATTTGGCTTGTAAAATCGTGTAACAACTGACCAATACCTAGCTGAGGCATAGCTTGTAATAATCTTGTACCCACATCTTCTCCATTTACTGAAGTGCTTAATACAGTGCCCAATGATTCCTGTCTCAATCCTTCGGTCTCTCCCAAGACATGATCAGCATGAAATGACGCATTATTACTACTTCCAACAGGATCTTGAGCTGTAGAATCATATAACGTCCTTCCTTCAATGTCGAGGTCCAATATTGTGTGCTGTACATGACTCTGGGGCCTTGGCAAAAAGTCAGAAGAAGAAGACAAAGATGACGACATGCTCCTGTTTACATCAGTATTACGTGATACAGAAGATAGATCAGATGCTACGACTTGTATGGGAGGTAAGATAGGAGTCTCAGGATGTGAATCAATGTCTCTAGTATTGCTGTCAAGTGCGTGGGTGTCACTAGCGACACAGTCATGAAGGTCATTCATCGGCATGGACTGGAGAATAATGGTGTGTAATACAAAACGCTGATTGGGTGAAATTGCATTAAAAAATTAGTGTCGTTTCGTGCTACACAAATGCCATGAAAATGGGTCCATATGTAAATACTGGCTACATATACCGGTATAGGCTGGCAGTATGAATCATACCTTACCCAAATGTCATGAGTGACAAATTTCAAATACAATCATCACGAACAAATTACCTTCACACAACATTCACAACCAGTAGGCCGTCAGCACCATCCGTTTTCTAATTGACAACTTGACCTCATTCGAGATTATAGAATGCGCTCAAATGATAGCCAGAAGCTTCTGGTTGTAGGAATTCCAAAGACATTTGATGATACTGAATTGTCTGAACTATTCAGTACCTTTGGTACTATTGTAGAAGCGAAAGTAGTACTTGATACAACGTCAAATACGTCACGAGGTTTTGGTTTTGTAACCTTTACGGCTCCATCAGCAATGCGTACTGCGATCAAATGTATGAATCAAAAAGTGATTGAAGGAAGGACATTAAATGTACGTCAACTAGTACCAAAGGATACATTTCAAGCACAAAAGAAAGAGACACCTGATGTGAGTAAACGGCCGTGTTGGTTATTACGTAAAGGCAAATGTACAAAAGGAACGAATTGTCCATTTTCACATGAAATTCGAACTGGAGACTGTGGCAATTGCTTTGAGTTTGTACAGACGGGAGAATGCAAACATGGAGAAAATTGCAAATTTGTTCATCCAGAGACAAGCGATATTATGGCACGAAATCAAGAGCAAGTTGAGACACGACAAGTGCAGGATGAGAGAAATGGTCGAGACAAGAAACGAGTGTGCTATGGTTTTCAAAATGGACGATGTCATCGTGGAATAAAGTGTATATATGCACATGAGTTGTTGGCAAGTGACGATGTAGGAAATGGTGCAGAGGAGAAAAAAGAGAGGGCTAGACAGACCGAAAGTGGGAACAAGAGAAGACGAATGGAGGAGACTGATGATTACGATGTGATGCAAAGAAACGTGGAGAAGAAGACGTTAAGAGTGGTAGGTAAGAAGACAGAAGGTCCGGTATTGAAGAGGTTTGAGTGGAAAGCTAAAGCACAGATTGAGGGTTGGGGAAAAAAAGTTGAACGGGATCAAGGCCGTGAGTTGGAAGCAGGACAACCTCAATACCAGTCGAGACAGATAAAGACAGAAAAGGTCGACATGGGTGCCGCATTTGATGGCGTGTCCGACGACGAAACACGTTCTCGACATGGCGGTAAGAACAAAGTGGACAAGGCAACAATGCGTGCGAACCGCGAAAAGTTGCTTCAGGATCGACGTGCCAAGCGCGATGCAAAGAAGACCGCGTTGTCGCGATTGCGGGTTAAGGGCGAAATTGAGCTGCTTGCTTGATGAAATGTGGTTGTTGCCACCGTGCCTGAATTGCTTTCTTGACTCTAGACTTTCGTGCATTTGCGCTCATGAGTGTTTCTCGTAAACAAGCAGGTTCGGTTGATTTCGTTTCATATTATCTGCTTGAAAGTAAGAGCACTTGAAGATCTAGATTTGAACGAAAGCACTGCCGATTGTTTAGCTCAAGTGATTTGCATCTCTCTTTTCTTTGACATTGCCTAGACAATGAGTTCTTCTTTGACCTGTCATTATGTACCACGCATACTACATCAGAGACGTAAGTGTTTCATTTGCTTGTTATCTTTGAACTCATCAGTCGTCTTAGCGGATCAAGTCGTTCACTATCATCAAAAATGCTTGGCAATGCCACATGCAAACATCCACTGAGAGTTGCTGCTATCTCTTGCTAAGTGATTGCGTACATGACATCAACAGGTGCAATTAGGCCATGCTAGTGAACGCAAGTAACAAGCCACCATAGTCGACATACCTCCACGCCAGATAAAAGAAAACAGCACTCGGACTGCAGATGAACATTGCAACGCGATACCCACACGCGTGTACATTCGTAGTATCGTCCGCCTTATCGTCCTCTTCGACAAGATTGAGTACCGGTGTGTCAATCTTCATCGCTATTATACGACACATGTCAAGTGTTTCGCTTCCATTTCTTTCACTTTCACGCATCCTGATGACTTCGTTCGAACAAAGCTGATAAAGTCAACATACTTATGGACAGGGACACAGACCGTGAACGCCGCTTCCTGAGCATATTCTTGAGATACAAGCTCAGCAGTGAATTGATCACACGCACGTTTGACCATACCAACAAATGAAAACGATGTCCGGACGTAAAGCAATCGTGTGGGCACCTTTTCAACTATCTCGGCGTGCTCTAGCACCTCTCGCGCTGCAGTTCCGTACGCTCGAATAAGTCCACCACGTCCGAGTTTCACACCTCCATAGATCCTCGAGACTACGACACAAATGTCCAATAACTGAGCTTGCTGTATTGATTCTAGAATAGGACGTCCAGCAGTTCCATGTGGTTCTCCATCGTCCGAACACAATTCACGTCCATCTATTGTCCTGTAGGCGTAACAATGATGCGTTGCGGCTGGGTATTTGCAGTGTTGGATGTCAATATATTGCTTAACCAAGTCGGAAACTAGTTTGCGATTGTATGCTGACAATGGCCATGCAGCTGAAATGAATCGAGAGCTCTTTTGCTTTACAATCTCAAGCTGTAGAGCACATTGAATGGTCTTCCAGGCCGTCATGCTGTGACGTGGTACTATGGTGCAACTTTACTGACCGTTCTATCTCATCTGTCGTCATAGCTTCAGTTGCTGCCGAAGAATAGAGACACCGGTTCCGAAAGTCTCATTTTGCGTATCACTAAAACCATGACACGACCATCATCTTGTGCTATTGACCGTTTGATAGAATACATTAGTATTCCATCTATTAGTAATGATGGATCTATCAATGGATCGTATACGAAGGTATGTAGAAAGAACAAAAATCAATGACAACGACAAAGACTTGGATACCTAAACGACTTGATGAATGTGTTGTTTCAAATGCACAGTGTTCAGTGTGGCTTCAGAATTATTTGGAACAAGGTATGGAATTTAGTACTACATGAAGCTTGTCTTCTCTACTACTTACTGTGTTATCGTCAATCTGCTGCTATGATCTTGGTCTTGTTGTTGTTATTTATGTGACAGTTGGGTTAGCAGTGCAAGTGTTTTCACTTGTTGAGAACAAACCGATTGTTTTGGTAAGACGCGTTCGAGATCATTTTGACCGTCTTCGAAACATGTCCGAAAACATGACCGTTTTGTATGGGAATGTTGTTAGGCAACGTGGCAAGGCAAAACTCCTTCCCTTCCTTCCATTTTGCTCAATTCACACTATGATGTAGTGCCTGTAGTTCGTCAACATTGGAAACACGATCCTTTTAAGGTGCGTACGGTGGGGGGGGTTATGTCAAAAGCGTAAGAGCTGTCTGCAGCTTTTACTGTTACTCATAGGACTTTTGTTCTTGATCGTGTTTGTTTGTTGTTATAGCCAAGAGTTCTGGATGATGGGATGATTTATGGTCGTGGAGTACAGGACATGAAGAGCGTCGGTGTGCAGTATGTTGAGGCAATTTCTCGCCTGAAAGCGGAGGGGTTTGTGCCGAGCAGAAATATTCACTTGCTATTTGTACCTGATGAAGAAATTGGTGGTGTTGATGGCATGGAGGCATTCCTTGTCAGTGACCAGTACAAATCCATTCAGCCGGTGGCGTTTGCCTTTGATGAAGGCCTTGCCAACCCGAATGACGCGTTTACGGTGTTCTATGGTGAACGTGTGCCCTGGTGGTTTTATGTGACAGCTTCGGGACCTACTGGCCACGGGAGTCGCTTCATCAAGAACACAGCAACGTCAAAGATCATCGACATTTGTACCAAGGTCAGTATCGTTCTTTGTCGCTGTTGCGGTCCTTATATTGTTGAGAGCTACGAGTTTTACAGCATTTGTGATACAGGCCTTGGCATTTCGCGCGGAGCAAGAGGCTCTTTTAGATGCAGACAATGGCTGCAAGCACGGCGACATAAAGAAACGGAACCTCGGTGATGTGACCACTGTCAACCTGAATATGCTGCAGAGTGGTGTGTCCCAGGATGGTGGCAAGACACACGCCCTCAACGTTATTCCAACGGAGGCTGTTGCTGGCTTTGACGTTCGTATCTCTCCCAATATGGACGTGAAGAAGTTCAAGGTATGTTTTCGTGTGGCAAATTGAGCAAATGTGGTATAAAAGACTGACAAGTTTGGTGTTGTAGGCGATGCTTGATGAGTGGTGTTCTGCTGAAGGGCTATCGTGGGAGTTTGTGTCATGGTGGAAGAACCCTCTGCATGAGCATTACACGACATCGTTGGACGATGACAATATTTGGTGGAAGCTGTTTAAGGAGGGCTGCGAGGTAAGCGATCGTAGGTTCTAGTACAGGTGCCATTGAGGAGATGAATCTAATGTGAGCTGTTACTGTATAGAAAACTGGTGTAGCTGTTGAGACCGAGGTGTTTCCAGCTGCAACGGACAGCCGATTTCTTCGTCAACTTGGTATACCGGCCTTAGGGTTCTCTCCTATGAACAAGACGGACATTCTACTTCACGAACATAACGAGTGTTTGCACAAGGATGTGTTTCTTCGTGGTATCGATGTATACGAGACATTGTTCCGTCACATGTTTGCATATGCTGAGACACCATCACTCATTCAGCCGCAGTAGATAATTAAGCCTGCCAAGCTGTTAGCTTGGACCAAGTTGAATCTGAAGAGTCTTTCATCTTAAACTTGTCTGCTTGTGTTTAAAATTCCATACGGTCCATTCATTTTTCGTCATTTGATAGCAAAATGGTTATGTGGAAAGACCCGGTTGATCGATTTGTCGAGTTCCTTCGATTCCGTACGGTTAGCGCTGAGGGTCCCATTGGAAGCTACGAACAGGTATTGGAATGTACATCAAGATTGCAAATAGGATCATCTAAGGTGGTTTGATCATTGCAATTAGGGTGCAGAATGGCTACGTGCATATCTCGAAGAACGTAAGGATGAACATTCCAAGTCTGTAATGGAGATATGAGACTACTGAGTGAATTGCAACGTTTGTAGTAAAGCTGTCGGTTCAAATTCTTTCGCCCATTGAGCAAAAACCTCTTGTACTAGTACGTGGTTGCATTGCTGCTTTTTTGAATGCTTACATGCTTGTCAAACAACAAATGAGCGTGTTCAAATGATAGGCGACATGGCAAGGTAAAGATCCAACACTTCCTGGAATCATTTTGAATTCACACTATGATGTTGTGCCTGCAATGGCTGAGCACTGGATCTATGATCCTTTTGAGGTATGGTTGGTCCGACATGTTTTTTATTCGCCGTTGCAAGCTCATGGGTCTTAAAACTACAACTTGTACATATTTGAATAGGCCACGATCACAGAGGACGGCCGCATATATGGACGGGGTACACAAGACATGAAGAGCGTTTGTGTTCAGTATGTGGAGGCAGTGCACACCCTTATCTCTTCTGGATTCACGCCAGAACGCAACATTTATTTGCTGTTTGTGCCTGATGAAGAAGCTGGTGGGGCGCAGGGAATGGGAGCGTTCGTCGAAACCGACCATTTCAAAGCTATTCAGCCGATTGCATTTGCATTTGACGAAGGTCTTGCAAACCCAGCAGATGCGTACACTGTTTTTTATGGTGAACGAGTGCCGTGGTGGGTTTATGTGACAGCAAAAGGACCTACTGGCCATGGCAGTCGATTCATCAACAACACAGCAACGTCGAAGATTGTTGACATTTGCAACAAAGCCCTGGCGTTCCGTGACGAGCAAGAGAAAGCCCTTGGCGCTGATGTTGGATGTAAACACGGTGACATGACGAAGAAAAAACTCGGTGACGTGACTAGTATCAACATTACTGCGCTGCAGAGCGGCGTATCATGTGATAATGGCAAGACGCATGCTCTGAATGTGATCCCAACGGAGGCCATCGCTGGCTTTGACATTCGCATTTCACCTCGAATGGATATCAATGCAATGGGAAAAATGCTTGATGAGTGGTGTGCTGCTGAGGATGTTTCTTGGGAGTTCGCATCATGGACAAAGCCAATGCACCAGCATTATGTCACATTGCTGGATACGGACAATGTTTGGTGGCAGCTATTTCAAAAGTCCTGTGCTCGACTCAACGTAATGTTGGAGACCGAAATCTTTCCTGCGGCTACAGATAGTCGCTATCTTCGCAAGGCTGGTATCCAGGCAATTGGCTTCTCACCAATGAAGCAAACTGAGATTCTATTGCATGAACATAATGAGTATCTGCACAAGGACACTTTTCTATATGGCATCAAAGTGTACGAGGCAATTTTTCGAGACATGTTTGCTTACAAGTAGGCAATGCAAAGGTGGACAAGATGAAGTAGGCATCTTATGATTTCATTGAATCGTGTGCAGTCGTTGCGAAAGCGAGAGGATACTAACGATGATCATACATGTAGTCTATATTCGGCCTCGAGAGCAATCTTTACCAAAGAGGCTTTCAAGTCAAGTCTTGCATTCTTCCATCATGTTCGTGTATTTTGAATCGACTTCGATAAGCCACTTGCTTACATGTCGTCAAGACAATTGAATATTAGCAGAGTAGAATAGAATCGAACGGCGTGGGAGGCACAACATCATGTTGTAGCAGTGCATTATTAGAAACGACCATGAAACAAAATGCAGAAGAAACTAGACGTAGCGAATTCGTTGCGTCACTGAACTTTTGGTAGAAGGACTGCTGGACATATGTGGCGCTTTAACCTTGCAAAACGTGTATGTGACGGTCGCAACTTGAAAGGACAGACCATTCAGCACAAAGTACTTTCCGCAACAAGGACGCCATTTTGTAATATGAGCAGGTATCGTGTTCATCACTTTCAGCGACGATGGCAAGTTCCGGACGCGCTATCCGTTTTGATGCTGATGGGTATTGCTTCTTGTGTTGTGGCACTCAGCAAGAATGACGTCACTGTATCACCAATGCAAACCGAAAATACCAGTGGGTCGTCGTCACTTTCAGTGCAGCAGGAAGTACCAAAGCTTGATATTATCGACAACGATGACCAACAACAGGTATCCGGTCCCAAGATTTTCCCATATCCGGCGGTGGGTTTGCTGCGTTGGAACGAAAACGTCACGTGCACATCCACACTTGTCGCTTCCAACATTATCTTGACGGCAGCAGAATGCGTCCTCGACTTGAATGGAAAACTGCACGACACATCCGAGGATTCATCTTCGTTCAGTCTTCCTCAACGAGCTGACATTAAGCCGGCGTTTGTCACTCAAGTACACAAGCAGTCAGATTACTGGACCGAGTGGATCCAGAACACGTACGTACTAGTTGAGCTAGACGTCGATCTAGGTACAACTGTCGGCGCAATTCAACTGTCGACAGCAGAGTCCTTTTTAGATGACGCCTCTTTAAATGTGCAGCTGGTTCACTTTGGGAAAAACGAAGATGATGGCGAATGTTTACAAGCATGCAAGATCCACTTACCCAGTGAGTCTGACGAACCAGAATATATGGTGCATCATGACTGCAACGTATCAGTAAAGCGTTCTTTGGGCGCGCCAATGCTAGTACGCTCCACAAATCTTGATACCTACATTGTTGGAATCCACACGAACGCGATCAGTCACAACGCAAGAAAAGACACTAGCACCAAAACTTACTCGTCAACAAATTACACACTCGCCAATCGAGGTGTCCTAGGATCGTTTATCCAGCCCCACTTGTCATTCTTGCTGCAGCTGACACAATCTTCTTCATCTTTATCAGACGTGTCTACCTCTCTTGAGGATAGTGAGATATCTAATAATGAGGCATCAATTTCGTCCAGCAGCAGCTCCATTGCTTACACGTCAAACCGCCAGCCTACTTACCAAGGGCATCAAAACAACCAAACCGATGCAATAGCAAGCACAGCCTTAACTGCATCATCTGCTGCCTCTTCGTTGACGGACACGCCGGCAGGAGCCACACATATCGATTCCGCGGCAGCTGTTGCATATTCTTGTATTGGACTGGTGGGTGCTTCCTGGCTCGCCATTATATTTGTCGCTGCTCGCAGACTCCACTCCAACCGCTGAGAAGTAGTCTTCGCGGAGTTTTGTATATATAATTTTACTGACTGTGACAGCACAGGAAGCAGATCCGCAGTACAACACACTTTGTTTCATCGCGCAATCCGATTCTTTACTTGCTTCGCCCAAAATGTATTTTCTCCAAAAACCACAGGTCCAGATAACTCTGCCTTCAAGTGAAATGGCATCGGCCACGGAGCCAAATTGGAGGCTAAGTGTTGTAAACTGACAGCAATGGACTGTTTCATTATCTTTTAGAGACACGTTACGTTCGTGCTTAGAGATCTGGCGTAAGCACCGGAATGTAACACGTGAAAGACCCAAACGCGTCTTTAAGAATGGAATGCAGCACCATCGCTCTATTCTCCGTAATACAGCACAGTATGGATTCTGTCGACTGTCCATCAGCTAGAATCGCTTTGCTCAGCACTTTGCTATCAACAGTAACACTCGAAGAATGCTCTTGTCGATTTCTTTCTGTCTCAACCTCCTCTTGGTCGTCGTTTTCATCTTCATCCAATAAATCGCCGCGATACTTCAAGTGTGCAAAGAGCGTCTGTAGTGTAACTGGAAGGGTGTCAATACGTAGAATAAGTGTACCCATCTTGCTTGCTTCGACCGTCAGTGTCTTGTGCATGACCTTGAGTCGATCCACAATACTGCGCAGAGCTCGTAATGGTGGCATTTCAATTGCAATTTGTGGTGCAGGTACACAAGGTTCTTTATAATGTTGCATAGTGCTCATTGCCATTAATTCAATGGGAATACTCTGGACAATATCAATATCCACGGCTCTTGTTCGAAGGCAGAGAAAGTTTCTACCGTCTCGTTTCAGCAGCCGTAACATGACAGCACTTGCGTCTTTTCCTGAGGATAAAGCTTGTTGAAAGTGTCGTATATCACATTGAAATCCAATGGAATTATTTGCCTGAGACTGTACGATAACATCATGAAAAAGACGTGCTACTTGTAAATGGGCAAAGCTCTGAAGTTCTTCAGTGGTGCCACCACTTTTAAATGCGATAGAAAATGTCTCGGGCGTTAGTGTGAATACGCAATTAATCTTTTGATTACTACCTTGAGATCCTAGACGAGTAAATGATTGGGCTAGATCTAATAGTACAGCTAGTGCATCCTTTGTTAATGTCCCACGGAAGCGCATGAGGATAAGAGGATGATGATGGAAGAATTATTGAGATATAAATTGATATGATTGGATAATAAAAAAAAGATTGAAATTATCTTGGAAAAAGATATATTAAATTAATCTCTTGATTACAAGATATGATTATGCATGACATGTAAACATACAACTGAATCAGATTACTAAAGATTAAAGAGGTAAAAGTTCATGCCACATGAAAAAAACACAATCAACTATGAGAGGGTTACATGTAATATATGACAAAAAGAGTGTAGCATATAAGATATCACGGGAAATAATGACACATTGATTCATACAAACATACACTAAAATAATCTTTATATTACAAAGATCCTCTCTCTTTCTTTCTTTCTCCTTGTATCTTGATCATACATAGATCAACAAGAAAGATTAAAAGAAAAGACTTGGATGGATGGATGTATCTGTGTGAACCCCCTTTGAACACAAAGATCAATTCTTCATCTTCGTGACCTTGTCAGGTTCTCTTCCACTAAGCAGTAGTAGTAGTTGTATACAGTAGCCATAGAACTACCACATCATACTATCAATACTTAGCACAAGTGTTATGTACTGTTAGTCCCTCCTTACAATGAAGAGGAAGTGCCTTGAATCTCTCCATCAAGATTCTGAGGGACGTTCTCAAATCATTATTTCCACACAGTTGGCTCGCCAAAACCAACGGGCAATTAATACCACACAAAAGCTGCATTTCTCTAGTCACATGCAAGATACAAATCATCAACAATTCCCTCTCTACATAAAGATAGTCTTGTGTTTTCCTAGGTGGACTCGACTTTGTATTGACTCGTCATGTTCAGTTATGACTGGTCTTGAGTCAATGACATTATTTTAGCCAATCAGATTGACGTACATACAATTGAAATAACTGGAAAGACGAGGGTGTCAAGTCGGACAATGTCGTCGATGGATGTAACTGTTGCATCAAGTAATCGAAAGCGCAAGAATGGACACAGGAATGATGATCAATTGATTTGTAATCATCTAGAGGATCTGATAATGCGATCTAAAAACGAGACTATTCTTCTTACTGTGCGTGCAATTATATCTAAAATCAACTACTGACTGATGAGTAAATGTTCTCGATACTAATTGGTGTGTCTATTGTCAACTTATTAGGAACTTCGTGATGTGTTGATGGATCATTTACTTGGAAATATACAGACTAATCTCAAGTATACGGTACTATTTGTATGTGAAGAGGTGCCAGATTTACGACAGAAACAAGTGACGTTATATGATACAAAAGACAAGACAGTGACTGGAAATCCAGAGATCACTCTACTTGAAGGGGTGGAAGGTGACTATCAATTTCAAAGTCGACTATCAGAGGGTGACAGTATTCCACGTTGCGACGCGACGCTACTCAAGATTCCTTTATCCAAGCGTGATAGAGAGAAGGAGAAGCATGTGGTCAAGAAGGCTATCAAAAAGAAGATTAAGAAGTTTAAGAAGCGATCAGGCGGTATGTTACAATACATTTCTTTTTCAAGATGCTCTTGGCAACGACACTGACGTGTTTTGTGTGGATTGCTGACAGAAAACACTAGGCCAAGTGCTGAATTCTATGTGCTGTCTTCAGATGAACTAAAGATGTATCTGCCTTCCATTCCGTTTGAAGACGCTAAAGCTGCGGCACAATTTGTATCAACAAAGGCGCTGCGGAGTGGTGAAACAAGACCAGCTGAACAGCTCTTGCTTGCTCTTGACTGCGAAATGTGTCGAACCACAAAAGGTGTAGAGCTCACGCGTGTTACGCTGATAGACGCAAGTGAAAATGTTCTACTGGATGAGTATGTGCGACCAAAGAACCCTATCGTCGACTACTGTACACAATATTCAGGCATCACGTGTGATATCATGGAGGCTACAACGATGCGGCTTGCAGAAATTCAGGAAAAGTTTTTGGCACTTGTTCCTGCAGAAGCCATCCTGGTAGGTCACTCAATTGAGAATGATCTTCAGGCACTGCAGGTACTGCACCGACGAATTATTGATACGGCATGCATGTACCCACACCCAAAAGGACCGCCATACCGCTCTGCTTTAAGATTTTTGGCAAGCCGGTTTCTTAGTCGTACTATCCAGACAAGCACAGAAGGTCATTGCAGCGTGGAGGACGCGGTAGCAACGTTACAGTTGGTACGGCTCAAGATCAAGCATGGACCTACATTTCCAAGCATTGATTACGAATACAAGCAGAAGATGGTCGTTACTGAGATGTCCCGGGCCAAAAAGTCGGTTCTGATTGTAGACTCGCAACGTTCATGCAGATCACTAAGTTGTGGCGTTGCCTGCATCATTCCACGTGAAAACCCTAGCAAAGTTGTGCAAACAATCGTCCATCAATTGACGACGGGCTATCCTCCGCATCTTACGTGGGCTCGTATACGTGGAGTCAAACGTTCCGAGATTGAGATGTATGTGCAGCAGATAAAAACCGTTTTGCCCAAGAATTCATGCCTTGTCACAGTGGTTTGTGGAGATACGAAAGACTTACGGGAGCTTCATAAACGTCGCATAGCACGATCTGATCCAAGAAGCTCACTCATGTGGGATAAGGAACAGCAGGAGCTATTAGATGCAACGGCATTAGTAGCTCAGATAGGGCTTGTACATATTTGTGTGCAGTAATGCACCACCACCATCGACTCCTAATCCACTGCAACTATGATGCATACCATGTATATTATAATGTCCACATAACGCGTGTGGCATATAAAGCATGACAACCGATCGATTATGAGGAGCTTCCCATTTAAGCTGCTTAGCTTTGTGTATGACTAGAAAACTTTCGAATATAGGTATAATTGATTCTAACGTGTATACCAACAATGTAACAGGGTTACACGAAGGTGTGTATTGTACATACACACCTGCCACACCAATGTGGTGTGGCTGTACCTTGGGTACAAAAGTAGGCTTGATGTGACCGTCGAAGGGTCGCATTGTACGTGGTCACTATACTTATTTAAGTATAGTAACTATACATGGTTTGCATAATAATAATAGGCTATAGAGCTAGTATATAGCGACTAGCACTAAGTATAGAGTAGGTGTTCTATATTTAGTGTTAGAAGATAAACATAAACATATGCAAGTTTTAAACCTGCTTTATAAGCATCTCTGCTTGAGCGTTCTATTCCTCCTGAGTAATTTGTATCTTACTAGTCTCTTTGAGACGCGGTTGTAACAACCGATAGGCACAAGCTTACGAGCTAGCCTAGGAGGGTTAAGCACGCTAAGACGTAGAAGCTCTCTGAGCTTGTCTTCCTCTGCACATAGTGCATAAGTAGCTTGGCTACAGTAATCGGCTACAAACAAGATGTCGTATGACAAATCTATTGTAAGCAGTATCGTGTTTCGTTTAGTACTTCTTCCACAACCGCTATAAGCACTTCGTGTGATACAATTCCACTGATATTCGAACGCCATAAGATCAATTTTGGTCTTCTCTTTTCCCTACGCCCGGCAGGATGTGTTGGGTTGGGTAGTATTTACTCCAGCCCCGGCCGAAGCACAACGACAAAAGAAAATGCCTTGCAATGGTTTACGACTCGGTCGGATCAATACACCCAGTCGTGCATCATGTAGACGACGAGGAGGCATGCATGTAACGCCCAGATCAACGTCACACCCCGGGATCCCGCGAAGACATATCCCATAACGAAACGTTGCGCTGTCAAAAGCGAGTTGGGACTTATCTAATGCCTCGTCCATGGCAAACCACCATGGTCTAGCGCCGCATAGTTTTGCATTGCCGACGAAAGGGGCAGCTGCTGAGAGCGGGCAATGATCATTTCTGGACGGTTGCTCTGAAGCCGTTATGGCATCTTCTCGTGGGCAGACAACCCGTGAATCTTGGCCGTAGATCGCTGAGCTGCCAGTTGGCGATGGTCCATATAGGTTTTGATGTCTGCCAAACGGGGCGGACGGAACACGCCTTTACGTTCCGCCGTCCACGATACTCGACACTCAACTTACCCCGTTGGACAATTGCTGCTTATCTGGCCTCGTCGCACGTGGAGGTTGGTGTGTGTCTCAACGCAGCGGGTGCCCTCACGCTTCGGCACCTCCGCCGTTCATGCACGCTTTTGTGGCAGGTCACCACCCGGGCGTGATTGAAGGAATTCACGCAGGACCTGGGTCACCTACGACTGCTCACTGCCGTCTCACGCAGACCAGTATTGGAATCCGCAGGAAATTTGACTGAGAAATGTCTGCGCTGGAGGTGGAGACTGACAAACCTCGCGCCTTTTGCAGCCGCTCTCAGGTACACCGGGATCGTTTGCGAAGCTCGCTTAGCCTCCACGGGTTTCCCTGGACTTGCCTCGGACTATTTTGTGCGCCAGTCTAATGGTCTGTCTTAATTGCCTGGTGTAGGCCCATTGCAAAATGGACTTTGGCAACCCATTGATCGGCTTCACTCATCGGCTTGCGAATAACGCTGCAATCGCAAGCAGCAACACGAAATCATGGACCAGGGCACCCATACCCTATGGACTCGTCAGCACGCCTCACAGATTATCAAGTTTGGACTGCAGATCGGATTGCTACTGCGCCAACAAGCTTCTATTACGCGTGTCGCCCACCATCCCTGCACCACTGGGACCTGATGAGCCGGCAGCGAGAGCGCACGACACCTTTTCTGAAGCTGTCCGTTTGCCCAAGCGACTTGGGCACGACGTATCGGGCACTAAGAATCGATACATGGGTACATCCCGGGCGATTGAAACGATGGAACGCGTTTTTGCGGCTCAAACCAAGTTGCCCTTTTCGGCATATGTGCCCATCGAAACCGGAAGAAGCCGATGGCATTGTTGCCGATTGAATCGATGTTGGACGGTTTTCTGCACTATCGCGATCACGAGTGGTTGAATCAAGCGTGTTAGTTGTGTCTTTCGCGGCAAACAGATGACGGCACAAGAAGAGGCGACGGCCTCCTGGACGGGGGCAATCGCAATCCGGCAACTTGAAGCCGTCGCGAGACGCAACCACCGCAAAGGGGGCGCCGTTATCTGCTGCGTCACACTACACGATTGCATCGAGTAATCGAAAGACAACGTTGCGTGAGGGCAAGTTGAAATTGTCACACCTCCACTCGTGACCTCAGGGCTTTTGGACCAGCGTGCAAATGAGGTGTCCTTGACGGCAAATAGTTCGACTGTATGATGTAACAACTTTCTACATACTGTCGCGTAGGCCCTCGCGCGCACTTATGAGTCAAACACAAGCGAGGTTGTTGTTATTTTAAGCATACATGGAAGTGATGAGGCGTTATTTGTTCAAACAGTGAGGTTTAGAATGTCTATTGCTCTTAAGTACAAGATTTTTGGTATGTCCGTAGCCGAGATAAGAATGCAGGCGTCGAAGGGCGCGACGATGTGTCAGGACACTTCTCGTGTGAATCCGTAGACTGTCTCGGTGAGTAGATTCGGATCTACATGAACTTTGTGACGTCAATCCTGGATGTTGACGACTGAATGCAATCATGATGTGAGCAATGTGCATAACCGTTTGGTTTGCATTGAGGTGATTTTTTGATGGAAAAGCCAAACAACAACAACAAAACCCACATTGTCAGAAATCACGCACGGCCCTCTTGGTATTAAAACACCTATTGTCAGCTAAGCTACCAAAAAGAATCCCATGGTTTGCTCGATGCTGTAACCGTTCCGGGCCCTTCGATCGGTTCGGCTGCTTTACCATACGACGCATAAAAAATGTCTCGACCAATTCGTTTGTCAAACCTATTGACTGGGATGCCTTTTGCAATAGCCCTTCGTAGAAGACACCACGACCTTTGTTGTTGCAGTCACCGCCAATGCCGAGGACGATGCCGCCCTGCTTCTTCATCTCTTTGTATTTCTCTGGACGCTCTCCCAAGTAGATCTCTTCAAGCATACTATACTGCGCATTTCCCGTTCTAAGAGTAAACTGTCCTCCCGTACGACCGAGGAGCATAGCAGTCACGAACTCGTACGTCACCGAGGGATTGTTTGGGCAACACGTTTCGGCACAACCGAAAAGACCATTACTCATATCCACCATTACCCACGGGCCATTGCCGACGCCACAGCCATGGTTCCTATTGCTACCAAAGTAAATTGCTTCCATTGTACCGGGATCATAGTTAGCAGTCTTCTTAGCGTTACCGTAAGTAAAGTAACAGCCGTCATTGAAAACTTTGCCATTTACCACCATGTAAATGATTTGTGCCTCGTCTCCCACTGCGAGACCTTTCGCGTTAATAATATTCTGATAGCCACTTCCTGGCTCAATTGCCAAGCCATAAAGCTTTGTGGTCGGAGAGTATGACCGGACTACCATTAGCACTCGCGAAATGACTGGGTTTGTCACTAGCTTCACAGGTAGGAGGTGGGGTCAAGTGATTTCCATTGCCAGACTGGTCGTAGATGGTTGTAATGACGCAGGTAGTGTTTGCACAAAACTTATCTTGCTCTAAAGCGTTGGCGATGTCTCTGTCAGGCAAAGGATGTATTTCGAGTGTCGTCTGTCTGACTCACGTTTAACTTGATACAAAGGACCCTTGTAGGCGGCGCCACACAGAGATCGAGTCATGCCGTGTGCAGCGACACACGGCGTCCCAGCGCTTTGTAACGCATCACACGTACCGGCACTCACAATTCCGAAGCAAACAGCGGACAACAAGCAAAGACCGCGAAGCATTGTTTAGCACAATCAAACGAATGTAGGCGAGACTTGTGCTGGAGATTGCCAATGAAAAATGTTGTCTTCTGCTGTATTTACGGATGACATTCTGCATCTTACACTTTGTAACCGGCACATCCGACGATTCACGAAAGAGCTTTTTATTCCGTTAATTGTTGGATGTGTTGGTTTTTGTGTAGTTGTTGCTGTGATGACGGCTGATTGTATAAAGCTGAACCAAACAGCTTGCAGTAATGTCCGATATGCAAATATATTCTAACTAATTACACCTTCAAGACAAGAGCGAACTAAGGTGATCGAGTACGCAATGTGTGCTCATATTTATATACGTCGAGATACATTTGCATTCTTGAGCAGTCTTACGAATGCATTTGAAGCGCAACTTCACTAGTGATTTTGTATTTCATAACTACGTTCGAAGTTCAATTCGACAGATGCATCAACTGACACTCCCCATCGATTTGCATAAGTTATACGTGCGAACCATGTGATGCATAGTAATTTCCACAGCAATGGTGCCAGTCGTTGTACTTACCTTTAACCAACCTGTAACTTTCAGGCTATCCCAAGAAAATGTGGATAGCCTGGAAATGACAGATATGTGGTACATGTCCTCGTCAGGATGGTACATGGGATCCGTCTAGCTTGTGCAGGATTGGCATATAACTGTATTTCCACGTCAAACTCTATGCACTTCCATATTTAGAAGATTGAACAGAAGGAACCACGTACGACGATTTTGTCATTAAAGAATGGCATTTAGACCCGCTCTAACTCTCCATCACAAACACAACTTCCGTCTTATCGATTGTTGCTTTATCATGTCACAAGGACACGTGAAACAAACCCCCTTTTTAAAAGGATCAATGTTTCGTTACTATCAATATGAACCATCATATACAAATAGCAGTGTGCTAATCGAAGTGCTACGTTTGCTTAATAAGACTGGACATGATAAACACACAACCGCCACGTTTAGTTGAAGCAAAATCATTGCATGGTGACAGTTTGATATGTCTGTGCAAGCTTGACGAGTCGTTTACATTTCAGTGCCGCACAGCAACAATATAATGTCATCATCCGTATACACTGCAGACAATTCAAGTAGCCTCGGGGATCGACCAGTTAGCCGGCACAGGGCCAACATCATGGATGATCTCACGGTGGCAGGACCACACAAGCTTAATTGCCTCCGGCGTACCAATCCCGCCAGCGCACGGGTCACCGGCTGGGCCAAACCAATGGTTCTGCGGTGCACCCGTAGTTCTTGCACGAATGCCGCTGTAGGTCGTGCCGTTCACCGTCGCTGAAAGCACTTCGCTTACAAAGTTCTGATCATTCGAGACCACAGCTGCAGTCAAGTGAGCGTCCATGCGCTCTAAAGCACCCAGGACTTGGGGCAGCTCGTTATCATTGTACTCAGTCAGGATCTGAAACGGACCAAAAATCTCCGTGGTAACAAGCTCAAAGTTCTCCGTCTTGACAAACTCTTCGAGCGGAACAAATATAGCAGTGGGTTTTACCGCACCATATATCTTGGGAATCGAGTGGTTCTCTGCAGTTGTGTAAAGACAAAACATTAGCAACAACTCGACAGTCACATATGATAGATGTACAGACATACCAAGCTCTTCCGCTCCAAATGCGATACGAGCACCTGGGATCTTCAACAGAGCCGCAACGTGGTCAAGCATACGCTTCGTGGTGACCGTCAGCACGGGACCAACCGTCAGATCCGACAGCTTTCGTCGGGAAGCGAGCTCGGCAAGTTTCTTCTCCAAACCAGCTTTCGCCCAGTTTTTATGCACGAATAGAACAGACTGCGCCGAGCACTTCTGTCCTGAGCAAGCATACGCATCCTGAAAGGCGTAAAACATAATCATCAAACAAAATTCTTGCGTGACAAGATGGCAGACATACGTACCTGATCAGACGTCCAAGCGACGTAGTCAAAGTCGCGAACATCGGGACCGAGCACCTTCCAGTCAAAGCCAGCATCCTCTAGCTTAATCCGACCATTCAGGTCCTTTGCAAGTTTCTCAGCAACAGCTTGCGATCTACGTATCGATAGCACAACGCCCAGAGTTAGCTACTTTCACTGACCCACCTTCCTCAAACACAACTACATGCCTACCCAGTAAAAAGCGTGTTGCGTGGTTTGATCTGCAAAAGCAGATCGTTCATCACCGCACCGTCTGTATTGATAAAATCCACGTCGGTCAACGGCATGCCACATTCGTGTAGCAGGCGCAGAGTTTCTTGTATGACAATGGACACCTTCGAGTCCACCTTGAGAAGCACCTTGTTGCCCATAAACAGAGCTCCCATCATCTGTAGCACTGGTATCTCGATGGGAAAGTTAAAAGGCGTGATGAGCACCACGGGACCGTATGGCCAGCGATAGCCACGGCTTTCTTGGCCCTGGTGGTCACCTGAGACAGCAAACGAGCGTGCCAGGAAACGCACTTGGTCTCCCGAAAAGTTCTCTAGGAACTTGCCTGTCACCCTCACCTCATTGCGAGCCTGGAAGTAACTCTTAGGTGACGTGCGCTGCACAAGTTTGGCAAAGTAATCAGCCACCTTTTCCTCACGAAACAACGTGCCTGCCTTAGCACAAATCTCACCGTACATGACGTAACGGTCAATATTCTTTAAAGGGTTATGCAGACCGTGTTTAGGACAGCTTCTCATGCTCTCCACAAAAGGTGGAAGCTCATTTTTCTGTGTAAGTGGCATGGTCATAAAGGCCTCACCATTCAATGGGTCAATGATTGTTTCAACCTTAGCAGACTTTGTCCATTTGCCGTTTACTACAAACTCTCATAGAAGTTGAATTAAGATTCAAGCACAAGAGGAATAAACAAAGAAATGAGGTTAAAAACAACGTACCCAGATTAAATCCGTCGGTCGGGTTAGTACCATTAAAGTTAGGGTCAACGGTGGCAAAGGACGGAATTGATGACATAGCGCGTGTGGTGTACAAGACACGGCATAAGGTCGATGCGGAGACCGCATGTGAGAAACTAGAGCGCAGCATGATGAGTAGATCTTGTCTGACGTGTTATCTGCCTATTAACGTGTGTGACTACGGTCGAAGCGAGTTCCAAATTTGAGCTGCTTAGCTTCGTGTATGACTAGAAAACATTTGAATATAGATATAATTGATTCTTAGAGCAAAGGTTGAGCTGCACAATAGCAAGGACAATAAAGGACTTACATGAAGTGACACATTCGATTGATTTGCAAAGGTTTATTTGTCATGGCTTATATTGCTAATTGATGTAAACCACGCCATACATAGACGCCTCAACGCGTTTTATATTGTCATAACGAAATTACCAGAAAAAAATAGTCGTAGGACAAATCTATTGTAAGCAGTATCCTGTTTATCTTAGTACAATTTCTCCGTGGCTTTTTTATAAACTCTAGCCGTATTTTCTCTCACCCAAGCTGACGAATAGTTCAATGGTTCAGTGGTGCTGACTGACGACTACTGTCTTGGCAATGATCATGATCATGTTGATGGTTGGAATAAATAGCAGTGCAAATAAATACGTAGAGATCCGAAAAGCTCTTCCAGATCGTATTTCACGACGAAAAAAAGTCACTTTGCATTGGAGGTTAAGGACCCATGAGAAATCGGTCAACTAAGGATACTGACTCGCCACTTGGACTCTGAGATCTCTGCGATAGTACAGAGAATATTGTCGGGCAGTGCCACGATAGCACACCGACGACCAACAGCTCCTAGTCGCATTAGTTCCTTTTTGTTTTTATTTTCCACAAGGCTGGAGCTGTCATAATCGCAACTGTTGTCTGTAGATGTGGGCTCGACTTTAGCAAAAAGTATCTTGGATTCACACGGATCATAAGGGGCTACGATCATAGCTGTTTGGATTTAAGTGCTTACGAGTGAAATTGAAAGTGCTTCTTCCCTGGGTAGTCGGCCTGTTCGTGTGTTTGTGAAAATTTGCAATGTCAGCGTAACGGACGAGCAGGGTGTGGCGAATGAGGCGCATTTGTTCGAATGATGGCTGGCCGGAAGAGTACAGTGAGATAACGACTAATACTGTCCCCTTGCAAGACCTATTGAAGGAATTGGTAAGGAGTTGCATATCTATCATCAATACCAAGCAGCTCTATTCGACCACAATCAGTGGGCCGTTACTTGAATAAGATTGCGTGCTTAGATCCGCTGACGACCTACAGATCTGACTGACGAATGCCAGTAGTTTTAGAACACAAATCGCAACGCGTTTTGCTAATGTGACACCTGGAGTGCTTGACTGGGAAACGACCGTAGCATATCTGGCTATTATTTAGCCCATGCAAGCGACATATACATTTCCACCCAAAAGACAGGCAAGCGTACAACGAACCAAAAAAGACCAAATTCATTGCCAGTCAGCGTCGCCCACAAGACAAGCGGACGCGGTACGTGCCAAAACTGGCCGTGCGTAATGCATTCCCCAAGCATCAGGGATCGACAGGGAGCAGCCGCTGTTGCCAGTGCTGCTAATATTTGCTGGCGCCAGCGACGTATTATGTTTAAATGTAACGTAGCGATAGCGCTATTACTTGTTCGTTTCATTAGAGTATGAGTACATCGGTATATTATGCGGCTCCACCACGAGACACCAAGCATATCCATTGGTGAACTTTGCTTGCGTACTCTCAGTTATGAAAGTCTATTGATTTGTCTTAGCAGGCAGTTTTAAGTGACCTTCACGGATGGGTTGGTAGAACGCGTTCTAGAGGCGAAAGATTAATACGCTTTGAAATTAACTGTGAAATAGAACGCGTTCTAGAGAGCACACTATTGCTACATGATAATAAAAGATGATTTGCGTGTCGCATTGCCAAACTTCCATCATATAAAAACATATATTATTCAGGCGGGTATACCTCGTTACACGGCGCATAAAAACATGTCGTGAAAGCCTAGCTCTTGTCGTCCTGCGATAGTTGCAATGAGTCAAAAGGCCAATGAGAATAACCAAGTTCTTCCGCATTTGGGTGTAATATGAATGACGAACGCGATTGCAGTGATGCAAAGTAAATTAAATGGGAGCTAAAAATTACGACACCTGTCGATCAAAGGGCCAAAAGTCGAGCACCTTCACACCAACAAAATCGACCAACAACGTTAAGAACATACCCAACGGCTGCACCACATTAAATGTTTGCATCCAAGTCAAGCCAGCAATTGCGATTATGACAGCTCCAGCCTTGTGGAAAATAAAAACAAAAAGGAACTAATGCGACTAGGGAGATCTCAGAGTCCAAGTGGCGAGTCAGTATCCTTAGTTGACCGATTTCTCATGGGTCCTTAACCTCCAATGCAAAGTGACTTTTTTTCGTCGTGAAATACAATCTGGAAGAGCTTTTCGGATCTCTACGTATTTATTTGCACTGCTATTTATTCCAACCATCAACATGATCATGATCATTGCCAAGACAGTAGTCGTCAGTCAGCACCACTGAACCATTGAACTATTCGTCAGCTTGGGTGAGAGAAAATACTTACGGCTAGAGTTTATAAAAAAGCCACGGAGAAATTGTACTAAGATAAACAGGATACTGCTTACAATAGATTTGTCCTACGACTTTTTTTTTCTGGTAATTTCGTTATGACAATATAAAACGCGTTGAGGCGTCTATGTATGGCGTGGTTTACATCAATTAGCAATATAAGCCATGACAAATAAACCTTTGCAAATCAATCGAATGTGTCACTTCATGTAAGTCCTTTATTGTCCTTGCTATTGTGCAGCTCAACCTTTGCTCTAAGAATCAATTATATCTATATTCGAATGTTTTCTAGTCATACACGAAGCTAAGCAGCTCAAATTTGGAACTCGCTTCGACCGTAGTCACACACGTTAATAGGCAGATAACACGTCAGACAAGATCTACTCATCATGCTGCGCTCTAGTTTCTCACATGCGGTCTCCGCATCGACCTTATGCCGTGTCTTGTACACCACACGCGCTATGTCATCAATTCCGTCCTTTGCCACCGTTGACCCTAACTTTAATGGTACTAACCCGACCGACGGATTTAATCTGGGTACGTTGTTTTTAACCTCATTTCTTTGTTTATTCCTCTTGTGCTTGAATCTTAATTCAACTTCTATGAGAGTTTGTAGTAAACGGCAAATGGACAAAGTCTGCTAAGGTTGAAACAATCATTGACCCATTGAATGGTGAGGCCTTTATGACCATGCCACTTACACAGAAAAATGAGCTTCCACCTTTTGTGGAGAGCATGAGAAGCTGTCCTAAACACGGTCTGCATAACCCTTTAAAGAATATTGACCGTTACGTCATGTACGGTGAGATTTGTGCTAAGGCAGGCACGTTGTTTCGTGAGGAAAAGGTGGCTGATTACTTTGCCAAACTTGTGCAGCGCACGTCACCTAAGAGTTACTTCCAGGCTCGCAATGAGGTGAGGGTGACAGGCAAGTTCCTAGAGAACTTTTCGGGAGACCAAGTGCGTTTCCTGGCACGCTCGTTTGCTGTCTCAGGTGACCACCAGGGCCAAGAAAGCCGTGGCTATCGCTGGCCATACGGTCCCGTGGTGCTCATCACGCCTTTTAACTTTCCCATCGAGATACCAGTGCTACAGATGATGGGAGCTCTGTTTATGGGCAACAAGGTGCTTCTCAAGGTGGACTCGAAGGTGTCCATTGTCATACAAGAAACTCTGCGCCTGCTACACGAATGTGGCATGCCGTTGACCGACGTGGATTTTATCAATACAGACGGTGCGGTGATGAACGATCTGCTTTTGCAGATCAAACCACGCAACACGCTTTTTACTGGGTAGGCATGTAGTTGTATTTGAGGAAGGTGGGTCAGTGAAAGTAGCTAACTCTGGGCGTTGTGCTATCGATACGTAGATCGCAAGCTGTTGCTGAGAAACTTGCAAAGGACCTGAATGGTCGGATTAAGCTAGAGGATGCTGGCTTTGACTGGAAGGTGCTCGGTCCCGATGTTCGCGACTTTGACTACGTCGCTTGGACGTCTGACCAGGTACGTATGTCTGCCATCTTGTCACGCAAGAATTTTGTTTGATGATTATGTTTTACGCCTTTCAGGATGCGTATGCTTGCTCAGGACAGAAGTGCTCGGCGCAGTCTGTTCTATTCGTGCATAAAAACTGGGCGAAAGCTGGTTTGGAGAAGAAACTTGCCGAGCTCGCTTCCCGACGAAAGCTGTCGGATCTGACGGTTGGTCCCGTGCTGACGGTCACCACGAAGCGTATGCTTGACCACGTTGCGGCTCTGTTGAAGATCCCAGGTGCTCGTATCGCATTTGGAGCGGAAGAGCTTGGTATGTCTGTACATCTGTCGTATGTGACTGTCGAGTTGTTGCTAATGTTTTGTCTTTACACAACTGCAGAGAACCACTCGATTCCCAAGATATATGGTGCGGTAAAACCCACTGCTATATTTGTTCCGCTCGAAGAGTTTGTCAAGACAAAGAACTTTGAGCTTGTCACCACGGAGATTTTTGGTCCGTTTCAGATCCTGACTGAGTACAATGATAACGAGCTGCCCCAAGTCCTGGGTGCTTTAGAGCGCATGGACGCTCACTTGACTGCAGCTGTGGTCTCGAATGATCAGAACTTTGTAAGCGAAGTGCTTTCAGCGACGGTGAACGGCACGACCTACAGCGGCATTCGTGCAAGAACTACGGGTGCACCGCAGAACCATTGGTTTGGCCCAGCCGGTGACCCGTGCGCTGGCGGGATTGGTACGCCGGAGGCAATTAAGCTTGTGTGGTCCTGCCACCGTGAGATCATCCATGATGTTGGCCCTGTGCCGGCTAACTGGTCGATCCCCGAGGCTACTTGAATTGTCTGCAGTGTATACGGATGATGACATTATATTGTTGCTGTGCGGCACTGAAATGTAAACGACTCGTCAAGCTTGCACAGACATATCAAACTGTCACTATGCAATGATTTTGCTCCAACTAAACGTGGCGGTTGTGTGTTTATCATGTCCAGTCTTATTAAGCAAACGTAGCACTTCGATTAGCACACTGCTATTTGTATATGATGGTTCATATTGATAGTAACGAAACATTGATAAAGCAACAATCGATAAGACGGAAGTTGTGTTTGTGATGGAGAGTTAGAGCGGGTCTAAATGCCATTCTTTGATGACAAAATCGTCGTACGTGGTTCCTTCTGTTCAATCTTCTAAATATGGAAGTGCATAGAGTTTGACGTGGAAATACAGTTATATGCCAATCCTGCACAAGCTAGACGGATCCCATGTACCATCCTGACGAGGACATGTACCACATATCTGTCATTTTCAGGCTATCCACATTTTCTTGGGATAGCCTGAAAGTTACAGGTTGGTTAAAGGTAAGTACAACGTCTAGCACCATGCTGTGGAAATTACAATGCACCACATGGTTCGCACAATAGACGTGCTGAGTTTGCTTAATAAGACTGGACATGATAAACACACAACCGCCACGTTTAGTTGGAGCAAAATCATTGCATAGTGACAGTTTGATATGTCTGTGGAAGCTTGACGAGTCGTTTACATTTCAGTGCCGCACAGCAATAATATAATGTCATCATCCGTATACACTGCAGACAATTCAAGTAGCCTCGGGGATCGACCAGTTAGCCGGCACAGGGCCAACATCATGGATGATCTCACGGTGGCAGGACCACACAAGCTTAATTGCCTCCGGCGTACCAATCCCGCCAGCGCACGGGTCACCAGCTGGGCCAAACCAATGGTTCTGCGGTGCACCCGTAGTTCTTGCACGAATGCCGCTGTAGGTCGTGCCGTTCACCGTCGCTGAAAGCACTTCGCTTACAAAGTTCTGATCATTCGAGACCACAGCTGCAGTCAAGTGAGCGTTCATGCGCTCTAAAGCACCCAGGACTTGGGGCAGCTCGTTATCATTGTACTCAGTCAGGATCTGAAACGGACCAAAAATCTCCGTGGTAACAAGCTCAAAGTTCTCCGTCTTGACAAACTCTTCGAGCGGAACAAATATAGCAGTGGGTTTTACCGCACCATATATCTTGGGAATCGAGTGGTTCTCTGCAGTTGTGTAAAGACAAAACATTAGCAACAACTCGACAGTCACATACGACAGATGTACAGACATACCAAGCTCTTCCGCTCCAAATGCGATACGAGCACCTGGGATCTTCAACAGAGCCGCAACGTGGTCAAGCATACGCTTCGTGGTGACCGTCAGCACGGGACCAACCGTCAGATAACGCGGCTCAAACAAAATCCGTCAGTCGGTTTAGTACCATGAAAGTTAGGGTCAACGGTGGCAAAGGACGGAATTAATGACACGGCGTAAGGTCGATGCGGAGACCGCATGTGAGAAACTGGAGCGCAGCATGATGAGTAGATCTTTTTTGCCGTTTGTCTACCTATTAATGTGTGTGACCACGGACAAAGCGAGTTCCAAATTTGAGCTGCTTAGCTTCGTGTATGACTAGAAAACACTTAAATATAGATATAATTGATAGTAACGGGTATATCAACAAGATGTCGTATGACAAATCTATTGTAAGCAGTATCGTGTTTCGTTTAGTACTTCTTCCACAACCGCTATAAGCACTTCGTGTGATACAATTCCACTGATATTCGAACGCCATAAGATCAATTCTGGTCTTCTCTTTTCCCTACGCCCGGCAGGATGTGTTGGGTTGGGTAGTATTTACTCCAGCCCCGGCCGAAGCACAACGACAAAAGAAAATGCCTTGCAATGGTTTACGACTCGGTCGGATCAATACACCCAGTCGTGCATCATGTAGACGACGAGGAGGCATGCATGTAACGCCCAGATCAACGTCACACCCCGGGATCCCGCGAAGACATATCCCATGAACGTTGCACTGTCGAAAGCGAGTTGGGACTTATCAAATGCCTCGTCCATGGCAAACCACCATGGTCTAGCGCCGCATAATTTTGCATTGCCGACGAAAGGGGCAGCTGCTGAGAGCGGGCAATGATCATTTCTGGACGGTTGCTCTGAAGCCGTTATGGCACCTTCTCGTGGGCAGACAACCCGTGAATCTTGGCCGTAGATCGCTGAGCTGCCAGTTGGCGATGGTCCATATAGGTTTTGATGTCTGCCAAACGGGGCGGACGGAACACGCCTTTACGTTCCGCCGTCCACGATACTCGACACTCAACTTACGCCGTTGGACAATTGCTGCTTATCTGGCCTCGTCGCACGTGGAGGTTGGTGTGTGTCTCAACGCAGCGGGTGCCCTCACGCTTCGGCACCTCCGCCGTTCATGCACGCTTTTGTGGCAGGTCACCACCCGGGCGTGATTGAAAGAATTCACGCAGGACCTGACGACTGCTCACTGCCGTCTCACGCAGACCAGTATTGGAATCCGCAGGAAATTTGACTGAGAAATGTCTGCGCTGGAGGTGGAGACTGACAAACCTCGCGCCTTTTGCAGCCGCTCTCAGGTACACCGGGATCGTTTGCGAAGCTCGCTTAGCCTCCACGGGTTTCCCTGGACTTGCCTCGGACTATTTTGTGCGCCAGTCTAATGGTCTGTCTTAATTGCCTGGTGTAGGCCCATTGCAAAATGGACTTTGGCAACCCATTGATCGGCTTCACTCATCGGCTTGCGAATAACGCTGCAATCGCAAGCAGCAACACGAAATCATGGACCAGGGCACCCATACCCTATGGACTCGTCAGCACGCCTCACAGATTATCAAGTTTGGACTGCAGATCGGATTGCTACCCGCCAACAAGCTTCTATTACGCGTGTCGCCCACCATCCCTGCACCACTGGGACCTGATGAGCCGGCAGCGAGAGCGCACGACACCTTTTCTGAAGCTGTCCGTTTGCCCAAGCGACTTGGGCACGACGTATCGGGCACTAAGAATCGATACATGGGTACATCCCGGGCGATTGAAACGATGGAACGCGTTTTTGCGGCTCAAACCAAGTTGCCCTTTTCGGCATATGTGCCCATCGAAACCGGAAGAAGCCGATGGCATTGTTGCCGATTGAATCGATGTTGGACGGTTTTCTGCACTATCGCAATCACGAGTGGTTGAATCAAGCGTGTTAGTTGTGTCTTTCGCGGCAAACAGATGACGGCACAAGAAGAGGCGACGGCCTCCTGGACGGGGGCAATCGCAATCCGGCAACTTGAAGCCGTCGCGAGACGCAACCACCGCAAAGGGGGCGCCGTTATCTGCTGCGTCACACTACACGATTGCATCGAGTAATCGAAAGACAACGTTGCGTGAGGGCAAGTTGAAATTGTCACACCTCCACTCGTGACCTCAGGGCTTTTGGACCAGCGTGCAAATGAGGTGTCCTTGACGGCAAATAGTTCGACTGTATGATGTAACAACTTTCTACATACTGTCGCGTAGGCCCTCGCGCGCACTTATTAGTCAAACACAAGCGAGGTTGTTGTTATTTTAAGCATACATGGAAGTGATGAGGCGTTATTCGTTCAAACAGTGAGGTTTAGAATGTCTATTGCTCTTAAGTACAAGATTTTTGGTATGTCCGTAGCCGAGATAAGAATGCAGGCGTCGAAGGGCGCGACGATGTGTCAGGACACTTCTCGTGTGAATCCGTAGACTGTCTCGGTAAGTAGATTCGGATCTACATGAACTTTGTGACGTCAATCCTGGATGTTGACGACTGAATGCAATCATGATGTGAGCAATGTGCATAACCGTTTGGTTTGCATTGAGGTGATTTTTTGATGGAAAAGCCAAACAACAACAACAAAACCCACATTGTCAGAAATCACGCACGGCCCTCTTGGTATTAAAACACCTATTGTCAGCTAAGCTACCAAAAAGAATCCCATGGTTTGCTCGATGCTGTAACCGTTCCGGGCCCTTCGATCGGTTCGGCTGCTTTACCATACGACGCATAAAAAATGTCTCGACCAATTCGTTTGTCAAACCTATTGACTGGGATGCCTTTTGCAATAGCCCTTCGTAGAAGACACCACGACCTTTGTTGTTGCAGTCACCGCCAATGCCGAGGACGATGCCGCCCTGCTTCTTCATCTCTTTATATTTCTCTGGACGCTCTCCCAAGTAGATCTCTTCAAGCATACTATACTGCGCATTTCCCGTTCTAAGAGCAAACTGTCCTCCCGTACGACCGAGGAGCATAGCAGTCACGAACTCGTACGTCACCGAGGGATTGTTTGGGCAACACGTTTCGGCACAACCGAAAAGACCATTACTCATATCCACCATTACCCACGGGCCATTGCCGACGCCACAGCCATGGTTCCTATTGCTACCAAAGTAAATTGCTTCCATTGTACCGGGATCATAGTTAGCAGTCTTCTTAGCGTTACCGTAAGTAAAGTAACAGCCGTCATTGAAAACTTTGCCATTTACCACCATGTAAATGATTTGTGCTTCGTCTCCCACTGCGAGACCTTTCGCGTTAATAATATTCTGATAGCCACTTCCTGGCTCAATTGCCAAGCCATAAAGCTTTGTGGTCGGAGAGTATGACCGGACTACCATTAGCACTCGCGAAATGACTGGGTTTGTCACTAGCTTCACAGGTAAGAGGTGGGGTCAAGTGATTTCCATTGCCAGACTGGTCGTAGATGATTGAAAAACACCGGAGATACCGACAAACCCATTCGACCTGCCAATGTAGAGAGTCGATCACGATTGGTGGTGTCAAGTCATACGGCGTATATTTCAAGCCGGGGGTCGCATACGTCAATGAAACGCGAAAGGTCTTGCAATGGGAGACGAAAACCAAGTCATTGACATGGTTGCAGCTGGCGTTGCTTTCAATACTGCCTGTTGTTTACTTTCGGTAACGTCAAGCTAATTTCCTTTTATGGTATCGGTACGATGAAAGGTATTTCTTGGTTCAGTAAAAAGTATGGTCGTGGCGCTGGCAATGAATGGTCCGTGGGTAATGGCAGATATGGAAAATGGTTTTTTTGGTTGTGCCGAAAAGTCTTGTCCGAACAATTCCATGGTGAAGAACGAGTTCTTGACTGCCATGCTCAAGGGTGGCTCTGGTAGGACCCTTTCTCTCAAAGTGAGTAATGCGCAGTCTGGAAAGCTCAAACCCATTTACGAAGGCCTTCGTCCAAAAGACTATTTAGTGATGAAGAAGCAGGGCGGCATTGTCCTCGGCATCGGCGGCAACCGCGAAAACAACGGTTATGGTGTCTTCTACGAAGGGGTTATTGTAACAGGTATCCCAAACCTTTTAACTAACGTACTCGTTCAACAGAACATTGTTCATGCGGCCTACGGTGGTAACTCCGAACAGTTTGCAAATTAGCTCCAGTACGAAGCCTTTGAGTGGGCTAGATTGTATTTTGTAGCTAAGCTCACAATAATAGGCTGCAAATAAAGACAGCGGTCAGTTTTGACAACTTGAGTATTTGTTGGCCATTTCCATCGAATTAAACTTAATGCAGACTAAATGACTATGCGGATGGTTCTCATCACGATTCCATTCACCTTCAGTATCTGAGAACAACGATTGAGAAAGATAGCTTGGATGAACAAAGCATTTGTTGTAAGCCTTAATCATACGTTGCGTGAGGGCAAGCTGTAGCTATCACTGTCACTGTCACTTTTTCGTATCCTCAGAACTTGGAACAGCGTTCGATGAGGTGCTTGACGGCAAATAGTTTGATAGCACGTTCTAACAAGCTTTTTTTGATACCGTCTTGAGCCATGACGTGCATTTTTTAGTCAAAAGAAGACAATGTTTCGCATAAGTCTGGTTACAGTAGCCTGAATATATGTGCCATCGAATTTACAACTCCTCCAACTCCCAAGTTAAAGTCTGCTTTGCTTCAGTCTCAGAGATAACTTGCGACGTCCATTGATCCTCCTTCATGGTCATGTCGTCAAGCAGCTCGTGCAATTCCACAGTCGGGGCAGCTACATCGTCCTCCTCCATAGCGTTGGTTTCCGTGGTCTGCTTGGTCTCATCTTTATACAGGTTAATCTGGGAACGCATTTCCTTATCTTCCTCCAAATCATCCAAAAACTGCTCATAGTCCTGCTCCACCTTCAAAAGATCAGTTTTGCAAACGGAATCAACCTGGTTCACACCTTCCATCTTCTTCAGCTTCCAGTTGCGTGCGCGCTTTTGAGTCCGACGTGGAAATGTCTTCTTCACAAGTACAACATCTGGCAATGACATTCCCGATTGAGCGAGCGGAGCCAAGTCGGAGTCATTAAACACAGCAGATGAAAGGTCGTAGCCACGAACAAAATCACCAACATGCAAAATCATGCCCAGATGGCTCAGAGTGCTGAGTCGTGTGTCGTTTACGCCGAAATCAGCATTACGCACAATCTCCATTTCAGCAAGTCGGGTCTTCCGAGTCACTCGGATCGGACGGCCACCACGAGTAGGAATTGCCATCGGAGTCGTGTTCAGGACCGTGAAGTCTGTCATGGTCTTGGTAGACCGCAACCCTCGGAACGGATAACGCCAATACTTTTCAGAATCGATCTCCGCCACTTGGGTAGTGAACGGGTCGATTACATGGATTGAGGAAGTAACGGACTGCACGAGGCACAAGCAGGACATGTTGCCCAGCATACGGGCCAGCTTTATTGGTAGCACAACCAAGTCGTCTTTGCATACCGGTACAATCTCCACTGCGTATGTAAACTTATAGTTGTGCGTGTTGCTGTGGTTGTCAGCGGAAATCAGCTTTTTTGCAGTCTTCAATTTCATCGGTATAGACTCCTGCAAGAAATCCACAAAACGCAGCGCATGATTACGCTCCGAAAAGAAAAAGTCGACACCATCTGGTTGGGACTCAATGTTCGTGGTCTTTTCGTGAGCGCGGTGCTTGAGGATAAGTTGCTCCAAGAAGAAGAACGTGCGCTTGTGATCCACACGTTGGCGCGCTTGCACCACTGCACGCCACGACTGGTTAGCAAACGAAGCCTGACATGTGTCACACTGCTGATTACGCACGACAAAGGTTACGACGAACGACTGTTGCATAATCATTTTGCTCATGACCTCCTTCTGCACCGTAAGCTTAAGCTTAAGGCGTCGCGAGTGAGGTTCCGTCCAGACCCAATTGGCATCAATTAGTTTAATGCGATTCAAGTTATTGATTTTCTTTAGACACATGGCGAGTAGCTCGCGTGACTCGAGATCAGCGGTTACCCAAGGCGGGCGCAACCAGCGCATGCAGCCACGGCACTGATGGATAATCACTTCCTTGGGAATTCCTTCGGTAACGTCAACCTGAGACTTAAGACAGCTCACACACGTATTGGCAGCATTTGCTACGATGGGCGTTGCGCATATGCAACATAAACTGCCACAAGATACAGTGGATACACGTATTTATGATCATCAAGTGAGCGCAAGATGAGCATTCGTATTATAGAGAAAACACGTACATGATTGGCATTTGACTCGACACAGAGCTCATGATGGAACCGTAATGAGAAGCGACGGGCACAAGAGCGAATGGGTAGGAAGCGTTGCGCACGTTAACCAATCGACAAAGCGATCGAATTACTTAGTATCTACCAATCAGAGAGGACAAACACTTTTCTACCAGTGATTGAATCAGTTGGCAATTTTTTCCTTACAAGTCTTTATTCAAGTATGGATGGTGGAGCGACCCCAGCAGCAGGCACGGCCGGTTTTAGTGCCACTGGTGCGATGATTAAGGATCCGGAGATTAAATACATTTGTGGAGACTGTGGCATTGTCAATTATCTATCAGCCCGCGATCCTATTCGTTGCCGTGCATGCGGCTATCGCATTATGTACAAGGCGCGCACGAAACGTCTCATCCAGTTCGAAGCTCGGTAAATTGATGACGAAAAGCCAAGCAAACGACTGCAGCAGTTGTCGCAATGTCTATAATTGCAGGAAGTATACATCTGAGCAATCAAGATGCTGTGTATACTTGGTAGTAGATGTAAGGCTTTCATTCATACGTACTTGAACAAAAATTTGCCTTCATACGCTCAAATTGTTGTAATGAAAAGACAATGAAATGAATGTAACAAAATGGTCGGTGATGTGGTAATCCAATTAATACTTCACACAAAATACTAATTATTCGTAGATGCCCTCAACTACGTGAGAAACGGAGACTCTTCAGCAAAACGCAAAGTGCCCACTGCTGAGTGTGCATTGCTTACGCAAACAGCCCGAGACGTTCGGGTAGAGAGCGCATATACTGCATGTAAGCATCTTGTTTGAGCTGGTTCGAAAAGTTTTGTTTTCAGCATCTCCGTATCTGCGTCGCAATAGCCAACATCAACATTCGCTGAAGTCTCGATATTCACAAATATACAGACTCCGTCACATAAGTAAAAGGCGTTTTGGCTAAAATCCAAGATGTTTAGAAGTAGCAAGCAGACACCAAACGCAGAAAGAACGAACATGAGTTAAAGCTATCAAACAACTCATTTCACATGCTAGGAATATACATACTCGCGCAGTGTTTGCGGTATATAAAACTACACTATGCCCGCTTTATTGGACCCTTTAAGTTCATAAGCAAGAATGGCCTAGCCTATACGCTTAACCTTTCATAAAAAATGCGAGCACATCCTGTGTTCTATGTCGGCTTACTAAAGCCTAAAATCAATCTTGCCTTTGTAAACATCGAGGGGTTGTCCCATAGACCCGGCCGAAGGAGGCGGGTAGTACAACACCGGAGGTGCATCCGTACCCTGTAGGCATTCCAACAGGTCTATATGGTAACATTACTCTACAATAGAACAATTTATTGCTGCTAATCGATCAAAGGTTGTGACCGATGAAGCTCAAAAGAGCGACGGCACGACTATCAAGAGACGTCAAATGCGACGTTTCCAAACCAAGAGCATCAAGCTGCATGATCGTCAGACGACATTCGATCTCAAAGAGATACTGGCTTGAATAGTCACAACTTTCGCCGGCGCTAATCAACAAGATGTTTCATTAGCAATACCACGTGGAGCGCTTCGTGGCGCGACGTCCTTACCAGTGTCAGACCCAATACCTGGTGAAGTGGAGGGAGTACTACAGTCTTATAACTCGTAGGAGTTCGAGATACTGCTCCGTCAAGATTGACATCAAGTCGCTGACACATTTTATTCGGGACGATCAGAAGCATCGACAGCAGTCACCTTAAGCTTTTTAGCACTGTGTGCTATAAAACCAAGGTCAGTAGCCGGGCTTCGCCGCTGATTTCTACAGAATCAGTGTCGGTACCTCTCTAGCGGGAGAAGTACTGGCAACTGCTTCAGAAGCAAGAAACTCTACAAGCTTCAATTTTTGTGTCGAGTACAATCTTTGCCTTTCATTCAGCTTTACGTAGTTAAAGCTCAGACAAAGTTCTAACTATTCGTCGTGCTAAATTAGGCTTTAGCGCACGTCATTGAATTAGGGATCTTACAAGCTCGTTCAACCCAACGGGTATACGGGCGATCTCTTTTGCTGATGTTTTACCTGGTGCTAACGCCACTGGCACATCATTTAGGGTGGCCATGGTATTCCACATGACTACCTTGATAGTCGCCTTTAATACGATATAATCGTGAGCTCCTGAATAATGAGAAGCCGCTCAAGAAGAGCAACCGATCCGCAACCTCGATGCGGTACGATCCTGAAGCTCAAGGTATAAGAGGTGAGTTAAAGAGAGAGGAGGTCGAGAATTTTTTCATTAAAAAAAAAAAAAAAAAAAAAAGGGGGGGGAGGGTTTGTTTTTTTTTTTTTAAGTTGGGCCGGCTCGTTTTTTTTTTTAAAATAAAAAAAAGGGGGGGGGGGAGGGGGGAGGTTTTTTTTTTTTTTTTCCTCCCCAAGGGGGGGGGGGGTTGGTGGTGGTGGGGGTGGTGGTGTCTTTGTGGGGGGGGGGGAGGGGGGGGGGCGCCCCCCCCCCGCCCCGGCATTGGGGAGTTGGATATCGTGACCCGACAAGACTCAGTGTCTCCGCAATGTCATCATCACTTAAAGATTGCGGCGAAATACCTCATCGATGATGAGGCAGCACATCTGCTTTGTGAGCAGGGACGCAAGCGTATGACTCTTTGCCTGTGTCAACGCACAAAACGCAAAGACTAAAGGTACTCAAGGAGCAAGTTTTGGAAACACTAAAAGGCTGTAGAAGCAAGTGTTAGCAGTAAAAGGTTAATTAGCAAGTACTTAGAAACTATAGAAGCAAGTGCTAGGCCCTGAACGCTCACGGATGAAGCGTTTGGAACACTAAAGGGCTTTGAAAGCAAGTGCTATGCACTACGATCACGGAAGAGCTTTCGTAGCACTTAGAGGCTTGTAGCGCAAGTGCTAGGCACTGTAAATGAGCAAATACTTCTCAATATTGTCGTTTAAAGTAATATTCATACAAAATATCAATCGACACGATAATATTTGCGTTGACACCTACTGATAATGTTAATGATAGGTACCGGGCTCATCTCGTTACACCACTGCAAGAGCTTTGTCTGCATGCTAAGCTGTAAATGGGGGTGGTTGCTGTCCATAATAGTAATGGTATCTGCGCAGCTTGGGCTCGTTGCCAATACGAGATTGCACGTATCTAAAGACGAAGTAGTAGGCACGAGGCCCACAAGTGATCTTAAGATTTCTACTTGTTTAGTCGTTTTTGCTGTTACTTTTTAGTTAGTGTTATCTTCTCCAGAAGCTGCAACAATAGAAAAAGTAAGGCAAATAGACAGCGAAGTGCAACCAAACATGTCAGTGCAACCACAACATGTCAGTGATGCCACATGATGTAGGTTTTTCCACATTGCGATGTCTGGGGTGGTTGATCGTTATACCGATATCGCTATTTTGCATTTGCTATGGAATCGCTTGTTGTAAGTAGTTCTCGCTTATTTGCGAAAAGCGGCACGTAACGATACCGGTACACGTTTAGTATCTCTGTTGTAACCCGCGGGTACGTCGGCAGGCACAGCATGACCACCGAGCGAAATGCCGAAGTGCAGCGGTTGCGCGCATTCATCGATGCCAGGAAGCGTAGTATTGAGACTGCTGAAAAGCACTACGATGTTTTAAGCGCTGTAGCGGAGCTATGTAAACTGGCTGCTCCCTTGGTCAGCCCTGATCGTTTTTCGTCGACGTGGAAGGTAGCATACGAAGCAGTTGTTCAAATGCTGCTATTTCTAGCGTTTAACTAATGTCATTGTAGGATTTGTACGTGGAGCTCTTCTATCGTGAGATTGCAACATTTTTGCTTAGTTTTGTGGCCGTCCACATCGAGATTTGCTTCTCAGAACAAGACCGGAAGCAGGCGTTCGACGTTTTTTTTGACCGCAATGTTGTTCCTTCGAGCCGAGTGATTGGCGCACTAACAGCGACACTATCTACAATTAAGGCAAAAGATGATGCAACCGATGAAACGGCGGGAAAAGATGCAGAAGTTTCAATGATGCAGTGTGTCCGGCTGCTGGAGAAAGCTATTGTTGCCGGCGGCGTAGAAGTCGCCGTGACAGAAATGCTGGTGCAAGAGGAGGCATGCAAATTTTCAAGTTAATTGCATTGCTATATGGTTGAGTTTCTCTTTCAGCTGATGTAATTTATCTATTTTAGAAATTGGCCGCAGGCAGCGTGAAGAATACAACCAGCCTCCAGGTGCTCGTTTTGCAGCTTTCGTCGTTGCCAGGTATTGTCTAGCTTCGTTATGTTCAAGGATGATATTTGTCTAAAAATAGAGTGGTTGCTTGCTATCCAGACATCATCTTTAATCGCCGCCAGCGTAATACCCCAGCGGCCTTTCGCCCTCACCAATATTTTTCGTTGCTCTGCGATGGGTTGTTACACAGTCTTTTGATGCAAAAGACAAGCGCTAGTCAATCGTGCACCTTCCAAATGTTTGCGAACAAGCTGGTACGCATCGGCCAAGCCCAAGCACTTGTCCAGAGCTGGTTGCGCTCCATCGAAACTGTATCGGATACAAAGATGAACCGCACATTATTTCAAAGTCTTCCCGTATCATGCTACGAGCAAATTCTTGTCCAAATTGCAAACGAAAAGGTTCCGTGCTTTTTAAGCACACAACAAGCGCTTCTTCACCCAAAATACCAGCTTCTTGCCCAAGTCCCTCCAGCAATGTGTTCGAACAAGCAGTTTCAATATGTTGTCACGCACAAGCTGCTCCTTCAAAAGCCGATCGACGACTTTTACTTTTGGCGAGTACTCGTTGACGTTTTGGCGCGATGTGACAGTGATTCACTCCAATCTCCGCTGGCAGCCGTATTTGACGTAGTACTTGCACGGTGGAGCCAAAGCGACTTTGCTGTCAATACCGAGTATACCGTGAATGCTTCGGTTTGCTTTTTTTCTTCGCTACAGTCTGCCCAAGGTTTCAGAAGTTCGTGGAGGGGCAGCATTTATGCAGCAAGATTGGATCACTAAGTTATGCAAAGGGGTTCAAGACCACATGAGTCATTCTCAAGAGTTGGTACGAGCGCTAGGCATGCGGGTGGGGGAGAGCCTATCGCACATAATCGCATCTGAAAAGCCACTAGATTTTGGTCTTGAGAGTCAAGACCCTTTAGCAATCTATGGATGTCCCATGCTACCGGAAGAGCTTGAAAAGCGCAATATGAAACTTAATTTCGGCACCGAAGAAACATCTCGTGAGGTGCTGTTCACGACTGACATGACTTGCAGCAAAGAGAACCAATGTCGACAACAACATATGAGAAAGCACTCTGTTAAACCGTTCACACTTGACCCAGACGAGTTAGTGCTTAGTGACGATCCAGATGCCTCTGAAAGGGATAGCAAATTTGAATTTACCTCCGATAATTCAGATTCTGATTCCAATATGAGCCTGAAAGCGTATGACCTGCACGATGATGAAGAAGACTTGACAGCCAAGCGACCGATGTATTTAAAAGACCTAATTGCGAGTCTTTTGTCAGATGATGATCGCGAAAAAGTAGAAGCTGCTCTGAACGAGGCTGAGACACTACTACGTCGCCAACCACGCGACCTGAATGACAAAGCAGACGAAGTTGTGAAGGCACTACTTCGACTTGAAGACAAGTACAGCACCCCCATGTTTACCAAGCTGCGCTCACAGGCTCTCGCTACGGCCTGTGCATTGGCGCCGACTCAAACTTTGCCGTACCTGAGCAGCCAGGCGCTGGAGCGCGAGCAGTTGCTACAGTCCCGCATTGACGCGCTGCAAGCGATGACCTCAGCCGCTCGAGAGTTATCCGAGAGAGGTGGTGGCTATCAGCGTTCCCAACAGCCCAAGACACTGCTCCATGAAAGTGACTTGGGTACACGCACTGTACAGAGCTTGAAAACACGTCGTTGGGGTTATCGACGCGATCCGCTTGCGACTCCAAAACAAAATGCCTTTGCGCCGCATGCATTGGAATTTTTCTCACCGTTGTTATTCGGGTATGTCAAGTATGTGCGAAAGCATTCTGCACATTCGGGCACCACCTCTGAAAGGTCTCGCAGCGAAGTCGAGCAAACGCTCCTGGCGCATTTACTGCACGCTCTCGCTAGCTTTGTAGAATGTAGTGGAAACGCGCCACGGACGATGGCAATGGCCAAGTGTCTGCTTGAATTTATCTGGACCGAGCGCGCCAACACTAATGCCGAGGTGCGTCGTCAGGTGTTGTTCAGTCTGAGTCGCGTGCTACTAGTTGCGCCGCCAGCGCTGCTGTGGCAAGAGGCAGGTGAGATACTTGCAGAGGTCGCACCGTGGCTGCGCCAGATACAGAAGCGCGACCCGGATGCTGGTTGTCGTGAAGCGGCGCAGCTGCTGAGCTCGTTCGCCTCAATGCCAGGAGCGTTGCTGTCGTCTGATTAAAATCGTTTCGTCATAAATTTGGATTGGTCAATTGTTTTTTGTAATTCTATAATACAAATTTAAGGCAAAAACAAAATGATCTTTACGTGTACCACAACTGATTGTGTATACCACACCCACCCAACTCGTCCTTCGCGCCCCCTTTCGCTCGTAATCATCAAAAGAATCGAAAGTTCAAGCAGTAACAAGGTAGTGCGGTAGTTTTGTGACACGCGCGCGTGACATTTCGTCCCACTCATTGATTCCGTCTCTTACATTCACTCATCAATCGTAATCTTCAATCGTCTTTTCCTTCAGTTGAAGTTTGTTTCTACTGACAGAAAAGATTCGTAAACATCTTCATTGACCTTTTCGACACAGACGAACAAAGTGATGGCGACAGTTGGTGGTTCACCTGTGACATCTGCTAAACTAACAGAGCTTGGGAAAGCATTGAATCAAACGTCGATTTCCAATGTTGATAATGGCGTTCTATCACCTCTTACGACAGGAAAAGCTTCAAGTGATGCATTTAATGAAATGGAAGACGAGCATGATTATAATAATAATGAGGAGGAGGATCAGACGAATGATGGTCAAGTGGTGAGTACACAAACAATGAAACGATCTGCCAAAAGTCCAAAGAAACGTGGACGTACTGATAGTTTGAAGAAAATGCTGCCAGCACCGGCCTCACAGCGACACAAGCAGGTGTTACAATTTCTTCAGTCTCCACTGCAAAGAAGCAGTGGTACTGAAGAAGAATCAGTAGCTTCGCCTTCAGTTGACACATTGCACGAGACGTCATCGCAATTGCAACGAACACAAGGTCAACCTGCAAAGTTGATGGTAAAAGATCGAAGAGGAAGTGGTATGGGCGTCCCACGAGCTCATTTAATTTTAAATGCCGTCAAGCAAGCGCCTCCAGCCAAGGAAAAATCGAATCCAAGACGGTGGTCTAAGCACGAAGATGAGTCACTGAGGTTGGCGGTAGAGAGAAGCGGCGAGCGTAACTGGAAAGCAATTGCTGACCAAGTACCGGGACGAAATCACACGCAGTGTTTGCAACGATGGACGAAAGTGCTTAAGCCAGGCTTGATTAAGGTGTGGATGGCTGTTTTTGTAAAGGGGTGGAGGTAGTGACAAAATTGCTAATAGTTTGCGACTGGTGGAATAGGGCCATTGGACACCTGAAGAAGACGCAAAGCTCCGGGAATTAGTGGCGGAAGGCAAAAAAAACTGGGGACAAGTTGCGTCTCTTATTCCCGGACGGACGTGAGTGCTTTACAAAATGACACTGATGAATGGAATGTTAATCATTAGTGCGACGTAGGTCCAAGCAATGCAGGGAACGATGGTGTAACCACCTGGACCCAAATATTAACAAAGGGTAAGCTGTTTACTGTACACAAGATGGAAGCAATGGTAACGTGCTACTTGTGTTTTGTTCACGTTTCACAGATCTTATACTGAGGATGAAGACAAGATTATCGTTGAGATGCAAGCCAAGTTGGGCAACCGCTGGTCTATAATCGCACAGCAACTTAAGGTGTGAATTGTACTTGATAAAATGTTGGATTCAACCAGAACGTTCGATGTTTGACATTTTTCGTGCTGGTTTTAATAATCCGAACAGGGTCGAACGGAAGATGCAGTTAAAATTCGTTGGAAATCGCTGATGCGTGGACGGCGGGCTGCATCTAAAGAAGAAAAATCATCAGCTGTTTCAACTACGTTGCTTGCAGCTGACACTGCTGCTATCACATCGATGCCATCGCGAGCAGATAAGGAACGACCGAAAATGAAAGATTTGAAGGGTAGCTTTGCCCGTCAAAGTAGTCGTGCTTTAGCAATGGCAAACACAACAGTGAAAACTGAACATGATGTGGTAGCTGAAAACAAAGTATTAGCAGATCCGACTCCTACCGTCGACAACGAGGGTAATTCGGCTGAAAATGTGCCCGACACAGCGTTTGTGAAAAGCATGCAAGCATTGGCTCCTGCATCGCAGCCGGATATAACGACAGTGATGAGTGGGACTACCAACTCGATGCAAGTAAATGACTTAGTGGCTGCATCGATTTACAATTTTCAGATGAGTCAGCGGTTTCATCCAAGCTCGATAGCACATGCTAACACCGCGATGTATCCAGGCTCCAACAAATTGATGAGTACTGTCGCGTCAGGCAACCGACAATCACCTGGTGTTTATTCGATGGGTGACGGAGGGATGGGGGCCTACAACATGACCATGCAACCACAACAGCACCTGTTGCAGCAGCACACCGAACACCAGCAGCTTTTGCCATCGTATCAATATCCACCGGGGTACACAATGCAACAAAACGTGGGTGTGATGTTAAACTACGGGATGCCAACTAATTTGTCGACGTCGAATCGGATGCAGTATTCCATGCCAGTAAGTCTGATTGCAGAAGCTACGTTCCTTGGAGCGGACTCATGGCCTGATGTAGAAGCTAATGCTGGCATTTTTACTCGTGTACCAGGTATCATCTTCGATGCAGCTGATGCCTTCAGCACCAACCTATTCGTCTCAGGCTGCGGCTATGGCAATAGCCAATGCTCAGTATCAACAGCATTCTCAACACCCACCTATTGTGCATCAAGGTTTTAGTGGTGCTCCACTTCATCCTCGAGTCGTGTCAACGGGCACTTTAGTAGGAACATCTACGCAGCCTACGATGCCTGCCACTAGTAATGGACTCACTGCAAATAGCGGCAGCAGCAACGGTAGTGAGGTTAATGGAAACAGCGTGGCAAATGCCGGTCTTCCACCTTCTTCGGCTGCTGTGGCAAAAGGAAAAGGACTGAACACACCACGGGAAGAATGGGGTTCTTCACAGACTCCGCGGTCTCAAATGATTATGACTGAAGGCCACGCATCCGCATACGAGTTGTTTCATCAACAGCGACTTCGATTAATGCTACAGGAGCGAGATAAGCAGGGAATGACGCTATGTTCAGCTCCATCACCGGGCCAAGCGTTACTCACTAAAGAGCTGGAGGCTAATAAAGAGCGCCAAGCGCGACAAGCGATTATGCAGAAGGGGTGGAAAAGCGCGGTGGAATCCATGATCCCTTACAATAGTGTCAGTGTACGAACCAGGATTGCTCGACGTATTATATGGATTATGTTGGTGTAACTGCTTTAATGTCTTTGTTGTTGTTTTTGTAGGATTTATCGACCTTGGACGATCAGCAACGGTATGATGGTCTACTTGAGAAAGTATCACTGTCGGCTCTCGATCCAACAGACGACGGGCTGCTTGACGAGACAGTCGACATTGTATCGGGAGGTATGCGTTTTACCGTTGCGTGTGGTATGTGGTAGAAGTAATAGGAGCAAGTTGCTGATGCTGCTTGTTTTTATGTGAATGGCGACAGATGATACCGTGGACCTATGATTACAATATGCACTCATTGGCTCAAGCAGGGAGAAAGAGCCGACAGTCGTGCTTGTGTTTTTATTTGTACATGGCACCGTGTAAGTTAAAAAAAAGTATTGAATTGATTTCACCGCGTGCAGAATTCAATTGCAATAGCGCCAGATTCTGTCACTTTGCTACTTCTTAAGACTTCATCCTCGACACAATTCATTGTTAAGCAAAGCGTACCCTGGGCGAATTTTTACAAGAGGAAGGTACTTGCATAGTAAACTAATCGGCTTTCGACAAAGTACGGTCAACTTGGCTCAGCTATCCATATACCAGTGTCAAATTGCGTTTCTTAATTAAAGCGAGAGGACTTAGTCAGTATCTACGCCTAAGCACCCGTTTAGTTTAGGATATTTGTTCCAGTGACTACTCGAACTTGGCGCTCAGCAACATCTGACGTTCTTGATTGAGGACTTCAACAGTGTTTAAGGTCCTCATTTCAACCGCCTCCTCGTCCTAGTTTCGACGAATGGTTGCCCAAAGGTGCCCTGACGACCGGATGACTTTGCTGCCAATTATATTCAGTGTTGGGCGATCCTCTGCACGCCGCCACCACAAGCTTCTGGATCAAGCGTGTTGATCGTATCATCCGCGGCGAACGGGATGATGGCACAGGAAGAAGCAGTGGCCTACTGGACGGAGGCAAACTGAAGCCATCGCCAGACGCGACCACCGCAAGGCGGACGCTATCATCCGCGGCAGCGTGTTACACGCGATCATTGAGATCCTCATCGCTCATCCAGAGAGTCCACGGAGCGTATGAGAGTTGTTCTGACCTAGCGTCGCGCGTTTCGGCGCACGCGTTTTTGTCTCAGCTACGGACATATTAAAACCTTGTACTAAACTGTAAAAATCGACATTCTGAATCTCACTCAACAAACAAGATGAAGTTTACCAACAGTCGTAGGAAACATTATCATGTGAAGCAAAATTCTTCATTTACTTGTTGCAATTCGTGCTGCTGTCGGCTTCTCGCCTGCAAAGTCGCTGACGCCTCATTAACCTCGCTTGGCCGAATCAGGTGAGCAAAGGATCTCAACTTCCCTTCAGCAGGCGCGCCCCAATGCGACAAGTTTTTCATTCCCGAAGACAAGGCTGGGTCCCATATAGGTTTCCACTGTCCGTTCAGCTCAGCCACCTTCTTTTGTGAATTATGGAGTAAAGAATCAACTAATGATTTATTGCCAAATGATAAGCATTCGTCACTCGGTGCTTATAATGTAAACAATACTTGCTGACTTTCTATTCATCATTATAATGGTCCTCTTTGTCGTCATCTTCGTAAAACTCATCATTATCACCATCATCGAACTGCACATCTACAGGCAACGAAGCCATGGCGTATAGCACGAGAGCGGCAATGGCACCAATAATAACATTACGAGATCCCTTCTCAAAAGCTTTACCTTGTTCTTCATTTATATCTGACTGCTGTTCAACTTCCTTCTCACGCTTTCTCAAGGCAACCTCCGATGCGAGCACTCGACGACTCCAGTCCAAGCTTCGGTAAGGCTTCAGAAAAACCTCTTGCAATGGCGGTGACACCTTTTTCATAAAGGCACCATCTAGTGACGTCGCTACAAAGTAATTGGCTCGATTTTCCGAGTACACAACCTCCTTGCTAAGACTCGTGGGCTGTTCATCATGACCACCAAAGTACACGTCACGGATGCGCTCCGCCAGCGTGATGAGCAGTGGTGCATGCTGGTGTAAGGTGGCCACCAGCTGAGAGTTGCCCAGCGCGTCAACAACGTGACCAAACACGGCTACATCCAGTGCACTGGGCTGGTCTCCGAAAAAATAGCGAGTGCTAGCACTCTCTAGCTTCGTATTGAGTGCCGTATAGCAATCACGAGCAATGACGTAAGCTTGTTCTTTCGTTGAGATGCCGTACGACCGCAGCTTGTCCATTGTCTCTCGATGCATCTTCTTCGGCAAAAGGAGATTTAGAGGGAATGGGATGTACCGTTTCATATGCGGACGCGTAACTTCTCGATACGTTGATGAGTCGACCCACCGACAGTACATCATGACACATTGCAACTTCTCCGAGAGCATCGATTGATAAGCGTACGACTCACTACGCTGCGTATCGCTCAAGAAGTCGTCAATATCCTTATGAAACTACACAACAACCAAATAAAAGCTCAGTCAGACCTCGAAATGGGTTAAGAATGTACTTAAGCGTTTCCCACGAACTGTTTGTAAATGCATCATGATCTTGTCTTTCGGCAGCAAAAAGTTTCCATCACTGAGTTGAGGTAATTCACCTGGTTAATATCATCAAAGCCCCAATTAATGAGCCACCAAGATCTCCATTCAACTACTACAACCTCAAATAGTAACAAAAGCAATTTATAGTTACAATACCTGTAGCCTCATACATCGGGTACTTGGAGTTGTGCACATGGAGACAAATACCTGCCACACGCAAATAGGCCTGTACATCCCAAGCTGGTAAGAATTGATGTAGTACAAGTACTGAACCCAACTCTTTGGATGTTTTGGGTGTATATTCCAGCTCCGTTGCCTGTATCAAATCGTCGTGCAGGCGATCAGCATCCGGTACCAACGGATGGAAGCGGTCAGTTGGGAACATGTTGATGCTTGTGTTTGAAATAAACCCCAAGGGGGTATTGAACTATTGGACATAGATTAATTCCTCCTGAATTATCGACTAAGTACGATCACACGCAAATAAGCTAGTGAGCTGTCGAGTTAATATGATACGTTTTATGAATATGGTAGACTTGGTGTATATTACAGCATAGAGAAGATCATACTAAAGCTTGAAGATGTGGAAGCGCTCAAGATCTGTTAATTACATGAGATGTGTCAAAACTGATTAATGACATGTGCTACATCGAGTAGGACCTCAAGCTGGATGCGCTTCAGACAACACGTAAGAAGCGACTGTGTGTTAAAAAGGTTACACACTGGACGACACGGAAGGCACCAAACGAGCTCGCAACATTTCTAATTACTCGTTGTTCAAGTCTCGTGGCAGCCTGACGCTCTAGCTGCAGAATGTGGCTTTCTGTAAGAGAGAGGGTAGCAATCGAGTCTTGACTGCCGTTGTTTCCAGAGCACCGCAGTCGCACCTACGCAGTGCTGAATAATGGATTGAAGCAGCTGCTTATATGAATGAGTTCGAGACCGAGAAGATTATTATAAGCTCGAGATCAATGTGACAAAATGAAACACTCTCTTCATTAAGAAGCTTTTCGCAGACTAGGTAGTTACACGCTTTGCTTCTTCCAGTCAGATGGCGTTCTTGCTGGAGTATACTTGTGTCAAGCTCAGAAATTTGCGTTTGTAGAGCTACGCACTTCTCCGTTTCTCGCTATTAAGTAAACCGACTTGATACCGCATAAAATGATCCGAATGATGTGTCAAAGGTAATGGGAAAGCTTTGCGACGCGAGCCATTCCCACTTGTCGAACATCTGACTGCTGCAGTCCCGGCTCGTGCTTCGCACAAACTACGAAGTAGTGGACATAAGCCGTTCATCCTCTTCTTAGCGTCGCCGCATCTCGTGCAGCTCAATCATGAAGTGAGCTTGCTAGAACAGCGACCTTATGGGTGTCGCTGCGTCTGTGTAGAGACAGCATTGACAAATTTGCAACCAATTACGACGCCTAGTTTGCAATTGACAGCCGTCTGTTTGGACTGCTTGTTAGAATCGCGGAGACTCCGAGCAATATCGGAAAAGCATTTGAGAACGCCCTAGGCGCGAAGGAACGTGGATCAGCAACTTGAAGCGCTTCTTCACCAGCAATACGTGGCGTGGGCTGAAAGCGCAACTTCACGACAACTGCTGAAGCACGTTTGTTCGTTATAAACCAAGTGTATCGTAGACAAGCAGCTATTACTTTCGTCAGAGAGATTCGTTTCTGTTGTTGTGCGTCTTTAATTCGTATTTGTACGGAAGAGTTATCTTTTCGTGAGAACCATAAAGTGGGTGATTTAGATTTGCTTATATTGGGTTAACACCCCAATAATTGCCAATAGTGAATAACGTGTAGTATCCGCTATTTGGATACTACATATACCTACTTATGTCAGTATGTAAAAATAAAACCTATAACTACTCAATATAATGTGTTTCCCTATTACATTGTCACCTTCTTGCGAGTCGCAATAGAGCTGATATCAGCCAAACATCAGCTATCTCTTCCCTTTAAGTCTTTGTGTTACTTCTCAATTTACTTTCTCGGGCACACATCGTCCCCGAACCGTTCCCTGTTTTTTGTCCTCCACCGGACAACTACCGCCGCCGTCGGAGCACTTTGCGGAGCGCTTTCACCAGTTTCTCTTTGCGGAGTATCTGAGACTACATTACGACGCTGCTGCCCGCAGGCAGTTAAGCGCTTTCAGTTTCGGCTGCTAGCTCATTCCTGCTGTGTGGTAAGTAGCTTGCGCTAGGTCTTTTTCGAAAGAAATCGACTATGTTATCTAAAACTAGACGGACTACTATCATCGTAGTGTGGTCAATGTTTAAGCGCTAGGACGTTCTGCAGTTTCTTTACCATCTGCATACAGCTAACTTTAAGTTGACTGAGGCTACGTTGTTGGCAAGCTCTTAGGCTGCACAGACTACTTTGTCCTGGTAATGAAATACCTTCGACTTGAGTTTGTTTCGGTGCGCTTGTATACGGATCGCAGTTCCGATATACCCCTACCTGCACGTCGTCGCCTCACTTTAAGGATGTCTGTCACACGTAATTCTCCCGTTAGCACGCCTTCGACGGCGGCTACAGCTTTTCGGGCGGCTCCCACCCCGTCCCCACGTTCTGTCTCCGATGACTCCTTTTAAGGGCGAGTCTTCAGCGGTTCAACGACGTACACTCATCTGATTTGGACCGTCTCTTTGCTGCTCTTGCACCACTACAACCCTGTGGTGCCTAAGCTACGTACTCGCATGTAAATCCCTGCCAGTCATTTAATGCCCGAGCATAGTATGTTCAAGATCCTTAAATCTCCAGCGACTGACAGCAAACCATCCGTTTGGCGCCATTCCAGCGCCCATCTTTGGGATTTCAACCGTATCCCTGGGCATGGTTTTGATTTTGTCTCCACGTCAGACGATGCTCTCCGTCGCCTGGGCGACGTGCAGCTTACAATTTGTGGAATCACGGTTTATATTCGCAAGTGCTCCTGCTTTAAAAAGCTTTACTGTGTGGATCTGCAGCGCTTACCCGCTGATGCTACCGACTTGGCGGTGTTTGACTGGATTGATGCCCGGGATGCACACCCGGAGTTGACCTTGACTACCAATTTCTTAGGAACCAAATTCAAGGTCACGGATAGTCTACTCCCATTCTGTCGCTTTTCCCTCCTCAATTTTTTAGCCAATTGGCGATCTACTTAGAAACTACATTTTATTGACAGGAAAAGTCCATGTTGATTCAACATCGCCTTCATCGGTTCAACCGCTTTCGGCCACCGTCTCGCCGGGCGCCTGATCGCCCACCATCTATTCGCTCTAACGCCACTAGGCGCAGCGACGACGGTGCCACCACTTCTGATGAGATGCCGTCCACTGCGGACTATAGTCCCTCCGTCTCGCTGCCTTCTACGATTCCGTCCCCTGCTATGTCACCGGTACGGGCTATAGCATCACCAACTGCTACATTTGGCTTTAACAAGGACAGGCTTCTTATATTGAGATCTGTTGCTACAGACGACCTTATGTAAAAACTGGCTCAACATTCTCAGCATGGAATCATTAATCGGAACGGGCCTTAATATATCAAGCCTCCAAGCGCAGTGCCGTGTTAGTTGGATGAAGGTCCCGATGACCCCCAATTGCTCCTTTATTTGATTCCAGTCATGCCCACCATGTATGAAGTCCTTCACGACGACGGAATGATGCATCTCAGCCTCCTGATGTGGATATTGAGCCGTCCGGACTGGACAAATATACTGACTTAACCGAGCATGTTTCGGAATTTACTACGGACTCCGACCTTGTGCCTGCCCCGATGGGCATCCGCGCTCTTATGAACGCACGGAAGTTACCTTTACAAAATGAGCAAGTGTCGGTCCACGAACTCGACCACTTCATTGATGAGTACTTGGCGGGCGACTTTTCGTCGTTTCCTCTCACGATGATGTCCTAGCTGCTGCCTAAGTGCAGCCGGCGTACTTTCGCCACCTTTTCAAGTTGCCTGTTTTGCATCAGACTCGCCCTTTGTAGCGGCATGCTTCCTATCGTTATAATAGTGCAAAGCCACTTCAGCCGGCCAAAGATTTAGAACGCTATCACTCGTCTTTTCTAGAATTTGAAGTTGGGAATCCACGGAATTTGACAGTCTTTTTCGTTATAATGACCGCTAGCTTGCTGCTCTTTCTAGCGCGACTTGGATCTGTTTCGGATTATTTTTGCACCAGCAATCTACGTGGATCCTGTCGAATTCTCCGCCACACTACCAGGGCATGCACTCCCCTAAGCGTATCCGTCACTCGCCGTTCCCCTTTATAGTTTTTTTTAATATTCTTTGGCTCGAACGGATGTAAGTAAACTCTTTCTATTTAATCGACAGATGCCTTCCCAAGCATGTGGTAGATACTACCCGCTATCTTGCAAATGCTGCGCTCTTCCACTCCGCGGCGACAGGGTGTTCAAGTCTTGTGTGCCCCCGACTCTAGGTCAAGGTTTTCCCTCCAGCTACTTTGTTTTGGTTTGATCTCTTCTTTCACCCGTTCGTTATCGTGGCTATCTACGCAACCTGCCTCGCTTTCACGACCTCGCATTACTGCAACAACTTTTCCCTCACCGGCTTTTTATGCTAATTTTTCACCCTCTAAGATTCTAGGGACTTTGCTTCAGGCCCGAACATCACAACAATAAGCGCACAACCACCCTGATCGTGACAATTCTTCCTTGTACTCGACTGCCCCACGACGCCTTACCCCAGCTTTAGTCGTCTCTAGTTAGTCTTCAACCCCATACTACGTAGTATTCGACTGATTATACTTCTCTTCACCATCTAACACAATAACTAGTTATTTGTAAAGTTAATATAACATCAATTTACATAAGTCTTTGAGCGGCAGGGATGCCATTAACGGAACGAGTCACTTCCATAAAAACAAGTTATAGCCTGTTGAGGCATGCAACGCGTTATCTAATACAATTCAATGAGTGGGAGAATTAAACTCCATTGCTTGGGTGTTTTAGCACAAACACTGCGAAGTATGTCACCAATAACGCGATTCACGCGTTCTGTCTGACCATCGGTCTGCGGATGACCCGCCGTGGACATGTCCAGTCGAGTGCCTAGCACTTATCCAGACTGACGTCCAAAACATATCCGTAAAACAGAGGTCTCTATTCGAGACGAGTGCCACAGGCAATCCGTGTTGTCGAATCCATGAACAGCTTAGCTGCTCCTTCTTCATCAATGGATTCCGGCACTGCCGCTAAGTGAGCCATCTTGCTCAATCGGTCTACAAAGACTACAATCCCAGTGTTGCCTGTCGCATCACGCGGTAGTCCAAACACAAAGTCCATACTAATGGACTGCCACAACCCCGAGGGTACAGGCAAGCTCGCCAAAGGCGCAGCCATATAGGCGAGGGTTTCACCCTTTGACA